CATGGGACGGAGAGGATTGATAGATTCTCTTATTTAAGGAAATGTAGGGATGAAAATGAAATTTTTTCTAATAAAACACAAAGAAGCAAAATTGAAGATTTCGATTCCCTTTTTTTATTTCTTTATTTTAATCAAATGATTTTCTAGTTGAATGGAATTCAATGGAATTAAGATGAAAAAAGAAAATATAAATACAAATTTAATAAAATTGTATTTTCAAAGACGAGATTGAAATTATAAAAACAAATAATGTAATGACATTTTCTTTTTTAAAAAATAAGATATTATTATTATTTATTGTATAATGATAATTTTCAGTTTCACCACTATTTTTAGCACCATCAAGCATGTAGTGATGCCATTTTTTTAATTTTGTATTATTATTATTATTATTATTAGCACCATCACCATTGAATTGCTCATTCTAATGCGACTTTACGTGGCTATAATATTAACTCTCTTTTTAATGTATTTTATTTTTACGATATTATTATTATTATTATCATCATCATCATCATACAATTGCTATTTTCTCCTCTACTATAAATATAATCACTCTTATCATCATTAATATCACCATCATCATCGATGAAATTGTTTTTTATTTTTATTTTTTCATCTTAAAAAATATTTTGAGTTCTTGTTATTATTAATTCCAAACACGATGTTGGGATTAAAATATTATTTCAATTCGTTATTTTTCATTCTGATTTTTTTATTTACATTTTGGCCTTTTATTTTTATTACGCAAATGGCACCTAAAAATATAAATAACAAAATAAAATATGAAACGGAGAATTATAATTTATGTCTATGGCAAGGCTTCATTAGGAAAGCCGGTTCTAATGAAGTCCCCAGCTTCCTTCTTTCGAAGCTGTTTCTTATAACAAATTTAAATATCACATTAATTAATTAAATAGACAGACAGCGCATCTTTAAAAAGAATAATGAATACAAACAAACAAAAAGCCTTTCATTTTCTTTATTGGCATTGATTCATTCAATTTATTCTTAAAAAAGGAAGAATGATTAATGCAATCCTTCTGTAAATGATCGAGAAGGTCATGGAAACAGCTTGTTTTGCTGATCAATTCATGCCACTTATGAGTTTGGCCAGCAGCTTAGCATGATGCAATGTCATACTCAATATACAAGAAAGCCAAAAAATAAAAATAAAAATTCCAACCTTTTATGAACAACGTACGTAGCTTGTATTGGTGATTGGCATCACTAATCACTAACCACTAGCTCGCATTTTCTTTCACAATGTTTCTATTCTGAACTCAATATCAAATCCAGCATACAACAATTGTATATTGAAAGAGAGAACGTACGACTTAGAGGGGAAAAAAAAATACAATACCGCACCAAAAGGTATTCTAAATTTCACGTTCCTTGTTGTTCTGAACTATTTCCAAGCTTAACATTGTGATCTTTATTCTTTAGATATCAAATAGAGGTTGATGACCCATTTCGTGCCAACATAGACGTACGGAAAAAAATACAAGTCAGAGTGCATATATAATTGATGTTAAAAGGACATTGTAGGAGAGGGAATTTTGGATAATCCATTTTGACCCCATTTTCAAATACAATTTAATTTTAAATTTCAATTTCAAAAATAGAAACCAAGAGCAAAAATAAATTTCTCATTCATTTATCAAAATATTAATTTTTAGTTATGATTTTTCCTTTGTGACTTGTGAGTGTATTTTTATATTTTTTATTTTATTTTATTAGTGAAAAAAAAATCTGATAGAAAAAGTAAAAAGAAAATGGAAAATGAAGAAGAAGAAGAAGAAGAAGAGAGAAGTGAATAAAAAATCAAACAAAACCATTACCAACCAAGCGGTATAAGCCCAAAAAGAAAAACCAAAGACTCACTAAGCCTGACCCTCGGCCCAAACAATAAGGAAATGCTAAATCACAGACACGACCAGCAATCTTATCAGTCACGTCTCCGCTTGCTTTAGCAACCACGCAGCCCTCACAAAAGCAAATCACGGTTCATCAGCAGCAGCAACCATCTTCAACCGAGGTCAAGGTTTTGATACAAACAAGCCCAGGTGAACATTCAGATCAAATCTCATCGTTTTTTTTTAAAAGGTTCTTTTACTATGTAATTTTTTTAATCTTAACTGAGTTACTTTTTTATTATTATTGTATTCTTTCGTTAGTTAACTTTAGCAACTCCGTCGAAATCTATCACGTGTCGCCCTCTGTTCGGAATCAAAATTTTCCTTGATGTAAAGTTTGGTTTCTAAAAATTTTCAAAACAAATATTTTGGTCCATATAGTTTTTTTTTTCACAAATAAATTCTTAATTGAAATTTTTTTTTATCACCATATTTTATGGTAAATATAATTTAATCTCTACTTAATCTTTTTAAATGCAATCCCTCCATATCAAACTATAAATTCGGTCAAAATTAGTTAACTAGTTTAAATAGATTTACGAACATGATAAGAACTAGATGGATCTAAATAAGCATACATGTTTAGGAAAAAAAACTTTATATTATACAGTATCATATATCTATTGTGAGAAAATTTTCCTTCAATTTTCTTTCCTTTAAAAAAATATTTTCTTGACTTTAACCTAAAAATGAAGACAAAAATTAAAAAGAAAAAAGAAAAGAAAGGGAAAAGGTTCATTATATATATAAAATATTATTTATTTTTTCTAATTTTAGCCTAAAAATCAAGACAAATAAAAAAATTATAATGTCATGACCCTCGAAGTAGACCATTATCGGCACGAGAATCAAGAGAGACGTGGAATTCACCTCGACTCAAGCAAACCTTAAATATCTAAATCATAGTTCTCATATTTGTGATAATCGAAATATCTATCCAATTCATAGTATTACAACTTAATTAGTTAATACTTTTTAATTTCAACAAAGCTGTAATTCCATAATATTCATGCAAATCAAAAATAATACTCAAATCAACAACCTAACATGACTCTCATCCAATTTGTAATATCACAACCTAATTATTCGTTATTTCTTAATTTAATCTCAATTTATAGTTTCATAATACTTATAATTATCTAAAATAATAATCATAATCAATAACTTAATACACAACTTTCATAAATATAACTACGAAGCTTTAGAGTGTACAACAATTTCAAAATACTAGTTCAAAATATTACAGTTAAGTGAGCTACATGAATAATGTATTGATCTTAAGACGATCAATTATGAGGAAGTCAATAAACAATCTCACAAATCATGCAAAACCAAAACAATAGGGTGTGAGCAAAACTAAATATAACATAACTAAGGAAGAGAAACAACCTAGCCGATAATAATTTAAAATCCGCTCAAGATGTGATATATGTTTCTCAAAGTCAAATGTATTTCATATTCGCAAGTCATTCAAAATCATAAAAAAAAATCTTATATGAAAATACTTATAATTAACTCAAATCATATTAAGTACTCGAAACACATATACGAGCATTATGTCATATCGTATCATTGGATACAAAAATTCAAAGGCCAAGTCCCCCGTAGCTAGTTGTACCGTATGTTGGCCGACACATAAATTAGCATTGTACCTCTTTTGTTAGCTAGAACATTTTTGTATTAGCGAGATCATAGGCTACCCCTCCCATAACTAGATACCTCATGGTAGTCAAACAAATCAAAAATCGAATAAACTTATATATATTCAAAAAATATCAAAAACTAACATATCCAAATACAATTCATGCTCATACTTAAATTAAATAATGCAATTCACTATCAAATCTCATAATCATAAACTACGCTTAAATAGAAACTCATATTTGAAATTATATATCAAATTTTTTTAAATTATACAAATAAAATCATAATTAAAAATCTTAATCAAACTAGTAATTAAATCCATAAAATTAAATTAAACCTTAAGTGAAACATTTGTTAAAAAAGCATAATCAAACCTTTTTTCGAATCATATCAAATCATTTTTTATATCAATCGTTTTAAACTTTCACAAGGAGGTTTGTTCCCATCTAAATTCTAATAGATGTGATCATGACATATTTAAATTAATGATGCACGTCGGAGATTTCAAAGAAACTTGAAAAAAAATGACATGTTATATATTATCCACTCACGATGCAATCGGATTATCAAACAAAGTTAAGGTTGATGAGATGGAGTCGCAAGCTCTAAATAATCTAATGATACAATATAATCGAATAATCATTAATATCACATACTAAGGAATAATTTGAAAGCAAATGAATTATTTTAGAAATTGAAATACAAGACAAATTACTATAATGAAATTTATCGAAAATGCTTAAATTGAAAATTTTTTAACTAGATCATTACTCTCTCAACCAACTCTAGATAAGTACTAAACAACTATATCTCGAGTTCATTTTACCATATTTCTCTAACAACCTAATTTATACTTTATTACGACTAATTATTCATCATCGATTTTCAATTCAATTTTCACATAACTTATCTTTACAATCCATCATCAATTTTCAATCCCAATTTTCTCATAACTTACCTCTATAATCCATCATCTCGATCAATTTGAAGATTTCTCAAATCCATAGTCTAATAATTAATTTCACACAACTATTGTCTCATTTCAAGCATCAATTAGCATAAATAACTATTAAATCATCAAGTCTTTAAATTTAATTCAAATCATAACCCTCAACTAGCTCAATTTATAATCCAACAACAAACCCAATATAAAACAGTCTCAAAAATCATTAGTAAACTCATATAAATGTGTTAATTTTAAGATCAAGTGATAAAATTTTCACTTATGACAAGATGGGTCTTCAAACTCCAATTTCGATTTTTCAATTTGTCTAAGCCTCTCAAACTTTAATCGAGTTTAAGTTTTACTTTAAACATCTTGTTTCATAATTTTATAGAGTATTTGGGCAAGGTTTTAGCATAAAAATTGAAGTAGAGAGTTGGAGGAAGTTGAGAGAAATGGTGAGAAATGAAGGAGAATGAAAGAAAGAAAAAGAGAAAATGAAGGAGATGGGGAGGGGGTGTCTAGCTTTTTTTCTTTAAGATTGCCTAATTTTTTTTTTGTTTTTAAATTCTTATTCTTGATCTTTTTTTTCCTCTTGTATAGGATTGGATACTAATTTTTTATTTTATAATAAAATTCAGATTTTTAATTTACACTAACAATATAATCTGTTTCTAATTGACTTATAACTATTTTTTTCAATCCCAAAAATACATAATCTACTAATTTAATTCTATTTTTAGGATGAGTTATTACATATAATAGATATATGATATTATAGGAAACAAAAACAATATATTTATGACGGCACGAGAAAACAAAATCAAAATAAAAAAGAAAATATTGTTTTGTAAAAAAGCCTTTTTAGGGACTAAATTGTATTTGCTATAAAAATAGAATGACAAAAAAAAAACTTTCATTTAATGACTTATTTGTAGAAAAATAAAATAAAATACAAGGATCAAAATTAAAATATAGAGAAAAAACGTACATAAAAAATATTTCATGATATAGAAGCATAACACATGTCTATTTTTAACCATTTACTAACGTCAACTGACGAAAAAAATATGGTAATGACAAAAGTGTATCTTACGTGGTTGATATTAAAATAAACAATAATAAAAACACTTTTTTTAATAAAAAAATGTACTAAACATTTACCCATTTTCAGCCAAAAAAATCGTCTAAACATGGACCACACAAGGCATCATGGTTTTGTTAGATAAAAAAGCTTCAATATGGTTCTACTTGGATATTATTGCATGATTGTTGTTTCGGATAGATTAGTTTTTTTACCTGCAACATAAAATATATAATCGTTTAGAGAAATCATTTCAGTTTGATAGTCTATTTTATTATGTGAATCTATAAAAATATATGAAATTAAAGAAGAAAAATTATTTCTAATTTTTTAATAAAAAATTTTGTATTTAACTATTTCTTATTTGTGTTTTTCATAATTTTTCCTTTAGAAAAAGGATTTATCTTTTGATAAATCCATGGATTATTAAAAAAAAATTAAATATTTTTTTAAATGTTTTAATATTTCATAAGATTGCACCGAAAAACATAAATAACAATTATTAAAAGCTTTCATAGAATCGAACATATATATTTTTTATTTAATATTGATAAGAATATCAATTTTTTGAAAAAAAATGTGAATTTAATATTTATATATTTATTTACAAAAGAATGAATAATATTAAAATAAAAAATATATTAATTTGAATTTCAACTATTAATTAATTAATTTGAGTTTTTTTCTAAAAAAAATTGAGAAAAAATTATTTGAAATACACTTTTAATCTAAAAATGTATTTTAGACAAATTATATATATTAGTCATGCCACTAAAATTTAACATTTATCTAAATCTATTTTTTAAAAAGAAAAAATAATCATGCTCTAAAAATTTATTCCAAAATCCGTACACATAGGAAAATAAATCAAAATTGTCGGTAAATATAATTTTAAATTAATTGGATGAGAATTTAAAAACAAATGATCAATTAAAGTAGTAAATTTTAAATAATAAAAATAATTAACAAAGAACACTGAAACAAAATAAGATCAAATCACAATTTAATCAAAGTTTGAAATTGAAAAAAAAAGAAGAAGAAGAGAATTTAAAAAAAAATAACAAATTAATGTAGTAAATTTTAAATAACATAAAAAAAATTTGAGAAAAAAATATGTGAAAAACACTTTTAATCTAAAAATATATTTTAGACAAATTATATATATTAATCATGCCACTATAATTTAAAAATTATCTAAATCTATTTTTTAAAATAATAATCATGTTCTAAAAATTTATTCCAAAATCCATACATATAGAAAAATAAATCAAAACTCGTTAGTAAATATAATTTTAAATTAATTAGATGATAATTTTTTAAAAATGACAAATTAAAGTAGTAAATTTTAAAAAATCTTTAAAAAAACTCTAAAACAAAATGAGACTAAATCACAATATAATCAAAGTTTAAAATTGAAAAATAAAAAAGAAGAGAATTAAAAAAAAATTAATATAGTAAATTTAAAATAGATCAAAAAACCAAGAAAAAATTATTTGAAATATACTTTTAATCTAAAAATTTATTTTAAAAAAATTATATATATTAATCATGCCAATATAATTTAAAAATTATCTAAATCTATTTTTCAAAAACAAAATTATGTTCTAAAAATTTATTTCAAAATCCATACATATAAAAAAATAAATCAAAAATGTTAGTAAATATAATTTTAAATTAATTGGATGAGAATTTTAAAAAATGATAAATTAAAGTAGTAAATTTTAAATAATAGAAATAATTAACGAAAAACAATAAAACAAAATGAGACCAAATCACAATATAATTAAAGTTTGAAATTGAAAAAAGAAAGAGAATTTTAAAAGAAGGACAAATTAAAATAATAAATTTTAAATAACAAAAATAATTAATAAAAAATAGTAAAACAAAATGTGATCAAATCACAATACAATTAATATTTGAAATTGAAAAAAAAGTATAAAAAAATTAAGGACCAAAGTGTTACAAAAATATCATGAAGAATAGTGAATTTAATAATGATTTGTGAGTGTGTGAATAGTATTTTAAATAGTAAATGAATAGTAAAACTAACTATGTTTTATTTTAGTTTTATTGATAATTGATAATAAACTAAAGAACCAAAAAAAAAAAAAAAGAGGATTTTCATGCCTTGTTTTAAGCGCGTGTGTTAGAATATATGTTGTAGTTTGAAATCTTGAGGGCAAATTATTATCGGCCATGATGCGATTAGAAAGTTTTGGAGCGTTGAGAAGACTTTTTGTGCTTATATTTGTTTCACTTGGTAAATTAAGTTGTGTGATTTTAATCAAACTAAAGAAAAAAAGAATTATTACTGAATTGCTTAAGAACATAATATTATTTTTCCTGTATCAAAAAAATACAAATAGAAACCAAAAGGGTAAGAACTGGCATCATCATGCGGCTTTTTAAGCTTATTATCAGTTTTCAAATGAAAATTCACTTGGGAAAAATCTCTACATTTTCTCCTCTTTCCCCTTGTTTTTCCTTCCAAGGCAATAATAATATTAATAATTGGATTTATCCCATAGCTAGTATGGTTTAGTTTTAATTTTTTTCATTGAAACTCTTTATCATTTTTCAGCTTGATTAAAATCTTCAACTCTTATAAAGTTTTTGATTGAAACCCTTAATTATAACGCTATTAACTATTCATCATATGTAGCAAGTTAAAATTAATAGCAGCTAATCGAGATAACGACACGTGATAATTTTTTTATAAATACATTTTCATGTGTCGATTCTCGATTGATACATGGGATGAATAGTTAACAACATTATAACGAAATGTCTCAATTAATAAATTTATAAAAATAAAAATTTTTAAATAAACTAAAAAATAATAGAAGATTTTAGTTTAAAAAAATTAGAACCGTACAAAAATCAATCACTACCCAAAACCATTAATGATTTGGAAAAAAAAAAAAATCTTTTGAGCTAGCAAGCCATAAATTTAACAGAAGTGTTTCATTCGGCGACGTTTTCACTTGTATTTATTTGGCTGCTGGCAAACCTCCTTTTACGACTTCCTTCTCTCCCTCTCTTCCTTTTTCACTCACTTTCTCAGCGCCCAAACAACCCTGCAAATGCAAAACACTTACAATTTGATTTTCATCTTCTAAATCATCACCCTAATTCAAGAAGAACAGAAAATGTCATTTTCAAGCCTTGCTAGAGCTGCTAGAACAGCAACAAATCGCAATCTCATGGTTTCTCAATTCAAATTTCTACACCAAAATCATCACCCTTTTCAACAACCCAGGTAAATAATTATCTTTTATTTTCATTTAACTAACAACCCTTTCCATTAAGATTTCTAACACAGACACTCCTTCTCTGTTTTAATTTTATTTATAATTGTTTTGGCAGTTACAATAAAAGGATTTCAGTACCAAGAAGATGTGAAATAAAGAGGCATTTTTCTACTTCTTATCAAATGGGTGGTGGTTCTGCTGCTAATAGTAATACCAGTATAGAGCAGAAATCAAGAAAGATGTTAATTTATTTGACGGGTTTGGTGGTTGCAATGGTTGGTTGTAGTTATGCTGCTGTTCCTCTTTATAGAAGGTTCTGTCAAGCCACTGGTTATGGTGGTACTGTTCAACGCCGCGAGGTTTTTTCTTCTTTTCGTTGTTTGTTATCGCATTTTCTTCCTGTTCCTGTTCTGTTTGTGTGTCTTGTGTTTCTAAATTTTAATATTGGCATTAACTTTTGTATTCTGTTGTGTTTTGTTTTTAATGTATAGAGTGTTGAAGAGAAGATTGCTCGGCACGCTAAAGATGGAATTGTTGCCACAAGGTGTCTTTCTGTCTCCCTTTTGGGTATTAACATTGTTCTGACTTTTGGTTTTGTTGTGGGGTTTTTGCTATAATTTTTGTTTCTTGAGATTGCTTTATTGAATTCTTATGCTTTGAAAGTACCATTGAATAATGGTGAAATTAGTTATAAGATAAAGAAATCTTGTTCTGTCTGTTTTACATCTTAATCACCAAATGCACTACCCTGTTTTCAGAAAGCGAATTTGTTGGATCTGAATCTAGGATAACTATCCTCCAGATGTCTTAATTTGCTCTTATACTCCAGCGAATTTATACCGAACTTGAATTTGATTATGGTGCAAGTCTCTCATTGTTTCTGCTTTGTGCATGCCTTTTCCTGATGGCAGGTCTTTGTTGTTTGTATAGGGAGATTGCAGTACAGTTTAATGCTGATGTGGGTGATGGAATGCCATGGAAATTTGCTCCTACACAAAGAGAGGTTTCCTTTTGCATAACATGCATGCATTCTTAAGTTTAACCAGGCGCTTCCTGTGCAATTTGCTCTCTTTAATGCAGTGTTTTCTTCTCTCTAGGTACGAGTAAGGCCAGGAGAAAGTGCTCTTGCATTTTACACTGCTGAAAATCGAAGCTCCACACCTATAACTGGTGTATCTACATACAATGTTACTCCTATGAAGGTACTAGTTTTTTATGCTCTTTCATTTAAGCAATATGGGATGTGAATCTAATTTTGAATTTATTTTGTATTGATTTTGAAGTCTGTTGCTTTATTCTTCCATTTTTGATTTTAGTTATGCTTAGACTTGAAAAAACATTATGAATCAAGAATTCCTGAGAAGAATGGTACAATTTATTCGACAATCAACCATTTTCCGTGAGTTGTTGAGCAGTGTGAAAGCAACAGACTAAACAGATATCAGGAATGTCAAACAAAATAGGAATTGGTGAATGGGAAAACTTCCATTGAACCTCCATGTTATTTGTTAAATTCAAAATGATCTGAAATAGCAGTATTTAGATCAGATTTGAATTGGCATTTATTAGATTAGACAGATCTTTTAGGGGTTTTTTTGTGGACCTTCACCGCATTTGTCAAAGCCTCATTTATTACTAAGTCATTTTTTGTCTATCCTTTATTATTATTATTATTTTTTGATAAACGAAGATTTCATTGATAAAAAAAGGAACAAGTAGGAGCTCACCCTACGAAAAAGCTTACAAAGATTTCAACTTTTGTCTATCTCATGTTTTACTTGTTAGAACTCTGATTATAGGATGATAACAGGAATCTTTTATTTGCTATAAGCAGGGTTAAAATCTTATTTCAAGGAATTTCCATTGTTGTTAGACTTTGGTGTTTATTTTTACCGTATTTGATTCCAATAATGCTGGTATTAATTTTTTTTTTTTTTTTTTTTTTAATGATGTGGACTTGAATGTAGAATGTAATAAAGATGATAGATTTAGATGAGGAACATCTTAGAGTAGTAAATTTGATATGAAACTGTATGGAGTTTTGTGGAAGAAACGATGTGCTAAGGAAAGGATGCTATCCATGGAGAGCTATTTGGAAGTTCAAATCATCAGATTCCCCCTTTCCTTATAGAATGGGAGGCATGTAGGGGTATGATTTTCTATATTGATAACCTACAAGAAAGTTGTTGGTGAACCAGTGTTACCTTGTTAGTATGTTATTGAAATTATTAATTGTCTAGTGCTGTATTGTTCATGGGCTAGAGCCTTATGAGAGTGGGCATACAGAATAGGGGGTGTCAATCATATCACGGTGTGGATGAGGAGTTGAATGCTTGGAAGCTGGAGATTTTAGCTGAGAAAACAAGAACCCATTTGGTATTTTGCCACTTACTAGCTAGCTTTGGGTGGGTATGGAAGGAACACAACAAGAGGGCATTTTAGGATCTCCTTCTCCTCTTTGTTTGATAATAGGATTACTGACTTACATTTTTGGCTTGCTTCCGCTTTCCTTAAACTATCTTTCATTTTTTACAGAGCACCTTATTCAAATGCACTAGATGCAACCACTTACTCCCAGTGCCAGTTTTGACCATATTATTTTGTTTTAAATTTCATCTTTCACATGTAATGTGAATTAATGATACTGGGTGTAGGATAATTTGCATGATTATTGTCCTTCGAGTACCGTCCTTCGAGTACCAATGATAATCATCTTGGGATGTGAGAGGAGTGACATTTGGACTTAGTGCAAGGGAATCTTTGGCAAATGGAAATGGTGCTAGTTCTTTCTTCTTCTTCTACTTCCTCCTTTTTTCCCCCTTCTGTAGCCTATGCTTTAGTTGAATGGGAGACAGTCTTCGCTGCTTGTCAGGAAAAAAAGAGGGAAAAGATGATATTACCAGCTGAGAGGTTGTGCTGCAGGAAGGTTCAGAAATAGTCTGGATTGCTACCTTTAATTATTGTTTATGATCTTGCTCTGTGTGTACACGTGTGTTATCTTGTGTGTGGAATGACTGTTGCTGCATTATTGGTCATTCGCATAAAATCTAACTTAATAAAATAATAATATAATAATGAGTAAATTACAATACCCACTAGGTATAATGTAATTATACTACCCTAATGTTTGAATATATCACAAAAATCTCCTTTTGTATCCAAAACACCCTTAATGTTAAGGGGAATGATTCAAAAATATTAAGGGTATTTTGGATACAAAAGGGGATTTTTGCAATATCTTGGCTTGTCACTGTAATTTCATGATACCTCAAGGGGTTTTTTGTAATTTACCCTTTAATAGTATTAATAAATTTCCCATTTAACTTTAAGTCTGTTATACAGTACATACATTAAAGGAGACATTTGGATCATGTGTGTGTTTATTATTTCTGGGGGAAGGTGAGTTCTTGTTTCATGGACCATAGTCAGCATTTGCCTGTGCTTCAGAATACTCAACATCTGCTTGCAACTCTTTGCAGGCTGCTGTGTACTTTAATAAAATACAATGTTTTTGCTTTGAGGAGCAGCGCCTTCTTCCTGGGGAGCAGATTGACATGCCTGTGAGTAATTTATTTTCCCTTTCCCCTCCCTATTGCCTGTGCATACACACGCACCTTTTTTTTTTTTTTTCCCTCTTCCTCTTAGTGCTTTATAGATATTTTGTGTTTTAAAACATGGTTCTTTTGTCACTATTCAATAAGATCATACTTCACGATTGCAGGTCTTCTTTTATATTGATCCAGAATTTGAAACGGATCCTAGGATGGATGGAATCAACAACATAATTTTATCGTATACATTCTTTAAAGTTTCAGAGGATTAACCTTGAAGATGCTTACCGGAACTTCCTTGCAATTAAAAACTCAGAGGGCTTGGCCAGTTTATGCAATCCTACTGCATGCTTGCTTAGCACTTCCAACGAAGGTATAAAGGATATGCTGATGTTTGTGCCGATAAAGCTCGTAGGCGTATTTATGAGATTTATTAAATATAAAATTCTTTCTAGTGGAATAATCTGAGATTTATTCCAAAGAAATAGATCCGATGCTGGTTTGCTATTTGTTCTCCACTTGGTTCAAAATTTGATGTGCCAGGAAATAATCTGCGAGCCCCCGTCGTTTTTGTTCCCAATATGAACACTTTGTCCTTGGTGCTTCATGAACCCTCTTTCAGGCTAATCAAGAATTACTGACAAATTGTTGCCAGGAAAGTGGTTGTTCATTGAGTCCTTGGAAGGTTTTTTTTTTTTTTTTTTTTTTTCATGGATGAAACAAATCACATTATTTTATTGCTTTAGAATTCAATACTTTTTTCCATACAGGATACCATGGAAATCTTGAACCATAAACACATTTCTAATAATCTTTAAGAGTTTTGTACCGTTGAATTGCTATAAATAACAGCAAATATGTGAAAACTTCGAATTTAAACTTCTGTTATCTTCTCAATCAAAGATGCCAGCGACAAATCTGATTTCCATCACAGCCATTCTGCTCCTCCCTCATCTCCTTGGCCTTTCTCCTCACCTCGTCATCATCCGTCGTCAAGACATTTTATCCCTTTCTTTAGCTCCTCAGCCACCAACAAATTACTGCCCTTCCTGTATCCAACCTAATCTGAATCGCTAATCCAAGTTCCTTCACTAATTGGAAGGCATTCGTTTAAATTGTAGCAATGGGAACACCATACATAAATTTTAAGTACAGAATTCCATCTAAAATGAAATACAAATCCTCCAGTTGCTTGCTAGGCCTAGATGTCACTTGTGGGATCCATCCACAAATCAAACCGAATCCTGTAGTTCGGTCTAAAAGCCGTTCTAGCCACATCTCCTCAATGTACGGTTACTCATTTGGAAGATCCAATTTTCCTTTAAGAGTTCACGGACAGCATGAAAACCGAAACCTAATCTTCTCTAGTCCCATCGCAATCTCTTGTAACTGGGATCCGCTTAAACTTCCCATGCTGCCAGAGCACAAGAAAACAACCGATTATGGAGGTTGGTCATCGAGCCATTTCAAGATGCTACTGTATTGAGCCCGGTCCGGGTGCCACTGAAGCGGACCAACAAGGTCAAGGATCGGTCCAACCAGTGGGACTAGTGGCAACAACTTATTTTCACAAACGGAGTTTAATTGCATACGGTTGGTAAATGCCCTTGGTGTTCTTGTACCTAGGCTGTCAATCGATCATACTTGAATCAGGTTATAATAGATCTTTATTCGATTTCTTTAATAGAAATTCGAATTGAATTTTGAAAATGTGAATCTGAATCTGGATAGTATTTAAAGTTTTATCGGATTTATAACTTGCTTTTGTATAAAATTTACATTTATTATATTTAATATATTGCTTAAATATAAAATCTATTTCAACCATCTATATATATAATAAAATATATTAAGATAATATTTTATTTATCAATTTGTAAAAAATTCAAAATATCACATAATTCAAAAATACAAAATTAAATAATATTAATAAAAATTTATCTTGAATTAGATAGAAAGTACTATATATATATATATATATATTTCTTGTTACATGGTAGCAAAATAAAAATATATTAATTCGAATTTCAATATAATAACACTATAAATTATAACCTTATTTTTTAGCTTTAATTTGTCGTAAGAATCGCATAAATTGAACATCTGTACATGACGTTATGTCCAAAATAATAGAGCATATTCAAATTAGAAAACATTTCTCTCTGAATTTATTTAAGAAAAGAACTCTAATTGTATAACTCTTCTCCAAATTGTCTTTATTTTTTTTATATTACCTTTTTTTTATTCGGTTCAATTTGGCCTTAATTCCAATCAATTGATTTTTTCTTATACTCTATTTTTTCTCGTTTTCTTACTTTTTTCTTATTTTTGTGATTTTTTTCTTCATTTTTTTTGTGTGAATAAAAATAAGGTGATAACAACTGTAATAACACCAACTCTTGAAGATATATGTAAATCAATTTATAATTTTTCACGAAATTTAATTAAGAAAAATGACAAAAAAATTATATGTAATTTTTTTAAAATACAATCTTAAAAAAATTTGCTTTATTTAAACTTTATAATAAATACTTTAAATTTCAATCTAATTTTATATTTATATATTTTTTCATATTTAAAATTTTAATATTTTTAAAACATTTTATTTATTATAAAAATATTATTTTTTATTCCAGATTGTGTTATTATTAATCAAATATAAATCGATTCAGATTTAATCTATTTAATAAATGAATAAATAGGTTAAGATCATGATAAATTTAAATAAAAAAATTATTTACTAGAATCATTTAATTATATTGAAGTCGGATCCAATTCCATCCATCCATTGACGGTTCTGCTTGTACCTGCGCGCATGGTGTAAAAACCAAAAGACCGATCTGGCTTTCTTTTTAAAATTACTGTTGGAAAAACGGACAGAGGCATTGGGTTTTCAAAACTTGGTATGTGGAACTCAGTGGCTGAATCTTTTGTTACAGTCAATTCAGTATCCGAGTTATTGAACTCAGAGGCGAGTTGGGTATCCAAAGATGGCAAGTGGCACATAAACTCCAAACAACTAGTTGGAGAAGCAAAATAAAGACAATAAGGATTCAAGGAATGTTAAGTTCGTCGGCAATTTCAATCATGAGCGTGCAAAAGATGTCGACGAATAACCCGGCAACTTGGACAGAGTCAGACTTGGTTTGCATCAACTCCGTGATGGCTTGTTTAGTGTTTGGGCTTGTGTTTTCCGATCAGAAGAGAGATGCAAGCTAGAAATGACTGGTAAGGACCGGGTGAGGGATGGTCTACTGTGTTGAATCGGACGAGGACGTGGACGCACATGATCAGTGATTGTTGCGGAGAATCGACGGTCACGATTGATTAGATGTTGTTCGAATTAGACAGCTGGAACGAGGTTTCCAATTCCGAGGATGGCGACGAGCACTGCTCGGAATGGCTTCATGGCTTGTTTTTGTTTTAATTTTTTTTTCACTACTGTTTTCGGGCATTTTGGGTTTATATCACATGAAAGACGATTTATTTTTTTTCAGACAAATGGTCGTAGATGATTGTTTCATCTATTTGAATTACCCCTTTTCTCCCTCCTCATTAAATATTTTTTTAATATTTAGAATTGCATATCCTGATTATTAAAAAGAAAACATATTAATTATCTTCAAGGTTTTGAGATGCGATCAGAATTTTATAAGTAAAAAAAAAAAATTATCTTCCTGCTCGTTGGTTTGATACGAACACATCTTCTCTTATTAACATACAAGATAGATAATCTATTATAAAATGAAACAAACAAGAATTATTTTTTCTTAAAAAAAGATCATTAAACAATACTCTTATAAGTGATTTCATATTGGTGGCTGAAAAAGCTTGGATGATGCCATAACTTGAAAATTCATAATTACTTAATGTTTATTTTATTTTATTTTTTTCTAACTCAGAGCTTTGTAACCGGAAAATATAGTATATAAGCATAAATTGACAGTTTAAAATTATGTATCAAGGATAGATTAACTAGATATAATGTTGAAGACTTGAATCAATAATATATATATTTTTTTCATTTAATAAATATATACTTTTGTGGTGACAATGTTCCATGCTATAAAATATCACGCTATTTTTGTAATTTTCTTTTTATAATCATCTAGTCAAAAGCATGGGTAAATAGTCAGTAATATACAACAATATATTTTAAACATTCAAATTTATTTATATAAAAAATATATTCTTATAACACCTTATTATTTTAAATTTGAGCTTGTAATTTAAAATTCTAATTTTTTTTTCACCTGTTAGCTTCTGGAGCATCAATTAAGAATATTACAAAATATAAGGTCCGTGGAGTCGGATTCCATTGACCACAGCGCTAACCAAAAAGAAAAGGAAAACGAAAACAAAAGGTGGAAGCGGGGACAAAAAGAATTAAAATAAAAAAAAAATTTTAAACCCCTCTCTCTGTCTCCTGTGCTGCACTGGTAGTCTAGTGCTAGGGTTTAACCAGTCTTCATCATTTTTGCTTTCCTTTCCTTTCAAGTCAATCAATAGCTTAACAGCTTGTTATAAAGAAGAAACAAATTATGGGCACCAGGACGGGGATGGAGGTTCCTATCATCGGCACCGATTCTATCAAATTCATCGACACATCCGTCCCCGACGACGGTGACGCTGATTTATCCACCACTACTTCTGCTACTGCTCCTTCAATTACTATTACAACCTCTCTCATTGAAGATTACGCCTCCTCCTCCATCATTGGCAATCCTCCACTCTATTTCATTTGGTACATACAATTTCTCTTCTCCCTCTTAACGTTTTTTTATATATTTTTTATTTTTAGCATTTATTCAGAAATTTGAACTGCATTATTTTGAGTGGCAATTAATAGGAGGATTCATAAGTCCCAGCCTAACACTCTCGAGTTACTTCAACTCTCTGCTAATAAAGACTTCCCTGGGACAACCGGGTTGCGAATTACTTTCCCCCATGCCCTTTGCCCTTTCGCTTATGTTTGCCAGAATCAGAACCAGGTATTGTTGTAATTAATTGCAGTTGCATATGCCATTTTTTTTTACCCCATTTACTGTTTGTTTGTTTTCCTCTATGGTTTTATGTGATGTTGCATGTGTTGCGAATGCAGATGCATGGTTTCTCTACTGCTAATCCATTCTTACTCTATGCATTGACGGTTTCGGGAGTTGCTTATCTTATCAAACTCCGAAACATTTCTGCTTATTCTTCCTTGCCTGTTTTCCCAAGGGATGAGGTTACCCAGTTTAGTTTGAATGATTGTCATTTCAATAATTCCGAGCCTCTGGCAATAACTAGTGTAGCAGCCAGTGCTGGCTGTCTTGCTGTTGGTAGAAATGATGGATCTGTTGCTTGTTTTCAACTTGGATTGCTTCACCATACCACTCCTGGTAACTGGATATCATCTTTTCTTGCAATATTTTATTATTTTATTTTGTTTTACATGTGGATAATTTTTTACTCTCTCTCTCTCTTTCGTTTTCCTAGGTTTTGTGCATGAGTTGCAGGATGATTCGGGGATCAGTCGTTTGTGGGGTTTTGTGTCAAGGTACTAACTGTTCTCCATGAAACGTCCTTCATACTAAACTAGCATGTTCTAGCAACAATAGATCCTTCACACTGTTTGGGATTGACCTAGACTCACCTCTAACATTGAAATGCATATGCCACTTATTCCTAGCTACAGAATAATGTATGTATGACTCCTCATTATTTTGAAAAAAGAAGCGAGTATCCGTGACAGGGCTTTATGTGACCTTCTTACCTTTACTGAGCTGTTAGTCTCAATCTTGTCAAGTATCGTTGTCCAAATCTTGAGAGAGTGCCTTTGCCTTTTGAATTGAGCTGATCAGAAGGAAACAAGATGCATTTGGGGCCCAATCAGAAGATATGATTTATAAGAAGATATGATTTATAAGAGCCCTCCAATTTCCATTTTCTGTTGTGATTGTAAAATCCTTGAGCTTGTAGTTAACAAGGTAGGTGCAAGGTTGGGCCTCGCCGGGAAAAAAAAAAAAAAAAGGCTTCATGAAAAATACTGAAGGGTAGTCTTTCTTATTAATATTTTCTCACAAAAAATCTCAGTTTTGTTGGACCAATCTAGTTTGTGGCATTATTAGGAGAGTGTAGCAGGTATATCGTGAAGTTGATTTACTATTTTGATGAGTTTGTCATCATGCTTCATTTCTCCTGCAAAGACTGTTTTTTCTTGAATCTTTGTAAAATTTCTTGGCGCTGTAAACACATAGGAATAGTTTTTATTCCTTCATCTTGTTATGTCCATGCACTGATCATGTACAATGTTGTGTGCTTTGTGCTCCTACAATTTTATTACTCAACGAAAACTATTTTTTTCCTTAATGATTCTTTTTTGGTCAACAATAAATGAAGAAAACAATCATTGATCATGACATGAGCAACATCAAGTCATCATCTTTTCATTAATTTGGAAGTTAATTTCTTTCTTGCTATAAATTATAATAACTACGTTTTGATTACAGCCATGCTGGTTATGTACTTGGAAATATTTATACTTCTATTATTATCTTCTTGTTTTTGTCTCTTGTTTTTTGATAAAATTGAAAAGGGCTAAATCCCATGCAGGGGTAGGACGGTAGGGGCTGTACAAGATTTGGTAACATCAGAGGCATATGGGCTAAAACTTCTGTTTGTGCTTCATTCTGATGGGATGTTACGAGTATGGAACTTGTCCTTCCGCAGCAAGATTTTATGTCACGCATTGGGGATTCCAAATTCAGAAGGCAACTCCTGTAACTTTCCCCCTCTTGTTGGCTTTAAGATAGCATCATTTACACCATTTTCATGTTCCCTTCTGTGTCTCTTTACTCAGGTGCTACATTTGCCAGATTGTGGGTCGGTGAAGTCAATGAGGATTCAAACATAACTCCATTGGCCGTTTTGTATAGACAAAATTTGGTATTTTTTTTCTAAACTGAGTACGATTCTAATAATTGTATGCTTGGGTAAAGGGAGGAGTGGGGTAGTTTATGGTGTCTCATTTATCCAGTTAGTATTATGGAGCAAAAGACTATTCATTTCCTTTTTCTTTTTAAATTAGCTGCTTCCTTTATTTGACACTGTCGCTCTCTGGTCTTGAGGTTAGTTTGAGTCAAAGTGAGGGGGACTAAAAAATTCATCTGATCAAGGAAAAAAAAAGTATTTCTGGTTTGAAAAGTGTAGGCACTGAAGTTTATTGCACAATTTTTCTGGTATGCTGATTATTTATTTATTTATTTATTTTTTGTGTGATGAACACTCTGTGAATGAGTTTTGGGTTAAGCAAAACTTTAAATAAACAAACGGTGGCAACTTTAACGACACAAGGATAGAGAAGATGATATTATTAGTTTGAATGGAATAAAAGTGCTTTATTGTGGCCTTTCTGGGTGCCCAGGATTTATCATACAAAAGAAAAGTGACATTGAGGAGATAATACTCATAAAATCTAAGAGTCGTGGTGAAAATGGAGAAGTGTGACTGGAATGCTTGATGGTTTTGCAATTTAAAAGTGCCTAATGAATTACAAGTGAATTTCATAAATAATGATTAGCCCAGCTATGCTCTAAGGTAGCAAGCGGCAGTCACTAATGTTTCTATGTTGAATTGCGGTACTGTTTGCATATTATTTTTACTCCCTCAGAAAAAAAGGAATTTTTGTAGTGTCAAGTGGCAGATGGTAAAGCTTTTTGTTTTTTCCTTTTTGTTTAATCAATTGTCGCAACAGCGATTAATTGTTGGCCAAACTACAACAGGAAATTAGGAGCGAGATGATTCACATCTATCGCCTTCACTGTACTTTGGGGGACAGGATCGTTTTGTCAGTGGAGTCTTCAATGCAAGATATTCCTCTGGAGGAGGTAAACAATTTTTTTCCCCTATCATTTTCTTCTTTACTTTTTTTTTAGGTCAGATATTTTAATTGCTATTTGCTTGATTTTATCAGGGGAGTGCATTGATGTCAAGCTCACTTCAGACAAGATATGGATATTAAACGACCACGGATTGCTATTTCATAAATTGTTTCATATTGATACGTAAGTTTAGTCCATTTTTAAGATTTTGGCATCAATGTGTTCATTTGGATCATGGGAGTTTCAAAATTCATCTGTTAAGAGTTCCTGCCAGTTATTTTCCGTTTTGTTTTCCTTTATAGCATTTGTCCATTTTGTTTTCTGAAGTTGGTTGCTTGTTTATTTAAAGTTCCTGATTGCAATGATTGATTCAAGTTTTATAACCAGTTTTTTTTTTTTTTTAATCCCAAGGCTCATACTTTATTCACATAATGTGTGTAATGATAGCATGAGCTCCAGTAAATGCCTGATTAATACTATTGACCCATCTATCCAAAACCCATACCGTGTGGCACTGAACTCAAATCTTATAGAAAGTTATTGAAGCTTAACTTTCTTAACTTATTGTTAGGGAAGATGCCCGCTGCTATACTTTGCAGGAAGAATTTGTCGCTGAGCAGCTATTTCAAAGTTCCGAACTTTCTTCAGATGATCTTCTTTGGACTGCATATTCAATATTTTCATCTACAAAGGTGTTGTTACTTTGCCATTTAGAATGCTTTTTGAATGTTAGACTATTGTGATGAAGTTGTATTGCTGAAGTCATTACTATTTCCAAAACCTCCCTCCCTGAATCCGAATTCAACTGGACTAAAACTAGGTAGGCTTTTGATTGAGTTGTTCATTTTTGGTGTCTTATTGCAGTATTTAGTCTTATATGCACCTTTCTTCCCATGGCTTTCCTGGCTTCACATACCAGAATTGAAATATTACCTAGTAGCTGCCTCTGTGACAACACAAAACACACACAAAAGGGAAAGAGTTCTAATGTGTTGGGTCCTGTGCATGATATTTGAGTACCTTTTCTAGTTTTTTTCCCCCATTACAAACAATGCAACATTTCCTTTCTTAGTTTTTGTGTATGGTTTCATATTGATGACCAAAAGTGCAGAAATTTTATTCAGATGCATTATCAAGTTTAAATTGAATGTCAAGCCACCCAAATATTTAACCTGGTGAGATTGGAACATGAATATTGCTGTAATTGTCCATGTGGGTGGATGCCCAATTCTCTCTCTCCCCCTTTTCTGTGGCTCTGACAGCAGTGAAAAGCTCAAGTAAAAGGCACTGTCAGTATGATCATTTTCATCTATATGCACTTGTTTTTAAATACATCGTTCTAATACATTTTTTTGTCTGGCTTTACTTCAGTGCCATATTCACTTCCATGGAGTAGCTGTACTTCAATCTCTCCTTATTCTTCTTGTTTCTCTCCCCTTTATCAGCTTCTATGTGTGATATATGGTGTAAATGCGAAAGATATGTTGCTTACATTTGCTCGATTTAAATTTTTACAGGACAACATTGTGCCGTTTGTATCTTCTATCTTTATACGTAGATTGCTTCTGCCTGGTGTTCGTCACAATGGCGTGCTTCGTTCAACTTTGCTGGATTACAACAGGCACTGGCCCGATATGGAATTCCATTCCTTAACTGCCGATGGACTCAAAAAGGAAGTTCGTTCAGTGATTGAAAACCAGGCACTTCTTCAATTTTTCCCTTTAATCACAGATTCAATTATGTCCAAACTTTGTTAGTGTGTGTCTCTGTATGTTATTACTTAACCTTTTTCCTTGCATGCAAAGAATAGTAGGGAGCCCAAAGGCTGTAACAGACTGATATTCTGTTTACTTTTTTGCAGGGTGTCAGTGAAAGTCCAATGTCACTATTTTGCCGCTGGAAAAATTTCTGTGCCCGCTATTTCCATTACTGGTGCAAGAACAATTCACCCTGTGGTTTGCTTGTTCATTCCTCTTCAGGTGCTATTTGTTTAGTCAGAAAGAATTCAATGTCTCTATTTCGTGATTTGGAAAACATCGAGATGATTATTGATGGTATGTTGGACTCTCTTAGGTGATGTGCAGTTAAATATATGTCACATGTTTTCATATTTATGTTGGAGTGTTATCAAAGGATTTAAAATATCTTGACATTGAGGCAGAGTTGGTATATGATCGCATGGGATGTGGCAAAAGGATCCATAGAACCGACCCCAACTTGTTTGGGTTTGAGGCTTGGTTGTTATTGTATGTTTTCATATTTATGTTACTTTTACTGTTTCTAACTTGTATGTTTCCTTACTCTGCTAGGCTCTTCAGACGAACTTGTTGATCTTGCAAGCTTTGGATTGGATTTATCTAATGATGAGTCTGAACGTGGGATTCTTTTAGAAGTTCTGAGATGCATTATTAGTATGAGCCAACAACTCGGGAAATCAGCTTCTGCAGTATTTTACGAATCTCTCATAAGCACACCCATTGTTTCATCAGAGGAAATTGCTCCACGCTTGCTGAAGATTCTGGAAACTGGATACCGTTCATCAGTATCATCCGTTCACATATCAGATCTTGGAGGTGCTTTTGCTTGGGAGAAGGAACTGGCAGATCTCAAAAGTTTGAGGAAATTCTCTATTGACATGCTATTATCTCTCCGAAATTTGTCCAGAAAAGCTACATCGTGGAGCAGCATTTTGAATGTAATTGAAAGCTATGTACAATTTCTTGTACCCCGGAGGATCATACAAAAATTAGATGCTGAAATGTCATTCAATATCAATACTTCTATTTTGGTTCAGGCTACTTCTCAAATTGCTAAGGTTATGTTTGAGTCTTCATTGGATGTTCTTCTGTTTGTTAGCTATCTTCTGAATATCGGTGGACAGGTCAGTTTTTTTTTTCTCCCTTGCCTTTTTATTTTTATTTTATTTTAAATGAAATTCTTTTATTCATTCAAGTGTGAATACGACATATCTTCATGCCTGCCTTTGTGTGTTAAACCACTTTCAGCTTTTACTATACCGGCCAGAGTCACAACAAAGTGCATCTGGCCTTTTACCTATATTAAAGATCCTAATTCATCAATCTGCTTGATGTATAAATTGCCGTGCTCTCATCCTGCATTTTATCCGCTTTCCCATTTCACACACCATCTATGGTGTTCTATCTAACTCAAATACTTGCAAATGGATATAATTTGTGATGTTTTGGATTGTGTATTGATAAAACTGCTAATAGGGTTTAAGGCTGCTTGAACCAAGAGAAATGAGATTCAATGGCTGTTGGGTTGCCATGAGCTGTATCTACGGTAACTGTAGCTGGGCTGGCTTTGGAAGAAGCAGGTCAGGTGCAGCAGCAACAAAATAACCTCACCATATATGGATATATTTATAGACTACCAACAAGTAATAATGATGCAAAGATTTGGGGAACAGAAACCAATACAGGATTGATAAAGTTCATAAACAAGACCTAACAACCCTCTTTAGATAAATAGAGCTGCACCTGATCTCCCTAGAGGTCTTGGAACGGAGTCTTCACCTCCTCTCCTCTTTCCCCCTCCATACTCTAGTGTACTGTGCATGGGCTCAAAACTTAAAAAAGAAGAGGAAAAACTCATAGTAAGACTCAGTTTAAGACCTACCATTATAACATTCTGTTGAATGAGCAAATAAGAATTCATAAAACTTAAAAACTGAAATAAAGAAGAGACGTTGCAAAGGAATACCCTCAACACATTTTTCCAGGACACTTCCCTTTGTTTTAGGCTTCTCTCTAGTTAGGCATTGCATGATTAGTTATGTTAATTCGATACAACCAACCTTGTTAAAGCAAGGACTAAAATTGTGTGATGAAAAAGGTTAAAAAAAAAAAAAAAGGAGAAGAAGAAGCTGTAAGGCATGTTGTAACTTCTTTTTTTAAAGGTAAATAAAATACATGATGAAATCAAAGGTACATAATAAGCTGACATGATCAGTCATGCTATTCCTTATCTGAGAGGAATTATTATAGATTAAAGTAGAAGTTTATTGTCAGAAAAGAATTTAAACAAGACATCACTAGGAGAATAAGACATCCTCTCGTGGAGACAGAAGGAAGTTCTAATGTTCTATGCTCCTTTAGCCTTTAGGAACTTAATGCTCACTAACTGTAGAGAGAAGGCTATTTCACATTTCTCATGCAACTGAATGATGCAGATGTCATGATTAGTAGCTACCTCCCTACTATGACAAATCACCAGATACCAGGGTCATATATTGTTCTATGGCTGCCTAACAATCTGCAATAGAAACTTCCTATTAATATTTTAAGCACTATCATCTAGGAAAGTCTTAGCTCTGAGGGCACCTTAGCTTTCCAATATTATCAACAACTGGAAATTTAATAGAGGATCTTATTTTTTGAGGCCTCATGCTGTTTATCCAACTTGAGAAGATCTTGATCCTCCCTGTTGACCAAAATGCCTTATTTATTTGGTTAATAGGTCTAAACCAAGGTTTCCAGATTAGCTATTTCTTGTCTGCAATAGATGTGGTATCTGTCAATATTTGCCTACATTTAATTATGTTGAATTATGATCTGTGGCTCAAAATCATGTTATCTTAACTAGATAATGGATTGGGTTCTTGCTTAGTATTATATTGTTTTGCCATGAAGTCATATTATTGGGTATTAGCATTAGAGTAAAGTTGCAACAATTTGCATAATCATGAAGTAATATAGATGATTCTGGCATCTTATAAGTTTTGCTTTCATATTTTGTGTTTGCATGCAACCATCAATTATATTTTTGTGCACCTTCCTTATCCTCTTATTTCTATTGTTTCCTCAATTTTCTTAATAAAATTACCTATCCATCTAAAAAGGCGTAGAAGGAAAAATTGCCTCTGACTTCTAAGATGCATTACTGAATTTGAATAAATATATTTCCTTTTATTTTGTAAGCAGATTAATATGTTGCATGATGATATATCCAGAATACAACTTGAATTCATTCCTATGATTCAAGAAATTGTTTCCGAGTGGTTGATTATTCATTTCCTTAGCACCACATCATCTGAATCTCCTTCAATTGAAGATTTTAGTTCTCAACTCTCATCTTTGCAAATCGGTAAGTCTGTTCAGAGGGATTAATGAGCTAATTATTGCTTTTATTTTAAGTCATAGTTTGTTAACTGGAAATTATATCTGTGGCTATCATCTGAGTGGCCATTGCTTGGCAGTTTCTTTTTCTTTTTAAAAAATAAGGTTTATTCAGCATTGCAAATTAATATGGCTGCTGCATTAGCTATTAAATGGATATAGCTAGCCGGATTCTGTTCACTGGATAGCAGAGGGATATCATCCTGCCTTTCCTATCAATGAGCTGGTTTTTGCTTTTATTTTAGTGGTAGTTTGTTTGAAACTGCAATTATATCTTGGGCTATGTGCTTATTGTCTATTATGTGTAGTTTCTTTTTATTTGGAAAAAAAAGAAAAAAGAAGGTTTATTAGGAAATAGAAGTTAAAAAATGTTAATTGGAGTATGATACATCTTTCTGTGGAAAGACTAAAGAAATCTTTCTGTGGAAAAACTAAAGAAAAATAGTTGACCAATTAATTGATAATGAAAAAAAATGTAACTGGATGTTCTAATGATCTCCTCTAAAGCACTAAAGCAGTAAATAACGGAGGAGCCAGAAAGACCTTCCTATCCCAAAAATCATTCATTGGTCAAAAATTAATAATGAAAAAAAATTCTAGCATGCCTCTCTTTTCAAACACCCCAAGTCACCACAAGCACAATGAGTGTCTCGTATGAGTTTTGATCTCTCTCCATCCTATAATCTATGAAAAGGCGTTTAGAGCAATGCTTTGGAAATTTGTGGAAACCTACCTTTGCTAAGAAACGGAGACAGTTCCAAATGGTCCAAACAATCAAACAATGTAAAATAGATGACCCTAGAGGGGATCTTGGACCATCAAATGATATGAACAAAGGAAATGAACCTTGAACGAAAAGAATAAGATGTCCTAAATAACAGTTACAAGTAAATTCTGAAGGCCCTGTTGAGTCAGGAATCTGTGAATAGTTTAAATAAGTTAAAACTCGTCATTTTTTTTTTTTTTTTGACAACTGAATTATGTATCTTAGCAGTTGAATAGAAGCATTGCAACCATCGTTTCAGCAAACTCAAGTCCTCAGTTCAAAACCGGTTAAGGGTTGACAACACGGATTCCCTATCAGCATTATCCCCATTATGTTCTGTTTAGGGCCAATTTTTTTTTGTGAATATTACGATCCTAAATTTTTTACTGCTGCAATTTTTTTTTTTTTTTATTACATTGTTGATGCCTTTACACGCTATGGATGCCTTTGATCTTTATTTTGTCTTATTAAGAGGCTGATTTGATGTTGTATTAACTAAATGATCAACCTGTTTCTGTTATATCAATCAGATAACAAAACTGACAGAAGATCATGGAATGAAAAACTTGGGAAATGTGATTTTACGTTGGCTTTTATACTTTTGCTAACATTTCAAAATTCCTCTGGAGACCCGAGCCAACCGTCTTTACAATGTCTCCCAAATCCACAAGAGATAGTTAATTTAGTGAGAGACTTTACAAGCTGGATTATCTGGGGCAAAACTGGGGAAGAATCTACTTCTTTTCTAAGGCGTTCTTCTGAGATTGCGTTAATCCTTCTTAGGCATGGTCAATATGGTGCTGTTGAGGTTATTTCTTTGCATTTTGTTTCCTACAATGAATACTTCTCTGTAAACATTTGATAATTGAGGTCTTGTTGCTGACTTTTCCTTTTTTCTGTATTTTCCACTTAAGTATCTGCTTACAGTTGTGGAGGCTAATTCACGGAGGGAGAAGGTATCTAGAAGCATTCAAGACAATGATGGTGATTGGTGCATTCTTCAACATCTTCTAGGATGTTGCCTCCTTGCTCAAGCTAGGTATGGGTTCCATGGAGTGTTGAAAGAGAAGAAAGTTTGTGAAGCCATTCGCTGTTTTTTCAGGTACTTAATAATCTGTTATGCCACTAATACATTGTTGATACTATATTTCCTTCCCTTGATGTGTAGCTTTAGAGGTGGCTTAGTGACTAGGAGGGTGCTTGGATTGTTATATATATATATATATATATATATATATATATATCTGGATTGACTTGTGTCAGAAATCAAAAGTAAAAAATACTGCCTTTTAAAACATTTGGGAAATTCAAGATTCATCGAACCACTGGAAATGTAAAGAAACAATAGACGGAAAATTATTTCCTCACCTTCCGAAAAGATTATAATGCTTGCAAAATTGTCGATCCATCATTCATGTATTTTTATCTTATCTAATTTCCACAATGTTGTAAGGTTGATCTTCTGAACAATTTTCTTTTGTGCCTTACTCCTGGCATTAATTATTTACGATGTTTCTTTGCTCTTGCTTATGATGAAAACTGCTCCAAATTTCTAGCACAGGAATTTTTGGGAAGTGTGCATATGTTTCAATAAGGTTTAATTTTTGTTTTAACTTTGCCATTCAGAGCTTCATCTGGACAAGGAGCTTCCCAAGCTTTGAAAGATTTGTCCCATGATGCAGGATTACCCAATCTTGGTTTTGGTTAGTTTTTTTTTAATTAAATATATATAATTTTTTATTTCTATTTTCTTGAAGGAGAATCAATGATTTTCTTGGAACAAATGAACTGTTTTATGTGCCAGTCAAACAATGATTTTTCATTTTTCATCTTTTTAAATTTTTTTCCCAGATGATTGTGTCTCTTCTGCTGCTTGGAAGCTTCATTACTACCAATGGGCAATGCAGATATTCGAGCAATATAACATTAGTGAAGGTGCCTCCCAGTTTGCACTTGCTGCGCTGGAACAAGTTGATGAAGCTCTTAGTCAGAAAAATGATTCATCTGGGATCGATGTTTCCAATGAATCAGACACTACCATCAGAGGACGGCTTTGGGCGAATGTCTTCAAGTTTACTTTAGACCTCAATCACTTATATGATGCATATTGTGCAATACTTTCAAATCCAGATGAGGAGAGCAAATACATCTGCCTGAGGCGTTTCATAATAGTTCTCTATGAGCGTGGGGCGATGAAGGTTTTTGCTAACTCATTGATATTCCTCTTATTATTTGCCTTTTCATTTCCAACATTATTCAATGTAATTTTGAGGCACTCATTTAGGAAGTAAGCCTTTTGCTACAATTACTGTAAATGCCATACCATACCTTAGTTTAAACATTTGTTTCTGAACTTCTATGATTTATTCACACTGCAGGTAATTTGTAATGGACAGTTACCCTTCATTGGTTTAGCAGAGAAGATAGAGCAAGAGCTCGCTTGGAAGGTATGAACTTAGTCACCTGATGTTTTCTTGTAGCATTTTCGGACTGACTAACATCCTGAAATTTGTAGGCAGAACGTTCTGAAATCTTGGCAAAGCCGAACCCATATAAGTTGCTTTATGCATTTGAAATGCACCGACATAACTGGCGAAGAGCAGCAAGTTACATATATCAATATTCAGCTCGTTTGAGGACTGAGTTAGATCTGAAAGATCACCAGCGCATGTCACTGGTGCTGCAAGAGAGGCTGAATGGCCTCTCTGCTGCAATCAATGCTCTGCTTCTTGTCCAATCTGAATATGCTTGGATAGATTCTCTGTTTGAGGGAAATTCTGTTCGTAATGAGAGTTATCCCAGTAAAAAGGCTAAAAAGTTGGTGAAAGAATGTTGTAAGTACTGCAAACAGTAATTTTGTTTATTTGTTTAGCCGTTATCTATATTGCTTGTTTGATAGGTGTATTATAGTATATTTTGCATTTATATTTTGAACTTATCTCTCTCTTTTGTTAGTTGGAAACTTAAGAGTGCAGTTTATGCACTATTCTGATTGAGGCAATTAATGTATTTTGCTTCTTTAACAGTGACTGGGAATGATGTTCAGGCCCAAACGCTGCAGTTTTACATTGATGTTGAGAAACTTGAAAAGGAGTTCGTGCTAACGTCTGCAGAATATTTGCTTTCATTATCAAATGTCAAATGGACATTCACTGGTACATTTTCTTTTGGTGACCAAGGCCACTTTTTATGGTATAATGTGTATAAGCAACTTTGGATTCTTTAAAAATCTTATATCTCCATCTCATTTTACAGTTGAATGAAAACTTTGCAGGATTGCTTTTCCTTTTTTCTGATAGTTAATTTTCTTGTTCATTTGATTAAATGTTTTTATTTTGCTTTTCTCTTACAGGAACAAAAAAGGCTCCTTCAGATTTGGTTGATCTCTTAGTCGAGACAAACTTATATGATATGGCATTTACAGTTCTTTTAAAATTCTGGAATGGTTCAGGATTGAATAGGTGCTTCCTCGTGCTCATTTGTCTAAAATCATTTTATTATGACCACGAATGATTTTCTTGTCATGCTTGTGAATGTAACTTGGCTCTTTTCTTTGCTTAGGGAATTGGAAAGAGTTTTTTCTGCTATGTCGTTGAAATGCTGTCCCAACAAACTGGGCTCCTCATCTACCGGGTCGGATAATTCTGACCTTTCTTATCTTCCAATCATTATTTCCTTACGAGTCACTCTACCCTTTTCCATTAAGTTCCATTTGAAAGTGAAACCTGTTAGATATTTTTATTGAACTTTGATGAATGATTTCAGGATGCATGGTCTTTTGTTGACGTCCTCGAAGGAAGAAATAGTTGTTCATGGTTCACCTGATATGGGCCTTACTTCACAGCATCATCAGGGGAATGCTCAGTGGGAGACTCTTGAGCTTTATCTTGTTCGTATCTTTTGCACTTCTTTCATTTCCACTCCTTAATTCTCAAAATGATTCCATTTCCTATTGTTTGATAAAGGTACCAAAGAATAGAAGAAAAGAATAATGGCCTCACATTCTCTTCTTTCTTTCATTTTTAAATTGAATTTTTGTAGTTTTGATATTATAATTTACATGTCAACCTTTTGCTTTTGTAGTAGATGAACTAACCAGGCATGTTTGTGTTGAAATCTCATGATGCATGCTATTAGTGAAAAAATATTTCTTTCCCTCCTTCCCTCTGGCTCTTCTCTGTGTATTTACTTAATGGTTCAGCTTTAATTAAAAAAAAATGTCAGTGTTCTGGACAACTTTTAAAGGATCACATGTATCCCATGGTCACAGACTTTAGAGATTTTCTCTTTCTATTCATCTCTGAGCTCACATTTTGTCATAACCTTGAGAAAGGCCCAGGATGTTTGGTCTTTTCTCTAATTCCTCGTCTGACCTTGTGCTTATGGATTTCTTTTTCTTTACTGCAGAAAAAATATAAAGCTTTTCATGCTGGATTACCAGCAACAGTTGCTGAAACGCTTCTCCGCACAGATCGTCAGATTGAATTGCCTCTGTGGCTGGTACACATGTTCAAGGTAATCTTACTGATTTTCTTTTAGATAAACAGAAAATTTTCATTCTCATGCTGTACTCAACAATTATCATTCAAATATTACCTTTCTGTCAGACAAGTTATCCTTTCATATTACTCTGTTCTCAGTTGTTAGACTTGATTCAAGGACTCTCTTAAATTACCCTTTGAACCCAGCTTTTATGATTTTCCTCCGACAATCTTGTAATAGAGATTTACTTTTCCGTTGTGGTAAATAATTGTCCGGTTAGGAACTATGTAATAAGTTGTACCTTACCAAAACTTGCTTGTTTCAAAGCACTGTTGTATGTTTCACCCTATTTCATTTGAGCAGTTGTCTTTACCTATGTAGACAGATGTTTGATTTGCTATGATTTAACTTCCTGTTGTTTTCTCATTATTTCATTGTTGTACATGTTGCAAAGTCATACTGAGTCCTCTTAATCAAATCTATGCTGTTGTATTCTTTTGGCTTGACAGGAGAGTCGAAGGGATAGGACCTGGGGGATGGCTGGCCAAGTATCAAATCCTGCATCTTTGTTTCGGCTATATGTTGATTATGGTCGATTTACAGAAGCTACAAATCTGTTGCTTGAGTATACCGAATCATTTGCATCAGTGGTAAGCTGCAACCATTTCAAAATCATATACATTAGTTCCACTACTCTGTTTGTTCAAGGTTGATTTCATTTCAGCATCTCATGACATTTCCTTTGCACTTGCGGTCAACTGATAAAAGGTATAAAATGGGTTATGGTCCTTCCTTTGTTTCTTAGCTAGGATCTTGATGCATACATGACTACATACATTATGGATATGTAAGGCAATAGGAACTAGGAGTGAGCAAATGGTTGGTTCAGTTCTTTTTTTTGTATGTATAAAAACCAAATCGTGTGAACTGAAATATTTCTGTTTGGTTTTTAATTATTTTCAAATAAAATTTTCTTATTTAAAGTTTCTCATTTTTTCATTATTTATGAAAAATAAAAGACGTAATTTTTCTTTTAAAAAAAAGCACCAAACCAAACAATCTGAAAATTGAACCAAACAAATTGAATTATGGCAGTTTCAGTTTGAACCGAACAGTGCACACCCCCTAATAGGAATTGTAACTTTTATTAAAGTCTCCCAAACTGAACCTTACAATGTAGCTGCTCATAGGGAAGATTGGAAACTATAGGGTGTAGCTAGTAAAGGAGCCCTCTCATTCCTGTATTTAATCCATGTTGGATATGCCAGGATACATCAACATTTCTGAAGTTAAATTTGTTTCTTTTATATGTTTCATTGGATTGACTTATTTATGTACCAATGCATCATTTTGATAGGCTTTACAGGCAATTGTAGACCATGATCATTTATAAGTGACCCAATAAAATCACTGATGTGTTTTGTTTCTCATGATTTTATCCTCTGACCTGCCTCAATAGAGGGCACGACCTCTAAGTGTCTGCATGGGAGGGAGTTGGACGATACAACTTTCCCAAGATGTTTGAAGGCATCACTCTTGTTTAGCTGCCATCTGTTCTTTTCTTCTCTCTAGACTAGGCAACATCTCAATTTTGAAAACTGTCTATTAATGGTTATCTGCTGGCTGGTTGTTCACTTGAGATGCTAATTCTGCAGAGACCATCGGACTTGATTAATCGGAAAAGGCCATTTGCGGCATGGTTCCCATACACAGCAATAGAGCGCCTATGGTGCAAGCTTGAGGAATTGATTAATTTGGGTCACATGGCTGATCAATGTGGCAAGCTCAAAAGCCTATTGTATGGAGCTTTGCAGAACCACCTCAAGCAGGTAATCCATATTTCTTTCTTCATTCACTTCCTTTTCTTTTAAATGAGTGATTTACTTGTTAGTAAAAAGTGAAGGTAGCAGAAACTTGTGAAAAAGCCTAATACAGATAGAGAGGTACAGATAACAGTGCACTGCCTCCTGAAAAAGCAACTTTGAATCTTTTGATCAACCAACCAACTGAAGACAGAGAAGTCACAATTAGCAGAAATTTCTTATCGATTTGGATACGGTTTTGTAACTTATGTTTTGTGCGAACGGAATTGTTTTTCAATTGCTTATGTTGTGTCCAGGTGAAGGTGGACTCTGAAGATGCATTATCCGCTGCTGTCTGTTAAGAAGTTCTTGGAACGGATGAGTTTAAAGTTCAATAGAGCATAGGACACATCAGGATCTTTGAACAGATTATGAGCTGCATTTAACACAGATAAGTATCAGTTTGCTTGTTCTGACTTCTGCCGAGGAAAGAAGTGGTGCTACGGTTCTGAAAGTCCAATTTTTGTACATATGCACATAGTTGGGCTCTGATAGAATCGTTGATTGAAAGGGAAAGAAAAAGAAAAGGCTTCCCGTTTGTATCATTAGTAAAATCATGGTAGGGGTAAAACCTAAATTCTGAGAGCGATGTAGTTTTTGGTGCCTTCATTTTTCTTCCCCACCGGCTGGATTAATTTTCTCTGTTTGGGTTGAGTTGCTTTAGCTATGGGCTTCAATGCTCATGTAATCCGCGCTTCCGCACCAGTAGTAAATTAATAGTAAATTATTTCTATATGCCAAAAGGAAAGCAAAAATAAAAAAGTTCGGATCCTATAGTATTTATGATTCATCTAATTTGGTTTTTTTTTACTGTCTAACGGCCAATGGCTCTAATTGATATGGGTTGTTGTTTGCAATAATGGAAATTGGAAACTCGAGGCCATTTGTCCCATTGTAAAGGAATATCCTGAAACGTTAGGGAGTGGGGGAAAAAAGCAACAAGAAAAGGAAGATTAGGTGGTGCGTGCTTATTTGGCGTGAATGGGAAGGGATGCACATTGCAAGATTTCAATAGCTGATCCATCTGGTGGTAAATGAGGTTTTCATGCGGCACTAATTTTTAAGGTATTTGTACAGTAATGGGTTTTTTAAAGATTGAAAAAAGAGTCCGATGTGAAATTAGTGTGGTTTGCTATCACGTTATTACTTAATCTTTTTTTTAAGGGGAGGATGTGAAAATTAATCTTTACGAACATGCCAATTTATAGTACACAACACGTTAATATCTTATCAAAAAAAATAATAATAATTCGAATAAAGTAATTCGGAAAATAAAAACATGAGCATTCAAGGCAGGGAAGACTTGAGGTGGCGGTCAATTTGAAAAGGGGTGACGTTTGCCCCTATGTGGTGTGGCATATGGGTATATCAACCATCCGTTTATGAGATTTCTATTAGTCCAAGAAACAAAATGGAAAAGGAAAAGGTCAGTCTGGTTTGGTGGCCCAATGCCCAAACAAGAAGCTTCTAAAACACGCACGTATTTTGCTTTGATTTTTTCCGAACGTTTTCAAGCTTACTAAAATATAAAACAATTAGTAGTACAGTGGCAGGATGTATGTATAATTATTGACTTTGAAATGCTGATAATAATTATTATTTTATAATATGCCATCTATTACTATTACTATCACCGTTGGCTAAACAAACGTTCAACACTTTGAATTTTGAATTTGAAAGGAAACAACAAAACAATAAAAAAAGAAAAAAAAGAAAAAAGAAAACCAATAAAACAATTAACAAAAACAAAACTCAGAACAGAAAGCAAAGGGAAAGTGAAAATACTCTGCTTTCGTCTATTCCTCTCAACTGAAGGAAGGCTTCTTCCAGCCACAAACAAACAAGCATACGAGGTCGTACCCGATTTCTCCGACCGGAGCCCCTAATTTCTCCGATTACGTTTCTACCAAAGGTAAACTAGCTTATTCTCATGCTTCATCTCTCTCTCTCTCTCTGCGAAAACAAGAATAATTCTTAGTTGAAATTTATTTACTTCTTTCCTTTTGATTATTGATAGCAGCAAACTATGAAATTTATTTACTTAAAGAGAAGAAGATGTTTCCAGTTCCATTTTCAGTAAAGTTTATTAATCTCAACTTGAGTTATTATTATTATTATTAATGAATTCATAATTTTAGAAACAGCTCAACTTAATCCATTTACTTCTCCTTAAATTTTATTTTTGCAAGATACAAATAAAATCAAACTTCTTGCTTTATTATTTATTTAGTAATTAGTTTGTAGCGCTGCGAAATGTCTACTAGCATTTATTTATGACAGGCATAGAGTGCATGCTTAAATAATATTGAGTCAAATCACCTTGTGTATTTGGGTTTTCTTCTCATTGAATTTGATGGTTTTTTTTTTTTTTTTTTTCTCCTTGTGGATGAAGATGGCAGAGACAGCGGAGGAGCCGGGAAAAGACAGTGGAAAGTTGGAGCATCATGTCAGGGAAGATAGCGAGTATGTTAGACTTGTTATATCCGACGAACCAAGGGTACCTGAATTTGATATTTCACAACTTCAATCAAGAGCGAGGGCTAGAGCTTTCATTTGGTGGATCAAAGCTTTAGTTTGGTGCGTTGTTATCACCGTACTTCTTCTCGTTTTTTTGAAATGGGGAGTTCCATTTCTTTTTGAGAAGGTACTTTATTTCCCCCTACTGTTTTCTTTTTACCCTTCGCCTGCATTGGTGCTGTCTATAGCTTTAATCAACAAGTATTGCATACCATCCAGCAATCATTTGCGCTTTTCATATTTCATTTTGTACTTTGAACCTTCTTCCGTTAGTAAGCTTGGTTTATGATCTGTTCGAAATGGTTCTTTTGGTATCAATTTGGATTATGAATTCAGCTTTCTGGTTGGCAAGCTTAATCAAGTTTGCGGACTTGTGATTTAAGAATCAACTTGGTATTTAAGTTTGGTTATGCCAAAGATTGATCAATTTCATTGTAGGTTCTCTTGCCAATGATGGAATGGGAAGCAACTGCCTTTGGCCGTCCAGTCCTCGCCCTAGTGCTGACTGCTTCTCTTGCCTTGTTCCCAGTGTTCCTAATTCCTTCAGGTCCTTCCATGTGGTTGGCTGGAATGATCTTTGGTTATGGTATTGGGTTCGTGATAATCATGGTTGGAACCACTATTGGGATGGTCCTACCCTATTTGATTGGACTAGTTTTCTGTGAACGCATCCATGTAAGACAAATGATTTTTATCTGATATAAGCTAGACAAATTGGTGATTATATTGGATCCTACTTTTCTTTCTTCTGCATCTCAATCTGTGTGAATTATTTCTGTTGAATGTGCAGCAATGGTTGAAGAGATGGCCCCAGAAAGCTGCTATGATTAGACTTGCTGGGGAGGGGAGCTGGTTCCATCAATTTAAAGTGGTTGCTCTCTTTAGGGTTTCACCATTTCCATACACAATTTTCAACTATGCAATAGTGATAACAAGTATGACATTTTGGCCCTACTTATGTGGTTCAGTTGCTGGAATGGTACCAGAAGCTTTTATCTACATCTATAGGTCTGTTCTCTTGGTTATGCGTTTTGGCCACTTTTGGTTCTTATTCCAGTGAAACATACAAGGAAACATAGATATCTGGTAATCTTTTTGGACTGTTTGTCCAGATGATGACTATTAAAAAAATGAAAGCCAAATCAAATTGTTGCAAGAATCTAATGATCTCAATTTGCAAAAAGTATTGCATTTTAGATTCTTCTATTTGAAGATAACTCATGTTGAAATAATGATCTGCCAATTTGTTTTGCCTTCCTCACATCTCAACCTCAAGCTTGTGCTTTTGTGCAGTGGTAGGTTAATAAGGACATTTGCTGATGTGAAGTATGGGAACTATCACTTGACTACCGTGGAAATAATATACAACATCATCTCCTTCATTATTGCAATTGTTACTACTGTTGCCTTCACCGTTTATGCGAAAAGAGCTTTGAAGGAGCTTGAAAGGGCAGAGGCTACTGAAGAAGTCCCCCCTCGCACCAAGAAAGTCATGAGATGGGAAAGCTTCCACTTGAAAGACCTAAGCATGCGGGCTTGTCATCTTTTTCATTATAGCCTGAATACGTAGGAGGAAAATATACGTACCTGTAAAAATTGATATGTTAGATGGCATTTGTCGACTGGCTGATCCTTGTAACTTACTTATTGACCCCTCTTGAGGGGGTTTTGGTGTTCATGTTTGTAACTACAAAAATAGAGTACAGAAGAAAATTTAAGGGACCAGCCTGCGTAAAAGGTGTAACTTAGCATATTTTTCCTCATCTGTTTTCTACTTTTACCATTCAGGAAACAACCATTTTGTTTAGGATCTTCTGAATAATATTGTTAATTGTATGCTCTTGATAAATACAAGGAAACATACATCATCTTGTGGGTATGGAATGAGGCAATCGTAGCTTCTATTCAAATTATTAGTACTCATTTGCCGATGATGTTTGAGCTACTCGCCACACATTGATGCAGACTTGCACCAAAACTATTAAGAAAGCTTGCCATTTGGTGGTATGAGAGATTGGATTCAAATTTTAACTGGCTTATTTATGTGATAATAAAAAGAATAACATGATCATGATGAAAACAACGTGGACATTCAGTACTCAAAAAGAAGGAAGAAATAAAGATGCTCTTAAATTATCTGAATCTGATTGAGGCATTGGTGTTCTTCTATTTACGTTAAGGGCATTCGGTTCTATCGGTTGTGGTGGATTTTTTGTGGGATGAAAAGAACAGGATTGGATGATGAAGTTATGAGCCATGGTGTGGTTAACTCATAATTTTAAATTGTGGAGGGTTGAAAAAATGCTCACGGTCGCTATCGTGGATCATGATTTACTATAATACTAAAATAATGATAATAAAATATTTTGAAATCGTTACATAATGACTGTTATATAGTGTAATAATCGTTATTTAAAACTATGGTTTAAATGATAAATCTGCTCGAATTTAAGAGGAGACGCAAGTGGGGTGTTCCCTTTTTTCTCTTCTTTTTGCCTTTTGGCGGAAGAACCAACTTTCAAGATGCAGGCGCTTGGGTCACAGGAGAAAGCTCAGTTATAGTGCCTGTGCTTCCATCAATGACAACCATTTCTTGTCCCGCGCTATGAGATGATTCTGTGGCTAGTTTATCCGTCTGTGCTCCGTGGTGGTCGCTTGGGTCCCTCCAGGTCCTTGCTGAGCGGCCTGCCCAACCTTCTAATGCTGAGTACACGTCCTCACCAAACATGCCTTTCCTGAACTTGGTGCCCATCTGTGCTCAGATACCATCAGCAAGGAAAGAACATGAGTTTATGAAGAACATCTCAACCATTAAAGAGCTCGTGTAACGTAAATAGTAGTGTGTAAGTTCACCAACATGGGAGACTAGAGCATACAAAGGCAAGGTGCTATAACTGCACAGAACTTGCACGATCAAACTGCATCCACCAAATAATGCAATAAGAATGCTTGTTCCTTGGATACTTGGGGAAGAAGAGGAAAAATTAAAAATGTGGATCATCAGGTTTTGGAATTACCCCATAATAAGCCGTGGCACAAGGTAGCCCAATCTTTCCATGATGCATGAATTGAATCCGTATGTGCTCTGGAAGAGGAGGGAGCAAACTAATCAGAACTGCAAATGCACTTTTATTGCTGCGCGTTGAAATTATGGAGAAACATGTGATCAACTTTGGAAACTATTCATGTGTACCCAGATCCAGAAGAAGAAAGCAATCTCAAATGAATTCTGAAACAAAATGAACTGAATCAAGTCAAGAATAATGGCGGGGCTCTCAAGCCAGAAATGTTCATCTGAAGGCTGTACTCGTGCTTCTTCAACAACAACTGGCGTCTTCTGAGTCACCCTGTGGCCTAAACTGGTGATTATGTGTTCTAACTTGGCGCCCACCAGTAGCAAAAGCTGCCATTCAACCCAGCTCGATAATGTTAGGCTTGCATCCAATATCATTGCATTCCTCAAAACATGCCAAATAAACCCTTCAAATGTGTCTGTGTAACTTGTGTATTAGCTAAAAGAAAGCATTCAGTTCTACTTACAATCACTGGTAAAAAGGACAGCCAAAAGAAGGTATGCCAGCCTGCATTTTCATTCACGTATGGGAAGCTTAATAATGATGCCTGGTTTTTATGAATCACAGGAATCCAATTGCTCAACTCAGACAAAGGGAAATTACCTTCCACATTCAGCAGCAAAAACATCACAATAAAGAGCCACAGATACCAGCTGTTGTCCGATATTAGTTGGCATTGGTTAACTTCAAACCAACTAAAAATGAAAAAAAGAACCATTATTCTGAAACACTTACCTTATGGTAACAATTCTCTTGAAATCAATCTGCAGTGTCCGCATCATGTACTTGTGAAAATCAAAATTAATCACCTGGGGGCAGTGAGTCTGGATTGGAAACATGAGTGATCATTAAATGAATAGAACACACCTTGCAGAATTATATAGTGAACAAATATGTGGTGAGTGATTGAAACTTAACTGTGATAAATCCTTTTCGAAGAGCAATGTAGTCTGATTTGGTAATAGAGCCATAAAATTGTTTGAAGAATGCTATCTGAAAGCGAGCACGAAAACTGCTGAAGTCTATATCATACTTTTGTGTAAAAGTTTGAAGGGTGGACTATAGGAGGCAACATAGGCTGGTTTGAGACTCACCAGCCAACTTAAAACAGCTGACCTTCTCCAATATCCTTTTTCGTGTTTTTTAATGAACTGGAGATAAAAAAGGTTTTCATGATGTTGCTTAGCTAGATCTGCACAAAAGAGAGCATACGTTTAACAAACTAAAGCATTTTGATTGTTTCTACGGTGATAAAAGAAGATTGTGCATTTTATCATTTAGATTCAAGCCAGCCAACCTGGGACTGTTCTTGATGGATGTCTTATCGAATCCTCCCATTTCTTCCATTGTCGTATCTACGGAATGTAGAATTAATACGCATCGTAATACTTTGAAAGGTAAAGAAACTATTGGACATAAAGTAGAGATGCAAGGGGAAAAAAACAAAAATTGACAATGATAGAGCAGTTTGGGTAAACAAATGAAGAAAATTCCAAATAAGAATGGCTACGAAATGAAGCGTCAGCTTCAAATTTTGTCTGCTCATCTCAAAGGGAAAATGTGACCAATTAATTGGTGTAGAGCAGGTTATAAAGTTAAAGAGACATGGATGCATTACCCTTGCCCCTCCAAGAATCATTGTAGATGCACAAAATATGACATGGACAACTGCCAGCACAAAGATGAAAATATGCAGTTGGTGCAATGCTTCCACAGACACCAATGGAACCTGCCCCTGTGTATAGAAAAGGGATGTCCAAAATGTCAGTTTATAAGATTTAACGCGAGCACAGCTAGATATAGTAATGCATATATGGATATTCTCTGTGCTACAAATCCATTTTATCAGTATCAACCTTATATGCCTCTACAAAACTCCTTAACAAGTGAACAACTCTTCTTTTCGAGACCAATCATCAAGACAAGACCTTTGAGCCATCCCATGAAGGAAATAAATTCCTCAGAAAGATCCACGGCCCATTCTTGGACCCACTTTAGACAAGCATGGTCAGACTAATCTTCATGTGGCATCCGTCTAGGCACTTTGAGGAGCCATTGGCTTACATTATCTCGAATTCATGTATAAATACCAATACATGGGATGGCCAGTATTTATGTGGCTTTCTAGTTAAATTTTTCTTTCTCATCTGCCTAAATAACAACGTAATTTAGCTGCAAAATCATCAAATCTACATGGACTAGTAGGTACAAAGTTCTGTTTACAGCAGTAAGCATAGTGGCATACCTCTCGAGCACACTTTTCTGCACTATCACTTGCAGATAGTAGCTGACGTCGATTTATAGCTCGATTATAAATTTTTTCGTGGTTGCTGCTCCCAGTTTCTCTCTTGCATGGCAGCATGGTGGTAGCAAGATGAGGTGGGATGCATATGCGGCTTATTGAATTTTGGGTAACTGTTAGGAGAAGGGAAATGAACCCTAAAACCATCAATTCTGTTGGAAAAATATCAGGAGAACTTAAAATTAGACCCAAGAGATAAGAAACCTGTATAATCTAGATGCAATATGATTTACTGTTAGGACTCCTGTTATTCTTTGGAACGCATCGAGGACGTACGTAGATAATCTAAAAAATAGCAACATGCTGGATTTACTACAAAAGAAGATATTTTACTACTCCATTATACTGCAACATCCTCAATTATGTCTCACAAATAATGAAACAATCTGTTACAAAAATCCACTGCAACCTTGCACTTATCTATATTTTCTGGACAAATTTATAAGTGCAAACTTGCCAGCATTTGTTCCATATCGTGGATCATGGAGAATTTGTCATTAAACTTGATGCACATCTTGTATAGAGAAGATCAGGGAGAAAAGGATTGACTTAACCTTCTTTTAATTTTGTTAAGGCTTCAAACAATGCATCTTGCTTCGTATTCCTCAAGAACTGAATTTCCAAACCAAAAACCAACCACCAAAAGTCAGGAATTTCTATAAGCACCAGAAAACATCTTACATAAGCTCTTTTTATTTGCTTAAAAATTCATTTGATGCAAAAACAGCTTTTGAATAAACATAAATATCAAAAGCTGACAATTTTTCTTGCAGAGGAAGAAAGATACAGGTTCATAACTAGTAACATTAGATAATTATACCACACACAAGGAGCGCAATCAGTGTCATTTCGTACATTCATTTCTGCACGCTTTCAAATTTATCTTCACTTCAGTTTAATTTTTGGTCCAAATATGAAGTTTTTACAAGAACAATTTAAAAAGTGATAGCCGAGGATCGATGTTCAATTTTGGGAGCCAAAAATTTTAAACATTGAAGGAATAAGATTTGAACCAAAATATTACCTAGCTGGAGTGTAAAAGATACCACAAGGAATATATAACATACCTTTCCCAGTTCATGAAGAACGCGCTGAGCAAAAATGGAGGCGACAACAATGACAAAACAGACAGCAGCAACCACCCACGTCGGTGTGTACTGCAGAGATTTGGACTCTTCCTCCATAGTACCTGTGATTCTTGAGAGTCTGGTAAAAGAATTTGAAAGTGACCTGAAATTTATATAGATTGTAAGAATGGCAAAGAATAAGCACATTCCGAAGATAAAAGGAAAGAATATAATTGACACCACCGATTAAGCAAGGCACATAATTTACAAACATTGGAAAAGCACTGATCAGTATCACAGTAGCTCTGAAAGGAATCCCTTGAAGTCGACCTCTCACGTTTTCTCACGTGAGTCATGAGATTCCAATTTTTGCTGTGAACACACTTCGAACTTATTGTCCTGGCCTCATGGCGTTCTTTACTCAAATAGTTTATCAACGTCAAGGAACTACTGATTATAATTTTAAATCATGGACAAAGTTGTAAAAATAATTACCATCGTGATTATATATAGATTATGAATGTATTAATAATTATTAATAAATATATTTTAAATCACAATAATAATTAAATTTATTAAAAAAGAAAAAAAATTTATAACATTTTTAATAGTTTAATATAAAAAAAAATTATAACTTGGGATATAGATTACAAAATATATATTCATTTAAAAAATGACAATTGTGGAGGATCATAATAATAGTTAATATCTTTTTGATATTGTGATCATTATCTATCAAAGTTATAACTATAATTATACCATCCTCTCAAATCTAATTGACCAAACAATAAAATAGAATAGATGATTTAATTTTTCTGATTTAATGAGGTATCATATCACTTTTAAGTTGCACAACTATATATATAGACTTAAAAAAGAGTTTATAATGGATCAAAATTTTTGAAAAAAAAAGGAAAAAAAAATCAAATAACGGCCAAATAATGGCAACAATTATTATTACTAAAAAAAAACTAAATTAAAACATGATTTTACTATTCATTTTCACTATTTGAAATACTATTCACACTTACAAATCACTATTTTTTTCATTATTTATATCATTTTTGTATCATACTTTGGTCCTCATTTTTTTTACATTTTTGTTTTAATTTCAAACTTTAATTGTATTGTGATTTAGTCCAATTTTGTTTTAGTATTTTGTTTTAATTATTTTTATTATTTAAAATTTAATACTTTAATTTTTCATTTTTTAAAATTCTCTCCCTTTTTCTCTTCAATTTCAAACTTTAACTATATTTTGATTTGATCTCATTTTGTTTTAATGGTTTTTGTTAATTATTTTTATTATTTAAAATTTACTACTTTAATTTATTATTATTATTTAAAATTCTTATCCAATTAATTTAAAATTATAATTATTGACAGCTTTGATTTAGTTTTCTATATGTATTGCTTTTGGAATAAATTTTTAGAACATGATTATTTTCTCTTTTGAAAAGTAGATTTAGATCATTTTTAAATCATAGTGGCAAGATTAATATATATAATTTTTCTGAAATATATTTTTAGATTAAAAGAGCATTTTGAATAATTTTTTCTCAATTTTTTATATTATTTTAAATTTACTACATTAATTTGTCATTTTTTAAAAAAAATTCTCTTTTTTTGTTCAATTTCAAACTTTAATCATACTCGTCATTTGGTCTCATTTTATTTTAGTATTTTTTTTAATTATTTTTATTATTTAAAATTTACTACTTTAATTTGTCATTTTTTTTAAATTCTCATCTAATTAATTTGAAATTATATTTACTCGATAGTTTTGATTTATTTTTCTATATATATGGATTTTAGAATAAATTTTTAGAACATAATTATTATTTTTTTAAAAAATAGATTTAGATAATTTTTAAATTATAGTGGCATGATTAATATATATATATATATATATATATATATATATATATATATATATATAATTTTTCTGAAATACATTTTTAGATTAAAAGTTTTTTTTAAATAATTTTTTCTCGATTTTTTTTATATCATTTGAAATTTACTACATTAATTTATCTTCTTTTTTTTAAATTCTCCTCTCTTTTTTTCAATTTCAAACTTTGATTATATTGTGATTTGGTCCCATTTTGTTTTAGCATTTTTTTTAATTATTTTAATTATTTAAAATTTACAACTTTTTGTCATTTTTTTTTTAATTCTCATCCAATTAATTTAAAATTATATTTATCGATATTTTTTATTTATTTTTCTATATGTATGAATTTTGAAATAAATTTTTAGAACTTGATTATTTTTTTCTTTCGAAAAATAGATTTAGATAAATTTTAAATTATAGTAGTATGATTAATATATATAATTTATATAAAATACATTTTTAGATTAAAAGTGCATTTCAAATATATTTTTTTATTTTTTAGAAAAAAAATCTAATTAATTAATTAATAGTTGAAAGTCAAATGTGAAAAATAAAAGAAGAAGGTTGCTCTGTGCGTGAGGCTTATGTTCAAGGACTAGCCATCCATAACATAGAAATAAAAAAATATTTAAGGAGGAAAAAAATAATTCATGGGTTTTTATTAATTTGCTTCTTTTTCATATAATCAAAATTAATCGAAATCAAATTTGTAATAATTTTTATTGTAGTTTATTAACTTCAAATTTAGTCAATAGATTCCTTGCAAGTTAACTTTTTATATATATATATATATATTATTTTTTTATTTTATATAGAAAACCCTAAACTCACTTAGTATAGTTATGATATATAAAAAATATTGAATCATTGTTTTTCTAGAAATTAATCGTGCAACTACTACTATACTAAGCATTTACTATTTATTTATTTATTTTTGAATTAAATAATTGAAATAATGTTTTGGCTTAACCACTTAATGATTCAAATTAATATAGTTTTTTATTTTAATATTATTCATTCTTTTGTAAATAAATATATAAAAAATAAAGTCATATTTTTTCAAAAACCGATATTCTCATCAACATTAAATAAAAAAAATTATTTATCCAATTCTATATAAGCTTTTAGTAATTGTTATTTATGTTTTTCGATACAATCTTATGAAATACTGAAACTTTTTTAAAAAAAATATTTAATTTACTTTTTAGTTAATAATCTATAAATTAACAAGGATAAATCCTTTTTCTAAAGGAAAAATTATGAAAAACACAAATAAGAAATAGTTAAATACAAAATTTTTGATTAAAAAATTATAAATAATTTTTTTACCTTTGATTTTATATATTTTTATAAATTCATAACATAAAACAGATTATCAAACTGAAATGATTTTCTAAACAATTTTATATATTTCATCTTACTCGCGAGTGTAGCGTGGGCAAAAAAATAGTAAATAAAACTACAAGTAAAACTATTGGTTTTACTATTCATTCACTATTTGAAATATTATTCACCCACACTCATTTTACTATAAACACACACAAAAGCACTATTTCTTTAAATGTGTAATGATATTTTTGTAGTTTTCAAACATTTTTAATACATTTATAATGAAAGTTTTCCTAACATTGCACTTTGATCCCTCTTTTTTAAATATGGTTTTTTTCAATCCGTAAAATATTTTTTGTTTGGTTTTGTCCCCTTTTTTTTTTTTTTTTGCTTCATTTTTGTCTCTTTGTTCCTTTTTTCTTTGATTTTTTTAATCAAAAATTTTAAGGCAAAAAAATGTTTAAAAAACATTACAAAATAAAATTTTAGCTAAGAATCCATTGGTTTTAATATTATTTATACTATTAAATAATTTTTTTAATAAAACATTTATGAAAAATATAAAGAATAATCAGTTAGATACAAAATTTGACGTATTTTGGTAGACGTATAATATAACACGGGATATTAAAATAAAAAAATTAAAAAAAATAATTTTAGGTATTTTGTCTAACTCGCAGCTTAGCGCGTGTAAAAATTTTTGTAATATATACTAAAAGAGGATGGGGTTTCACTCGTAGCTAAGCCCCTGCTACATAAAATTAAAACGAAGTCGTTTTAGCCTTTTTCCTAAAAAAAAAGTGATTTTTTGTCAATTTTTTTAACATTTTACACTTTGATTCTCTAAGTTATTACTTTATATAAAACAATTCCTAATTTTAATTAATATTACAAAAAGGTCCCTATAATATTTTTTGCTGAACTGGGTTATTTTTTTCATTAATTATTATTTAATCAAAATATTTTTTCCCATAATTAATGGTTACTTTTTCTATTTTTATAAATATTCATTAACTAAAATTGAATATTCTTCTAATATAAATTGATTAAGCACCACCTTCTGATTTAATTTTTTTAAAATAAATAATTAATTACATGTATTTTTTATTTATCAAAATAAAAAATATTCCTAAGATATTTTTAAATTCAATTATATATATATATATATATATATATATATATATATGTATATGTATATATATATATATATGTATATGTATATATATATATTAAATTAAAAAAAATTTACAATGAGTGTTAATTAATTTTTATTTTATATTTATATTTTTAAATTATTTAAAATATTAAAATATAGATATAATAAACTTATCCGTGACAATGTACATGTATTAGGCTAGTAATATTATACAACAATAATGGTTGTTATTATCGTTATTTGTGTGCAATGAAGATTAGATCCTAATAATGGCTAAATAATGACAAAAATAACGTTATATAATGATAACGATTATTATTATCATTATTTAAGAACAATGTTGTATAATGAAAACGATAACAACCGTTATTACCTTTATTTGTTTTGCAACCAAAATTAGAATACAGCAAATGAGAGTAATAAGTGTTGCCGAATCATTAAATAACGACCATTAATAACAGTTACATATGTTGTAAAAATCATTAATAATGATTATTACATCACCCAATGATTATTATTTAAAATTATGCTACTAAATACCTCAATTTTAGTCGAAGCTACGTACGGGAGATGTTACAACATAGTAGTGATCGTTCGGTTTTGATTTTTTTTTTTTTTAATTTTTGATTAACCAAATCTGTTGAAAAAAAACCAAACCCGAACCGGATTGAGGTTCGATTATTTGCTTAAAAAAACCAAATATTTCGATTCAGTTTTTTAGTTAAAATGGGTTTTTTTTTTAACCAAGTTTTATATTTTTAACAAATATGTTGGGAGGCACGAAGCAGCGGGTGAGCTGTATTGCTGCCTGTTTCATAAAAAGTAATTACAAACACTTGTGAAGACAATTTAGCAGCAGTATAACGTGGGACTACTTGGCACTTGCTACTACTGCCTATTGCCTTTTGCCTGTTGGTCATCAAATATCAACTGTACCTATCCCATGTACCACACTAAAGTACCAGAATTGATCTATCAGCAGTATCCCTTACAGAATTAATCACAGAAATATCAGTGCCATAAACAAGCAGCCTATATATTCGGTATAGGCACCCTAAAATCCTACAGCAATATTATTAACATATGTAAATGCCACCATCCAGATTAAGAAATACAAAAACCATATCACAAATGTTTAACAAAATTAAGATTTCCCAATTGTGAATGCCTACATTGCTACAAGTAAAAGCTAAATCACAGAGCCACTTATTGTTCTTTTCTTTCACAATACCTATTTCTACAAATGTAAAATGTTCCATGAAGTTCCAGGCAAATTGCATAAGACGAACAAGAAAACAGAACACCAATGTTCACACTGAAAATTCCAGGACTGTCCTGATGCACATATAAAATAGAAAAATTACATCTATAAATATACCCACATTTAGGTTCCAGACAAATTACATCTATAAATACACCCACATTTAGGTTCACCAGCAACACAACTACACAAGTCTTCACTGGACTGAAATACACTTGATAATGAATCACTAGACCGAAATACACAAGTCTTTAGAATCACAGTCAGCTTCCAACAGAAAAATTAGCTAAGACCCACTCCCACCTGGAATGAAATACACTTGATTATGAAAATTGAAAACTTATCGTGGGAAGTGGGAACTGCTGAACTGGGCTGGCAACTGGGGTGTGGCTTGTGGCTGTGGGTGGAGGAGAAGGAGGAGGAAGCAGGCCGTGGGAACTGAGCTGAGGCCTGAGGAGGACGGAGGACGGACGACTGTCGACTGGAGTTTGGAGCTAGCTTTTGTTTCTAGTGGAGTGGATTGGGTGGTGGGCAGGGGCTAGGTGTGGGCGTGTGGCTGACTAACAGTCTGGAGGCTGTGTGTGAGTCAGTGAGTGTGATCTGTGGTGGGAAGGGACTAGGATTGTGAGTTTGTGACTATGAGCAGAAGTGGAGAACGGGAGTTTTTGGTTTTTCGGCAATTTGACAGTGGCTTGAGAAATAAGAGAAGAATAGAAGATTATGATAACTAAATGATATTAGGGTTTTGTTAGCTTGAATTTTTTTGAAAAAAAAACCGAACGAACTAAAATAATTTTAGTTTTTGGTTTTGATTTTGATTTTTTTTTTCAAATTTTTTTTTATGAAACCAAACTGAAATTATTAATTTAGTTTCGATACAGTTCTATTTTAACCGAATAGTGTTCTCCCAATACCACATCAACTGAAGTAGTCCTCTTGTAAGCATAAGTTTGGTTGCAAATATAGGGAAAATGGGACGAATTTACGGGGCATTTGTCATAGAGATCACCAGTGTGGCTTGTGAAACACTTGTGCCTGTTCCAACCAAAAAATGCACAAAACGTACAGCACTGAACCTACGTTCGTATGGAGAACAATTATACAAGGAAAGAGCAACATTCAGTGATGAGACGAGATCTGTTACAACTTTAAATGGAGTTTATTGTTAATTGAACTGTTCAATTCACTTTTTTTCTCTCCAAAAGAATACAACGTTTCATATCATACACATATACGGCGTCTATCACAAAATCAGTCACGGACATCTTGGGGTACAAAATATCAATTTCTTAATGATTGTCCAAGTTCCCGTCATCTTCACAAATTTATGAACTGCATCCTATGACCACCCTCCTTCCTTAGGTTGCATTATCTTTACCTTCCAAGGTGGGCCAAGTCCAAAATCCATCGCAACAAAATCATCTAACCAAGCCACACAGATATACTCTTAAAAAACAGTGGCATCTCATGGTTTCCAAGGTGCAGGAGGTGGTGGTGGAGTTGGAAACATTGGGGGAACTGCAGAGAATATGGTGTTCTTGTCAACCCCAGTGGTTTTGTCACCCGATAAAGCCACGAGTGCTGCAACTAGTCCGGCATTTCCAGCAATCGTTGGCTCTGTATAATTGTAGTTGGTGCGAACATCATGGAAACCATCATGCCTGTCAGGGCCAGCAACCATGGCTCCAACAATTGTATTTGGGTTTGGCTTTTTTGTGTCCCTCCATTTCCATCCTCCTTTACAGTTATACCTAACCTTGTTCTTAGGGATAGATGCACCTCTATGGTGGACATGTTTTGGATAATGATTACCAAAACCCACGACATAGCTCATTTTACGAGGATTTTTTCCCAGGATGTAATCAATCTGTCACAACAACAAGGCAAAAAGGAAGTTATAGGCCACCAAAATTAAAACAAGATACAATATAGGACACCCTATTACATAGGGCATGGCATACCTGAGTCTTGGCAAAATTACGCAATACATCAGTAGAGTAGAAATTTGGTCCACAGTACCATCCAGGTGTATCAGCAGCTTCAAGATAATCACTATATAGGGTTGCCAGGAAGGCTGCATTGACGACATACTGAAGAGGCTGAGGCCTTCCATGGTTTAACTCAATCAAGCCTCCTGTATGACATCATCAAAACAGTTAGAATGGAATCCCAAAGTCAATCCATCTACTTGATCACCACCAGGCCAGTCATATTGGAGATGGTTTACCTCTTGTTCTATTAAACTTTGTGAAATTTGGCAGGTAGGAACACATGATTATACTGGTCTGGTTGTGAAACGTCCTTAGTATTTCTTCATATGGATAGCCAGGGCTCAAGAACAATCTTAAACGGCTCAAAAGTAGCTATCACAGATAACAAAATTTAATCATCAGGACAGACATATATCGCTATAACTTTTCAAAGTTAACTGGTAATGAACCAGGCACAATATGATCTAATATGTAAAAACAGCAGCACAAAAATATCAACAGGATCCAAATGGGAGATCATCATTGACGTTCCAACATTGGGGAAATGATTTTAAATGTCAAAGGCAGTTCATTAGGTTTCAAACAAATGAATCATGACATAATAGTCAAGAAAGCAGAAAGAAGTACGAAGAAGAAAAGGCAAGAGATAAATCTAGAAGCAGAGATGCACTTTTAGAATTTCAGGAAAAAAAAGAAGAAGAAGAAGAAACAAAAAGGTAAAAACTACCGTGTACATACCCCAGGTCAAATTTTGTTGAATATGGAAAACGTAGAACAAGATATTACTTTATTTGGATCAAGACAAGCAATTAGCGGAACAAACGATCGTTATCATGCGTGTATATTCTATTCAATGACATAAGATATCTTGTTGAATTAGAAACATGAACAAGGCACGGAAAAATTAATAACATTCTGAAGAAAAGTTAACTGCATGGTTAAATAAAGCATGATAGAAAATAGATAAGAAGCTTCACTAACCTGAGTACCAGCAAGTTTGTTGTCCCAGCTAAGTACACCATAGTCTGGACCTCCCCAAAAAGCACCAGCATGCTTGGCTAAGCCAGGCATTGTAGCAAGTTGTAGATAGGAATTATTTCCAGTTGCATAGTATAGCCAAGCTCCACCCCAAATAAATTCATCCCAGTAACTAGTTGAATTATAGAAAATGGCAGCTTCTGAACTACCTGCACTGTATCTACCTCGCTGGTCTCTTGAAAATTTAAAGAGAGTTTTGGCACCGTGAACAAGCTTCTGAGAGTAGGCCTTGTTGTCTTTGAAAACAATGGATGCAGAAGCTAAGGCAGCAGCCATTTCTGCAGCAAGATCAGAGCAACTGCTGCATTCAGTTACAGGTCTGTCATAATCAATGTCCTCAGGACGCATCCAGCAATAATGATCATTTGGAGTGGTACTCCCACCAGAAGTATCCCCCTTGCCAACCTGTCGAAGAGGACGGAAATCAACATCAGTCAGACCATATCCCATGGGGGATCCACAGACAAAGATAATAATAATAATTTGATGAACAGCACTCATTTTTGAAACATGTTTAACTATGTAACTAACAAGATAATCTACGTGATGATGAACAATTCAGTAGCTATAAACAATCCCCAGTTTAGTATTTCTATTATAAGCGGGGAATTTTCTATGCACAGGCAGAAGTTGATTTTTCATTAGAGAAAAGATTCAGACAGAAAAACTTGCTTGGTTTTGATCCCAGTAAGTTAGAAAAATTGAAAAAAGCACTACGCATTAAGTGCACCAAGTAAGATCATGCTTTCAATGTAAAATCAAGCATCATCAACATTAAAGTGAAAGAGAGTTACGAAATAAATTCAGTTCAGATGTACAATTATATCAATGTTTAGATATAAATGTGTGAAGTTACTTCACCTGTGCAACCATCGTGTTGATGGTATCAGAAGTACTGTTAAATGTCTTAAGAAAGTAATCGGCACCCCACTTTATAACTTCTTTGATATGGTTAAGCTCCCCAGCAGCTTCATATTTCGCACTATATTCAATAACACTCCAGCTCAACATTGTCATGGCAAAAGAAGCAGGGAAGTTGAACTTGATGGCATCCCCAGCATCATAATATCCACCCACCAGATCTTTGTAAAAACTAGCTTGTTTACCTTTCCCATCGCCCAAACATGAGCTTCCCCTCCATGACACGTTGTTATGCTTTGGAAGCTTTCCTGCTGCAATTTTCCATCAAAATACACAAACACAGACAAGATCAAGATCCTTTTTTTCTTTGAATCTATGATCATTATCAGTAACACTAGCAACAGTGATTAAATTTTTATGATCTGAATCCGTGCAAATTAATGCTTTTCTTGAACAATCAATGATCCCATAGTTAAGTCACATTCAAACTAATTTTTTTACAAAAAAAAAAAAAAAAAAAAAAAGAAGAAGAAGAAAGATTTCTACTTTCCTGAATATGGATGATTACCAGTAACATAACATTAGTAAAATTGAGTAAAATCATGATCTGGGTTTGTTAAGATTGATGATGCATGTTCCCTTAAATAGCTATAATCCCTGACTCATTGAAAAAGTTATATCCTCCTTGCAACCAAATGACCTTATCTTCCATTTTAACAATTGAATGAATTCAAAAGCCACACAAACATCAACTAACCGAAATCAGATCAGACCAGATTAGATCAGATCAAGAAAAAAAAAGAGAGAGAGAAAGGAAACATACATCTTTGAGCATTGAAGAACATGAGTGCCTTATGCAGAGCAAGAGTGTAATTATCAGAAGGAGCATGATTGTGGTGATGGCGAGGCACAGTTTTAACAATAAGAGTAATAAAACCAGCCAAGAGAGCAGCAGCAACAATACTCCCAACAGTCCACACAAAGATCTTGCGACTAACAATGATACAGCCCAGATCCACATATTTCTTCTTCTTCTTTTGCTCAGCTGGCCCCAGTAACCAACTCTGCTGAGTCTCATCCAATGGCCTTGACAAAGCTGCCCTGTCTAAGTCATTCAAGTTCCTGCTCCTATCATCATCTGTAGCTGAATCTGCTGCATTTATCTCCAGGGGTCCTCCCCATGGATCTCTACCGTACATACTCATCCTTCCTTAAAGTGTCACTCTTTCTTCCTATATTTCGTAAATTAGCTCACTTTTGATTCTTCCTCAATTTAAGAACAAAACTTGAAGTGCCACCGACACTGTATTGACAAAAAGAAAATGTGGGTTGTCTTTGTTTTTATTCTCTCTCTCTCACTCTCTTGTTGGGTGTGAGGAGGAAAGATGGAGGAGAGTGTTGTGTTTGGAGGGAGGGTATTATGGATGGTGGACAGTGGAGACTGATGACGGGGGAAGAGTCAATAATGCTGTTGTATCATATTCATATCGGGTCGGTTGGGTTGGGTTGGGGTTTGATTCTTTTTTCTTTCTTTCTTTTTTTTCCTTTAATATTTATTTATTTTGTGTTTTTGCAGTAAAATTATTTATTAAATTTAGTGTGGTAGTGACTTGTGAGAGTGACCAGTCCACAACCAGACAAGGACAGTCTGTCGAATGCCTGATGCGGTGTTTCTCTAATAAGTTTTCTAACAGCTAAATCTGTAGTGTATTTCTTTCTTTCTTTCTCACTCTACAGAGTGGACAGAGAAAAGAAAGAAAGGTACAGTTTGGTAATGTGGTGTTTGAATTTACTAGTTTATTAGATCAGATTGAGGAAGGAAGAGAGAAGATATAAATCTTGCAAAGTGGGTTTGGTTTTTGCGTTTGCGTGGATTATAATTTAAGCGTTGATGACCGAAAGATGTCATCCAACTACCGATAAGATCATCTTTTTAGCTTTCAACGCGGACAGACCATTTACACCACCAAACAACAAATATTGGAGAATTTTATTTCTGGACAGATTTCTATTAATGGAACAATTAAAAATCATTTAAGTGAACAAACAATGTTTAATCTGTTTGACTTATTTCCATATATGTCTCTTTGTATTCTGTATAAAAAATCCTACTTTTAAAAGTTTTTTCCATTCTGGATTTGAGAAAAAATTCATCTTGTACATACATGGATAATGTCATAATTAATGTTGTCATTCTAATTATATATATCACACTTACGAAGAAGAGAAAGTTTCCTCTAATTCGGACAGGAGAAAAACTGTAGTTGCATGTGCTATTCTCGTTATTAGATTTTTTTTTTTTCAAACTTATATACTTTAGATTTTTAACAGAATTAGTCTATTAAAATTTGAATTCGTAATTTTTTATTATAAGATATTACTATTATTAGACTATAAACTCTTTGATTTTTATTATTAGATTAGATTTTCACAAATTTATCTCCTATTTACGTGCATTAAGTCATTAGGAAATCAATTCATATAAGTATCTATAGGATTTAAAATTCAAGGTTCACTTTTCTCAACTTGTGGAGAGTGCTAATTAACTACAAGATGATGATGATGATCATGTTATTGGAAAGAATAAGAATAAGCAATATATGACAACTTAATTTACTGAGGATTAAAATGGAGTAATGTTTGGTTTGAGACTAATAACTGAACTTTCATTTTGGGAGTACCAATTTGCAAAGAAAGTAGTAAAATTTTAGATGGGGCATCCCCGTCTATCTAACCAGCAGTTACCCTATCCTTTTCTCTCTTTAAGTTTCAACCAAAACGTTTGCCGACACTTTAAGATATGCTAGCAACCCTTTTCACGCTACTCTATAACTCAAAGCTCTTTTTTTTTTCTCATTTTCCTGTCCTCTCTCTCTCTCTCTCTCTCTCTCTCTCTCTCTCTCTCTCTCTCTCTCTCTCTCTCTCTAGGTTGCTTAGCTTGCATACAATGTGTCTGCATTGCTGATTGGGACTTGCGTACGTAAAAGTAATAAGACCTAATGCCTCATATTATAATTAGTTGTTGCTCCCTTTTCTTAAGATATAAAAAACTAATTAAACTTTAAAAAAATTTTGAGTATTGTTTTCCTTTCATTTACTTACGAATCTTAAAAGTATTTTGGTTTTGTTTATATATATAAGAAGAAAAATCTTTTTTTTTTTTGACATGCAGTCTCTTCACTCTTCAAATGCACCCAATAATCATCCAGTTTCACAACTTATCTGGGCCCCCATCAGAAGAATATTAGGTTCATTATTTAGGCAAATTAAGTATTTTAGACCAAAGACATCTCTCTGTTAATCCACCGACAAAGGAACCATTTTGGCACCGAAAGGAGGATGCTTGGGCTGCTGCTTGTTCAATCATTAAGAATATTAGTGTCCTAACCACAAGGGGTGGCACAGTGACAAGGATTTTGTATCAAGAGTTTGCTTTTCCTGTTTTCTCGGATTCGAGTCCTGATTGCTCTCTTTGGTGGCCACTAAAGGCTTACGTGGTCGTTAACTTTAAAACTCACGGGATTAGTCGAGATATGCGTAAGGCTGACCGGACACCTGTGTTATTAAAAAAAAAAAAAGAATATTAGTGTACTTTTCTTTAATACGTAAAATAGGCTAAAATATGTCAGCTACTACTTGTTATATTAGCTACAACCACTGAATTATTATACAAGAGTTGCACTTTCAATCTTGTGCATCATTCATCACATTAACTTTGTAAAAACGAAACACACACACAATATGACACAAAAAAAAAAAAAGTAATAAAAAGAGAAATTAATTAAATATATCTGATACGCATTTTTTTCATACAACGTCGCAGAAAAATAATTATTATTGTCGAGGAGGTAGACTTTTTTTTTTATCAAGAATTAGAATAAAGATAATAATTATTATGAAAAATAATGATTCTTGAAGCAACTTTGTAGAAAAGCAATGATTAATTGTCAAATTATTTGACAATAATAGAGATTTGATAATTGATAATTGATAATTAATCAATGCAAGATGCATAGTTCTCAATAATTTAATGACAATAATACTAATTCAGAATTGATATAATGCCGATTTTTTTAAAAAAATAAATATCAATGCTTACTGTAGATTAATATTCGAAAAGAAAAAATGGTCTAAATGATAAAGATTTGATACTTAATAATTTATATTTTTATATTAATTTTTTATTGATTATATGCTGCTTCAAAATTGATTATGATTCACAACATGTATTAAAAAAATATATTTTAAAAATTTCATTAATGCAAAATAAAATTAAATTTAACTATTAAGTAAAGAATATTAAGAAGGTTTCTTTACACAATAGTTATGGACTCATTGATTAAAATTAAGCATCCTTCAAACATGGATTGCTCGCGCACCTTTTTGTTGTCGATTTTTGCATCTATTAACTGTTGATTTTTTAAATTAGACTTTTAGTTTATATAAATAATTGATTGCTTTGTCTTTCATGTATCAAATTAAAACATATTTAAACTCAAAGATAAAAATATTAAATACTACGAAATATAAATTACACTAAAAGTTTCTACAATTAATATAATTTGATTTTGATTTTGCTCACCTAAATTTTCAGAATTATTGAAACAAATTTTATAAGATTGTCTGCAACAAAGGAGGGAACTACACTAATGTTAACTATATGTGTATATATATTGATTCCAACATCCATACGATACAGCTGGTGCTATTCTTACAAATTGCAAGAGCATTACTAGGAATTTGAAGCGTGAACGATGAATGCTCTGCTTGCAACTCTGAAGAAGCTACTGGAGGTGAACACCACCTCATTCCAGTTGCATGTTATAGCCTTTAGCTAGTCTCCATTACACACACACACACTCCTATACGTTTTTTTTTCTGAAGACAGAACTACAAATCAAAACTATGGCTGTTGAAATGGAAGACTGGATCATGGGATTCTCTCCTTAAATTCTGAGACCTGATTTCTCTAGCAACACTGGATTGAAGAGTTGGAGGACCGCATATGATGACACCCACATCTACATGACCCCAGCGCTCCGATATGGATCCAAATATTTCTGCAATCAGGAAAAAGCAGATAGCAGCAGTTTGTTCAGTAGAATTGAAGAGAACTCATTTCAAGCTCCAACAATATAAACCATGAACGATGACAAGCTTGTGGCCACCATAACAGAACTAGAAAAAGCTTAAATTCTGTTATGATGATTTCACAACTGTGTGCACAAACGATACAGATAACAACGAAAAATGCACGTTGTCAAATTTTCCCTATTTTAGTATCATATATCAGACAAAATTTAGCATCACGTGGAATCATACCTTCGAAATCAGGTCTTGAACCATACTGAATAGTTGTTATGCTTGTATGGTTTTTCTGAAACAAGTTCTTGTTTTGCACATCTTCATTATGCTGCACCATGCCAAGCTTCATCCTTTCTTCCTTGTGTTCTTCCCTGGCAGAAATCTTGTTTTCCCAAAGATGCCATAAACCAACCACAAGACCGCCAAAGATAACAATACTTGCAAGCATACATCCAAAGAAAAGAAGTCCTTTGTACCACCACGTTGATATGCTAAAAGGATTTATGTAAAAGATATACAACATACACAGTAAAATAACAAAGCCCACTGTAGATGAGATAACATACAGGCCAGACCATATATTGTCACCTGTACCAGCCAAAACCGACATGCCACCACCCTCTGACATAGGGCAGACAGAAGAAATTGTAACATTATGAATATCACCCTCCTCCTGTAAATAACAATAATTTAGAGGCAGCAAAATTGGATTATTTGAACATGAAAGGCAGAGAAAACCCACTAAACAAAGGCATTTTAATAAGCATAGAGAATAAAAATAATCTTACCAATGGAGGACCTGATTCTCGAGTAACATAGATGGAAATCTCAAGATTTAGTTTGTCATAGAAATTTGGACAAATTGATTCCAGGTCAATGGTCGAGAGAAGAGGAAGTTCATCTGATCTTTTCACAGCCCAAACAATCAAAACATTTCGCGGCAGACAGGGCCTCCCTTCATTAACACGGTGGAGAATATCGCTCAAAATTGCTAAGAAAGGTGAAATCCCTATACCACCTGCTACTAAAATAAGGTTTTCATACCTATGAGCACAAAAATAGCCAGAGTTAGTCTACTAGAAACAGATAATAAAACTTAAGCTAAAGAGACATGTAGGGTAAATTCTATTCTACATTAAGTTCGTCATCAAATCTTATCATTGGACACTAGCAATGGGAAGATTGCATCATTTGCTACATTTGGTGAAATGCTGAAATTGTAGAAAACCTCAAGCATATAAATCCTTATCATTTGATTGTTTGCAGTAACTAATCCAAGGTCACCAATCCTAACACACTCAAATCTAAGTAGTCTAGAGATTAGAGTACATACATCAAGTGGTATGGTGCTTCATGCCCATATGGCCCCTCAACAGAAGCTGTAATCTTAGGACAAGGTTGGGAAGGTGAAACTGGTTGTTCAGCCTCAGATATGTTCATGATGCTTCCTCTAAGCCTAGCTGTCCACTCCCCAAGAACTTTTATGAGAATTGACAGATGATATTTACCATCCAAGGGACTAGATGAAACACTGAAAGGATGCCATTGTAGCCAAGATAATTCCCGAATTTGAAGGAATACAAAACTGAGGGCATTGTACCGGAGATCTGCATTTCAAACATGAAATATTAACACGCGGTAATAGATCACATGCAACGAAACAAAGATAGGTGAAGAGGTATCATTACTTCGAGGTTTTGAAAGGACCAATTCCACTGTTCCACATGGAAGGCTCTTGGCTGAAATTATATCAACAGTGCTTCGTGATTGGCAGAATCTCAGAAATCGATCAAGCATGAACATAAATATTGCACCAGCAGCCATACTAAAAATAAAATCACCAACATGCAATGCCAAGCCAAGAACAAAGACCACGTATAGCTGATGGGTGTAAAAGAACAATTCAAAATTCCACTTTCGGACAGGAGGAAGTGATGTCACCCACATCAACAGACCAGCAATAAGGCTGATAACTCCAGGAAGAATAGCAACACCAATATCTTTCCATGATAATAGCTGCATGAAACAATAAAGCACTGAGAAAAAAGAATATCTACTAACCCTTTTGATTAATTTCTGATGAAGAGGATGAAAACGGTAACCAGAATGCTAGGTAGTAGAATATTATCATTTTGTCCAAATGTCCAAATAGGGCTTTGTTAATTCTACATGAGAAGCTTGCTTAAAATTCCTTGTTATATTTACATTTGTTAACAGAATCTTTTTCTTTTTCTTTTTTTAATGAATAAAGCAAACGATTACGACTTTTTCTTCTTTCTCCCAGATAAAAGCAATTTTTCACATCAGTGCACGTGCAAATTAACTTAAAATTATGTAGTTATATATTATGTGTATAACATCCAAAGGAATAACAATACTATATATGCAGAACCAAAAGTTAATCCAGAAAACATCATGCTGAATAACTCACATAATACTCAATATTCCATTATAACTCGACCAAAAGGTATACAAGTACACTAAGTACTGTAAAACTAAAAAAAAAGGCATTGCAACCATAGTGCCCCACGAAGTTGTTGGAAATAGCCACCATAGTTTTTCCTGAAACTGCATTATATAAGAGGCTGGTACTTATTACTTAAACATTCCTGTTTGAAATAATTGTGCATGGCGCAAATAATAAGCTATTACAGACTATGCTTGGGGATTCAGGGTCTGGAATCCACCACAGAAGAGTACTCTCAGGAAGAAATATTTTATTGAAGTATCACGTTTAGTTCAGCTGTATTTACGCAATGTACCACCCAAAATAAAACTAAGAACAACACCCAAGCCTAAATCCCAAACTAGTAGGTTTCTGCTAAAATAACAAAGCCTATAATCTAACAAGTTACGAAGATTAAAATAAAACAATTCTGAAAAATAACAAAATCAATGCCTAAATTATCAATAACATTAAATCCCCAAAATTAGATTCTCTAGATCATTTTCTTAGATAATTGACAATACAAAATCGCTCCATGAAATCTGCAGCATGTTGTTTTACACCAGTTCTCTTTTGTTGTAGTCACACTTGTAACTCTTTTTTTCAACAGAATGCAGCATTACAGGTCTAGTTTTGACATTTTAAGTACCCAACTTCACCTTTTGAAATACTTTTTCCCATCTTCCCTCAGCTTACCTTTTTAAATCAAAGGCACAAGTGCACATATGCACACACTTTACCACTCAAAATTGGAAGAGACCGTGACTTCTCAAACTAACAAGTAAATCCATGGAGTCAAAAGAAGCACATGCAAGTGGCTAAGCATGTGTTTAAGCAAAAATAAGTATGATGTTATGGAGGCAGAAAAAAGAAAAAACAAAAAGGCATGAGGACTCACTGCATGCAGGAGGTTGCCCTCCATTGCCCATCCAGCGACGTACAATAGCCCATGAAGAGTAAACAGCACCATTGTCAGGTGCCCCAACCATACGTGGTATCTTGTGGCATGCTCAAATGGGATATCGATAAAACGAAGAAGAACCGATCCTCTTGCAACAGGAAGTAACAAAAATGCCAAGCAAAATAATCCCATTGAACCAAGATGACCTCCCATCAATTTCAAGAACCAAATTCTGTAAAAGTTTGAATTAGCAAGGAAACTTGGCTAATGGTTGCAGCCTTCATATGAAAAAGTTTAGATAATTTACTAACTAGAAATGCATTATGACAACTCAAACAATCATCAACTATGTATAGGGGCTTGAAACATAACGAGTTTCCCTCAAACAAGACATGCATACTGCTCTCTTTCATCCTTGCTTTTCTATTGGCTCTCCACTTAGTAGTTTGAATCTTATTTGAAAGCTCATTTCAATTTAACCATCAACGGATCCCATTTGGCATTGGTTATCTAATTAAAATTCAAAGTCACTTCTGAGTCTGATTTATATCAAAATCTTAAAGATAGAATGACAAGTCGAGGATGTGACATGCTTGTGAACTTCTTAGCAGAGAAAATTAAAGATTAACAAATTTTATGATCTTCAAAGTAAGTCTTTGGAAGATAACAAACAAAAACCTGTGAGCAATATATGAAGGCATGAATTATGTAAATGCTGTTGAATTTGTTTATTGTACTTAAGAATAAAATTCCTAAAAGAAAAAAAGAGAGAGAAAATTTTACATAATTGACCAAGTAAAACCCCAACAGCAGTTATAGTGTCAAGATAATATGGATATATGCTTTTCAAGCCACATGATCTTTCTCTCTTGACTGAAATGCATCCTCTTTTGCATGTACTGTTTTCAATTCATTTTTATTGCCTAGTGAGCTAAAAGATTGACATTACAAACATTGGTTTAAGCTTTAGAATATAAATAAATACCAGACCTCCAACAACAGAAGTTCTTACATAGGTTTGTTCTATGCTGACCAAGCTAATCAAGTAAAGCAATGATGCGCCTTCAAATAATGCTAGAAAAAAAATAATAATAAAAGGAGATCCTTTTGTTGTGAAAATTACCACATTAAAGAGTCAAAATCCTCAGAAGATAAAATAACGTAAAATCAAGCAACTAATTTTTGCTTAAAAAAAAAACAGCAAACACAAGTAAAGATAACTTGGACAGAAACACAATAGCAGAATGATCCAAAAAAGCAAGAAAATTTTTACCTTTCCTCCATAGGGGTTAAATCCTCCTCAGATATTCTGTTGAGACTCTTGATAGTATAAGCATACAAGGCCCAGACAATGTACACAACAAAAAGTAGAATGCCAATAAATTCAGCAGCAGAAACAACCCCGAATGGTCCATCCACAAGAACAGGGAATGTCCATAAGCTGACGCTTGGATATTTCGAACTCTTCTTACTGTAATCCCAAGTTTATTCCAAAAAACAAGACATACAAGGATTAAAAGATCTAGTACCAAACACAAATAGTAGGCATACAAGAGCACTCTAATGAAGAGATGACTTACTGCTGGAACTCCTCAACACCGGATATGATAAGATGAATTATGGAAAGAAAGGCAATAACAAGAACCGGTCCACTTAATACAAGGAATAAGCTTCCTGCAGTTTCCAGTTGCAATATCAAGCTTGAAAGCAACAAGAAAATAATCATAAGACTAATAACGACAGAAAAAGTTGAATTACAAACCTGTAATACCAAAAGGATTTCCATCGGTGGCATGAATATATTTCCCAAGCAATTCATTACCAAATTGTGATGGAAAGAGGAAGATAACCCCAATCCACGCAACAAAAATAACCCATATGAGAATCTTGAGAATCCATTTCACTGATGAAACAAAGAGAGATGTTTTCTTGACACTTATTTGACTCGAAAGAAGAGGTTCCTGAACTGAGTATTCATCCATGGCAAAGAAATTGACTTTGTTTTAGTTTTCCTTAAATTGTTCAGTATTCCCAGGTGACCAGGAATCACATATATACAGAAAATCTAGAAAACAAATCCAAAGTTCTTTCAAAAGATTGTGAACCTAAGGAAAATGAAAGTAGATAAAACATGAACCACTTATTTTATTACTTGGTTATCAGGTCTTAAAACCATTTTCCTCCATAAATCTGAAACTTACATAGACAAATGGAACTGTCAGGTAAAGAGGTTGTATCTTTTATACAGAGTGTTTTCCAGTCTTTGATTGAGATTGAGGTTGAAGTTGAATTGATAGGAAATGCAATATTTATCGTTCCTATACCCATCAAAGTACGTACAATTTAACAACAGACACAATTTACATAGTCGTAAAACAAAAGAAAGTTATAATGGACGTATATACAGAATAGAAACAGAGAAGTTGCTAGCATTTATGAATGAAGGGCTGAAAACATGGGAGTATCGAGAAAGAAAGGCCATATAAAATTTGTGTACCTGGTTGCTTCTCTTATCAGATTGCCAAAAAACCCCAAATACCCACCCAGTAGTCCTTTTTCTTCTTCCTCATTGGCATATGCATAAGCCACACAAAGTTAGAGGACAAAGTGGATATTTGCTTTGCTCACCAGTAAGAGGGAGTATTTTATACTGTTAGTTAGTTAGTTAGTTTTACATTACAAGAGAAAATTACTTCGTTAGCTGCTCCTCAGTTCTTAGGTTTCCTCAAGTTTCTGTCTTTGAGTCCAGTCTCCACTCCACTCTACTCCAGGCCCCATGATTGGGTCGGCTTCATTTTTCTTTCCTGACATGTTATTTTATTGTCAATTTAGTTTCAAACTTTTTAATTTCATTCAATTTTATTTCAAATATCATTCTCAAAAAATATATATATATTTATATCACATACTATTACTTTTTCATTTTTACAATGCTAGAAAGTTAAAAAAATTTCGTCAAATTTACAAATTTAATATATATATATATATATATAATTGAATCTTTTATATTTTATGAGCGTTTGATGATAACGTGAACGATTATCTTTAATCCACTTAAATAAATAATTTCAATTATATGTATATTTTAAAATTAAACTGAAAACGTTAAAAATTAAATAATGGATTTAAAAAAAAAAAAAAGCAAAAGGAGGATAAGTTTTGGGAAAAGCACATGAAAAGGGCACCCATGTTTCAACCTTGTGGCCTAAGGACATATAAGTTGATTCTTCTTCTTTATTAGTTATTTACCATTCCTTTTTAGTAATTTCCTTTTTTTTTCTTTTTTTTGCTTCTTTTTTGTTGTTAATAAATAATGGGGTTATAATTACTTCACCTTTTAATTCCACAAACATGGAGTTTTCACTTTCAAGAACATCAGGAGACCATGTATTTCCCGCCAGCCATATGTTATCACATTAGAATTTCGTAAGAAATGCGACTATGAAGGTAAAGCAAGTAGGGATGAGCAAACGGTTTGATTAACCGAAATCGAATAAAATCGAACCAAATTATGAAATTTAGTTCGGTTTTAAGTATAAAATTATACAATATAAAACCGAATCGAAAAAACCGAAATTATTTCGGTTCGATTCGGTTTTTAGAAAAAAATTTCGATTTCGACCGAAAACCGAAATAAATAGTAAAAAATTTTCTAATTTCTAAATTCCTAACTTTTCAATCTTCATTCTTGTTGAAACCGAAACACGCAGATGGGAAGTAAATTTTGAGGATCGTTGGGGTAAGAAAAGAAAGTGACATAGTGTAATTAATTGGGATACAACATTTTTGAATGAGCAAATTTATTACACTTGGACTCGTTTTCATTAAAGCTTAATTAAAATCCTCAAGGGCTTTATGATTGTTTATAAAAAGGATTAATTGATAACAAGATGTTACTTCATTGGCTAGTAGACTAAGTGCTAGTACAAAATATCTTTTCGTAATGATTTTTTTTTTACAACAAAATATTTTGGTTAAAACCGAAATATTTCGAAACCAAACCGAATTTGTCGAATTTATTTCGGTTCGGTTTTGATTTTTATTTTTTTAATTCAATTAACAAAAACCGAACCGAATCGTATAAAATCGAACCATTTAACCGAATGCTCACCCCTAAAAGCAAGCGTCAATAAGCGAAGGGTAAAAGGGGCAAAAGGCATTATCGCTGATGGACCACAAATTGGCACTTGATAAAGATGTTGCTCTTAAGGAAGGAAGGAAGATATGTGGAATGGGTCATGTCAATGGACGGCACCGATGCAAGAGGTGTGTGGAACGTTTTGGATCCCCCATTTATTAGCCAACCATCTTTTCTTCTTTTCTTAGTGTATTTAATGGCCATTTATTCGCGCAACATGGTAGATCAAATAAAAGAAAATAATTTTATAATTTTTTATTTAATTAATTTTTTATTTTCATTAATTTTCTACTTAAAAAACATAATTTATTTTTCTTTATACATTGATTCTTCGATAAAAACTCATAGAAATTTAAATCAGAATATTAATCAAAAATTAAAAAATACTATAAAAATATATATTTAAAAAATAAAGTTATAATTAATGTATAGACTTATATAAAAATTAACTAATAAAAAATTAGTTTTATTTCATGTTGATGAGACGATTAATTTTAAAAAATATATGCATATAATCTATATATATTTATTTACAAAGTAATCAATAATGTTAGCAAAATAATTAATTGATTCTTTTAAAAAATTAATTATTTTATTTCAAATAAATTGGTTCAATAATGTTATATAAAAAAAAGTCATAACAAATAGTTTGTGTTATGTGAGAAGTTACATAGTTAATTTTTAATATAACCAATTATTCAATAGTTTTCTTCTATACGTGTGTTGACCATATATAGTTGATTAAGATAAATTATTTAGAATACATTTAACTTTATATATATATCATTTAAAAATTTTTAAAAATTCATGATATATATTGTATCAATTTATTTTTAAAAAAAACAACCGTATTTTAAAATTTTATTCTAAAATTCAAATTTAGAAAAAAATAATAATATATCGGTAAGTAAAATGTATATAAAAAATATTAATTAGATGAGAATTTTCATTAAAAAACGTAAAGTTTTTAAAATAAATTTTAAATAGTAAGAGTAATTACAAAGAAAACTAAAAGAACTAAGATATTTCAACGAGTAATTACTATTTATTTACGATAGCTGCAGTACTTATTGGCATTGTGGACGGGAGCTTGGCTTTTCCGTGATTTTTTTTTTTTACTTTCTTGGGCAATTATATGGAAGCTATACGACCTTTTTACACTTAATTTTTTCAAACTTTTTATTTCAATCCACACCTTCACTTGTGATATATTTTGGTCCTTCGAGTGGAGATAAGGGAGAAAAAGAGAGAGACGAGAGAGAGTGAGAGTCGGCCAAGCTTATTCTCGCTCACTTTGGCTATTGATATTCCATTAGTTTTTTTTTTTTTTTTATCTTGGAGAGATGAGTTTGTCTATAGTGGTTTCAATCCATCAAATGATTAGAGGAGATAGATTGGAGCAATATATATATATATATATACAGTAAAATGATTTTTAAGGTTTTAAAAGAGTTTATTAAATTTATTTTGATTATTTAGAGGTGGTTAAGGGGGAATAGTCCCGAAAATGGTTTTTTGAGTCTAAAACTAGACTTATGACTTTCCAATGAAGCTTCCGACTAGCTTGAACTCGTAGAAAATTAAACCGTTTTTTTTTTTTTTTTTTTTTTGCATTGGGCAGCCACACAAGCTCGGAGAAGCGAGCCCAAACAGGGCTAGCATGGCACGTAGGCTTGTACAAACATACCCAAGCACGTAGGGCTGGCCCGAGAGCACATGCTTGACCACCTAGGGCCAAGTGGGCTGAACTAGCTCGGTGAGTGGGCCTGCCCTTTTTCTCTTTTTATTTGTGTTTTTTTTTCTTCCAACAATTTATTTTAATATTTTTTATCATGGAATTTGGTGTCAAATTTATAGAAAACATATTGTTATTTTTTTTTATTTAGTTTTACGTATATTTTGAAGTTGATGAAATATATGTGATATGTTTTAAGATTTTAAGTTGAATATATATATCGGATTATATTACTCGTATTGTTTAAATTTTTTTCTTCAATTATTTGTTTCTTATCAAATTCTTATCAAATTCTCATCAAATTAATTTTTAAATTTTATTGATATAATTTTATTTGTTAATAAATTTGATGTGTGTGTGTGTGTGTGTGTTAATGAAATATATGTGATATGTTTTAAGATTTTAAGTTGAATATATATGTCGGATTATATTAATTTTACTATTTAAATTTGATTTCTTCAATTATTTGTTTCTTATCAAATTCTCATCAAATTAATTTTTAAATTTTTTGATATAATTTTATTTGTTAATAAATTTGATGTGTGTGTGTGTGTGTGGATTTTGGAATAAAATTTTAGAACGTAATTATTTTATTTTTAATATTTTATTATAATTTATACGATGATTATTTTTAAATGAGAATAGAGTTATTGCTCGTGTGCACGCGCGCACATACACGAATATATATATGAATCATTAATTTTGTTAGAAATTAACTATATATCTGCATACATAACACTAGTTATTTGTTATTTATTTTTTTCATGTTCTAAAATCCGTATTTTTTAAATAAAATAATTGAAATATTATCTTGAAAGAACCTCCTAATTATTCAAATATAGATTTATATGCCCCTAGTATTGATTATTTTGTTAATTAATAAAAATAAATCAAATGATTTGCATAATAAATAGATTCGTCTTACATTAATCACCGAAACAAGACTTTTACTCGTACCATACCATACGAATCGTTAATCCTATGCATGTAATGATTGTATGGCTACAAGCATAGCACCGGTATTTAACTAGTATAATTTAAAATATATGTTAATTTTAAAATACAAAAAGATAGTATATATATTTTATTTTCATTACATTGCGTTAAAAACACAAATAATAATGTTTGATATTTTATAATTTTTTCCTAAAAATTTTTAATTAAAAAAATAGTGAAAAGAAAAAAAGAAGAAGCAAAAACTACACTCGCACTCTTGGAGCTAGAGTACCAAGCTTAATTGATTGGTTCACAATACCAACGACCACCGCAATTTTCAACGAACTCAATTTTGTCGAACAAGTCTCTATAAAGTTAGGTTTCTCAATTTTTGGCGTCTCAAAACCAAATTTAGTTCTTTTTTTGTCCAAAAACACATAAATAACATAAACAAACATGTTTAGAATCTCAAAACTCATTTTAATCCACACAAAAATTCAAATTAAAATAAAAAAACTTAAAATATTGTTGGATTTTGATCTCTGTCCTTCGACTATTTCATCGCTTTCTCTACCGTAAACGATTCAACTTTTCAAGGCAAACAAAATAATAGTAAGCTCGACTATCGGGATAGCCAAAATGGGTTCACAACCATCCACTAAAAAAAAAAACAAAGGATTTGCGAGGGGAAATTAGTAACGGTCTTAAACCCGTCGTTAATTTACTAAAATTGCGACGGTTTGAAGCCCTTTAGCAAGAGAAATTAGCGACGGTTTTTTATAAAAAAAACAGTTGCTAATCACGAAAATTAGCAATGGTTTTTTGCGATGGTTTTTTTAAAAAAACCGTCGCTAACTTCAATTTTTTTAAAAAAAAATTTTGCAAACATTTTTTACGACGGTTTTTGTAAAAAACCGTTGCTAATTGTGGAAATCGAGCAACGGTTTCCTCCAAAAAAACCGTCGCTAATTAATTTTTTTTCCAAAAAAATTTTTGTAACCATTTTTTGTGACGGTTTTTGTAAAAAAACCGTTGCTAATCATGAAAATTAGCGACGGTTTTTTGCCGTCGCTAATTTCAATTTTTTCAAAAAATTGAAATTACCTTTAGCCTTTTTTGCGATGGTTTTTTTACCAAAAAACATCGCAAAATTAGTAAATTAGCGACGGTCTAAAGACCGTCGCTAAACTCGTTACTAATTAAGAGGGAAATGGCTTTTTTTTTTTTTTAACTTTTTTAGACATTTAGCGATGGTTTTAGCGACGGTTTCAACCTCCTATATAACAATTTGCCTAAAAATTTGCAAGAAAAAATTTCTTCTCTCTCTTCTTCTTCTTTTTCTCCAGCGCCAATCTCCCTTCCATTTCCATTAAATCTTCCCCCTCTCTTTTTTATTTTCCTTCCAATCTCCTCCTCTCTCTCCTACTTCCCTTTCTTCCCTCCATCTCTCACCCTTTCTTCCTCCTTTTCCTCTTTCTTTCTTCCTTTCTCCCCCTTCTTCAACCGACCATTTTCCGACCAGAATAGTCCGACGAAGCTTCTCCACTCGCGCAACCCACTCTCCTCCTTGTGTTGGTGAAAGGTCCTCCCTCATCTAACCTCTTAATTAATTTTTTAATTTTTTTCAATTATTTACTTAATTTAATTTTAAAGTTTTTTGTTATTGTTAATTTTTAAGAAATTTTAATTGTTATTAATTGTTTAATTATTGATTTTATTGTTATTAATTTTTGTTGTTAATTTAATTGTTAATTTTTATTATTAATTGGTAATTTTTAATTGTTAATTTAGTTAGTTTATTGTTAAATGTTATTTATTAATTTAGTTAGTTTAATTGATGGTATTTTGGAAAGTTAATTATTTTAGAAAATTGTTAATAAGTTATTAGCAATTGGTCAATTTAAAATGAGGATAAAAAGAAAATAATAATAATATTTTAGCAACGGTCTAGACCGTTGCTAAGATCGTCGCTAATTTTTTTTCCAATGGAATTAGCGACGGTCTAGACCGTTGCTAATGTTTTTACGATAAAATTAAAAATTAGTCAATTTAAAATGACGATAAAAAAATAATAATAATATTTTAGCAACGGTCCGGATGGTTGCTAAGACCGTTGCTAATTTGTTTGCGACGAGATTAGCGACGGTCTAGACCGTTGCTAATTTTTTTGCGATAAAATTAACAATTAGTCAATTTAAAATGAGGATAAAAAAAATAATATTTTAGCAATGGAATTAGCGACGGTCTAGACCGTTGCTAATTCTAAATATTAGTGACAATCTAAAACCCTCGCTAAAATTGTCACAAAACGGCGATGGTTTTTTAATTTTGCGACGGTTGTTTCCGTTGCTAAAGTAGCGACGGTCTGAAAACCGTCACAAAAGTTTAACGACTAGCATTTTACCGACGGTTTTTGGACCGTCGCAAATCCGTCGCTAATTAAAATTGGCGACATATTTTAGCGAATTAGTGGCGGTCTAGACCGTCGCTAATTCTATTTTTTTTTGTAGTGATCTCTCTCTCTTTTTCCCTTATTTCTCTCTCTTCTTAGAATGCATTGACCAAAACGAACTTAAAATGAAATTGTAGATAAAAAAATAATATTGAAAAATGAGAAACCAAAGTCAATATTTTTGGATAAATAATGTTTTGCACAATGAATAAATAGTGATTTTAGAAAGAGAGAACAACAAATGAATAGTGTAAGGTGAGTGTGAGAACAATGAATGAATAGCATGTGCACAATATTTTTAAGTTTTTTTTTAGCATATATAGTATTTCATTTTGACCACACTGAAGCCATTCCTGTCAAAACATAAAAAAAAAAAAATAGGAGGAAGCTTTTTTTTTAATTCTTTTATTTGATGGAAATAAATATTTTCAAACTAATTTGTGTATCAATTGAAATTCTTTCTAATGATTTGATATATTAAAAAAAATTAATGAATTTTCTCTTAAATGCTAACTTTAAAATTTAAATAAAAAACCAAGAGAAAAAAAATACATAATTTTTTAATTGATTATTAAATCAACCCAAATTGAAAAGAGGAAGCATTTAAATGGCAGTATATATTACTTGCGTGGTTGATTCCAAAAAACCAATTCCCAACTTCCTACAGACAATAATACGTTGAGGTAAATTATTCAGTGCTTTTCAAAACATGAAGATATTGAAAAAGGAACGGAAACAGTCATATGTTTTCGGTTTCAAACACGAGGTTAAATGCCGCTCCATGCCTTTTTGGTGTTTTAAAAGGCGTTATTGAACAGCAAATCTATTGTTCGAGGCAATTTTTTGAAGCATTGAAGACGAAATGAAAAGAAAATTTAATTTAAAGGATGTAAGATTTTAATGATTATTTTTTCTAACTATAGTTATTTTCGCATAATTATTTTATAGAATTCACTTGTCTAAAGAAATATTAACTATTCAATGAATACATTATACATTAAATAAATAAATTTCGTTAATAATTTTTATAAATTGAATGGTTGATATTTTTTAATAGTTCTCTTTAAGATCCGTTTAAATTGCTAACTTCTTGAGAGAAGATAATTAAGAAAGTAATCTTTGCGAATTTTCTAGTTTGGACACACATAGACTATTTTGGTTAAAGGGTTTTTCTTGATAGATGATCTTATACTATTAAATATGTTAAAGATTTGGCACTTGTATGACACTAACATTGTCAAGATGTTTTATCTCAACTCAAGAGCATCCAATTTCTATCGGGTCTGGGATAATCCCGCCTACAAACACTTGTCATTGCAAGGAATCTATCTCTATCAGTAATGAATATGACATATCTGTCACTTTCAGAAAATAAGAAACAAAAGATTTTTTTAATTATTTAAAAAATTAAAACAAAAAATTAATGGTTAATTTTTATTTTTTTTATAAACATATTGACTAAAATTAAACACTCTTCTAATATAAATTGATTTAGCACATTCTTCTAATTTATTTTTTTAAATAAATAATTAGTTGCATGTTTTCTTTTTTTCTTTTTATTAATCAAAATAAAAAATATTGCTAGGATATATTTAAACTAAATTATGGAATATTTATATTTATATTTTATTAAATATTACATAATACATATTAAATTAAATTAATTCGACAATCGATGTTAATTAAGTTTTATTTTACATCTAATTTTTTTAATTATTTAAAACAATAAAACATATTATATAAACTTACCCACGACGAATGCGTAGATACTGTGCTAGTTCTTGTTAAGTTGTACTTCTCATCTCCTTGGCTAGAGTCAATTTTTATCAGGGAACAATTTTGATGTCTTTTTTGTTGGAGAGTAGCCTTTAGCTCTCCATCCATTGTACCAAAAAAAAAAAAATTAATAATATCCTCGAGACCACTCGGTAACTTTCTTCGATTTGGGAAGATTAATTAAGAGATTGCAAGGAAGAAGTGTGTAGTAAGTTTTTACCCAAAAACTAATCCTTTAGTTCCTCATGTTGAAATTGTTGACGAAACCGTCTAATTTATAGTTAATACCTAAAAAACTCCTTGAATATATAAAATCATCTCGAAAAGGAAACAAACCCACTCTTTCATCTCCCTCATTATCTCCATCATAGATATGATGCTCTCTCTCACACTCTTTTAATCGTTGCTTTTTGTCCGTCTAATTTGTTTTTAAACAAGTTTAATCTTCATACCTCTTTCTAACTTTTGTCATCGACTTTGTTGTTAAGGCGCTCTCTGTCACTCTCTCTCAATCTTTTTATTTTTCTCTCTAAGTTGTTCTTACTCGGTTTACAAGAACAAACCTATTTTTCAATCATGAAATCGAACTCTAGTTGACTTATTAGGGTTAATTTGAACTTCCTTTTATTAGTTGTGGATTGTTTAATGTAGGTTGTTGGGTAGGATTTTTCATATGGTTTAGGGAATGAGTTTCGAAAAATAAATGAAGTTTATGTAGTATGTTAATGTTGATAGAATATGTCAAATTTCTAATTTATTTATCGCAATTTTGATGTTTTGTATATCTAGGATTAGCAAAATTAGGGATTTGTAAAATTGTTTCTTTTCTTTTCTATAATGATCTTATATTTAGTCCCGGATATATTTAATCATTAATGCAAATGAGCTACCATATTGTGAAAATGGATCTTGACAAGCATTTAGAAAATGTGAAATATTTTGAAGTAGATACAAAAAAGTATTGCTACTTGAATTTGCTAACGGATGTGTACAAGCATTTCTCTCTTCATTCCGACTTCATCAATTTAGTTGCTGGTTGTGGAAGACCTATTACAAGTGACAAGGATTTGATTAGCGTCTTCAAATATTACGATTACTTGGAGCTTGAGAAGGTGCCAATACACATAAATGACAATGACATTAGTATTTTATTGAGTGATATCACCTAAAAAACAAAAGTGTTGACCTATAGGGATAAATAGGCATGTTTTATTTAAGGAGTTGGGTGGGACTTTGAACCCAAGGGCTTTTACATGAGAGAATGTCGATGGAGTGGATGTGATTGATGATGAAAATATGAATGTTGAAGGGATGAGTATGGAGGTGTTTGATATGAATATTGATACTATTGATGGTAGAGTCCGTGAGGAAAATGTGGGTGCGAAAACAAGTATTGAAAATGTCAATATTTATGGAGTAGATGTTAGAAAAAGAATGAAGCAAGTTTCGAAAGTAGTACAAGGGGAAGTAAAAGGGAAGACCAAAAGGTTCTAGAGGAATTGGAGGAAGAGGCTTAGTGGATATAAGTGTTAGGAAAAAAAAGTAAAAATATAAATAAAGAGGCACATCCTAACTCAATTAATGCTAATAAAAACATGAGGTAGATAAGAAAACAACTTGTTAATAAAGAATATGATTTTTCCGATGAGGACTATAACTTCGGTGAAGATAGCGAGGATGAAGATTGGGTTATAAATGATAATGGGTTAGATAAAGATAATAGCTATAACGAGAGTAATGCCGACATCCCAAATGATGTTGATGTAAGGTTTAGTCATTGTGGATTAGATAATTTTGCTGATAATGTAAGCTCTAAGGATGAAGAATTTGGTGAAAACCCCTTTATAAATCTATTGAAAAACCGCATTGCATAGAGGTTTAAAGAATCGGATCTTAATAAAGAGTTTGAGTTTGGGGTTGGTCATATCTTTAAGGATAAAGATGAATGTAGACATTTACTAAAACCTTATGCAATTTATGGTGGCTATCTAATTTATGAAAAAAAAAATGATCAAGTTAGATTGGTTGCTTATTGTGAAGGAGAAAGTTATGAATGAAAGTTTTGTGCATCACGAACACATGATAATAAATCCTTCATGATGAAAATCTTGAATGATAAAACATATTTGTGTAAGGCTAAGTAAGAAAGTGTAATGATAATGTTAACTCAAAATGGGTTAAGAAAGAATTAGTAGAATATTTAAGGAGACATCTAGCTATGAGTTTTGATACTATGAAACGCTTGCTTGCTAAATGATGGGTTGATCCAAATAAATGGCGATTACATAGGGTCAAGTTACAAACAAAATTGGCAAATGAAGGCGGGCTCGAAGAATCTTTCCATTAGCTAAAAAGTACATTGAACTACTAGAACATATAAATCTAGGGATATTTATTGATATTAAATATGTGCAATAATATATACCCCTAGGTAAAAGCCCACAATTTACAAAGGTATTCATTTGCTTGCATGAGATGAAAATTGGGTTTCTAAAAGCAAGAAGATCATTTATTAGAATAAATGATTGTCATTTAAAAGGAATATCCGGTCAATTGCTTTTATGTGCAATGGGACTTGATGGAAAAAAAAAACATTTTTCTTATTGTATTTGCTATTTTGAAAGTGAATCCAATGAATCTTGGTTGTTCTGTCTAAAAAATTTGAAGACGTGTATTGATTTGCGGAGTGATATATGACCTTGGAATTTTATGACAAATAGACAAAAGGCCCCGAAAAAGAATATTTCAATATTTTTGTTTTTTTCTTTATTAAAATTTATTAGCCATATATGGACTACTCGTTATCTTTTGTGCATAAATAGAGACTAATCAATGCGATTGATCAAGTATTTTCTAATACAATTATTAGATTCTATTGTAGATATTTGTTCATAAATTTTTTAAATGAGTTTGGGTCTTACTTTTGGGCTATTTGTAAAGCAATTTGTCTTTTCCAATTCAAAAAAATGAAAAAAAAATTTGAAAAAGATTAGAAGACGCAGTCGACTATATGATGAGACGAGTTTCATTTTAGTGGCCAAGACATGCTTTTTGTCCGGAGGCGTAAAGTTATCATCCGACAAATAAAATATCGAGTAGTTCAAAAACTTGGTTGAAAAGATCAAACACATCCTAATTATTCTTGTGTTGGATAAGATTAGTAGAAACTAATGGCTAGAATACAAGTTAGATATAATCGGGTAACTACATGAGAAGAAAGTGGTCCGTCCAAATGTGAAGCAACAATTATAAAAACTTGTATTATCTTCAAGGTCTCCGAAACTATTTGTGGGAAGGAATGATGAGGACGGATTGGAGGAATGAAAGTACAAATATGTAATAAATATGAGGAATAAGACTTGTAATTATAAATGATGGGAAAAGAGTAGATCATCATGCAAGTATGCAATTGTAGTTATTGAATATAAAAGAGAAAGTTTAGAGGATTATTATGATGAGTCATTTACAATACATTGTTGTATTTTTTAGGATATACAAATATGCAGTTCATCCGATGCTTTAGGGGATTTAACACCAACCGAACCAATTGAAAAAATTCTACCTTCAATCTTTTTTAAAAAATTTGGTAGACCAAATAAGAACATGAGAAAGGAGTAGGGAAAGACAACATTAGAGAAGGGTAAAGGGATTAAATGAGTCATTTACAATACGTTGTTGTATTTTTTAGGATATACAAATATGTAGTTCATTCGATGCTTTAGGGGATTTAACACCAACCGAACCAATTGAAAAAATTCTACCTCCAATCCTTCTAAAAAAATTTGGTAGACCAAATAAGAACATGAGAAAGGAGTAGGGAAAGACAACATTAGAGAAGGGTAAAGGAATTAAATCATTTACAATAAGGTATAAAATTTGTAAACAACTTGACCACAATAGAAAAACCTGTTTAGGGAGAAAAAGAGGTTCTACAAATAGAATGGTAAGACACTAGCATTTATTTCTTTCATGTTTGTTTGATACAACATAAATTATTGATTTATTTTTATTTTGTGTTGGTCGGTAGGGAATATAAACTAGACAAAGTGGTAGTGCTTTAACATAACATTAATGTATTGAAACAAAAAATTAGAATGACAATGAAACATGATGAATTGTTTAATGAATACATTGGTAATATTATTTCTTTGTTATGATTTAAGGAACACATAAGTAGACATGATGGCATAAAGCAACTAGTTCGATGGTGATGGGACCAACATTTTAGAAGCTCGGTTCGATGGAGATAAGATTAATGCTTGGATAATTTATAATTAGCTTTGTTGTCGATTATCTTTTGACTAAAGTATTCAAGGGTTTGGATTTGTAATAATAATACTTTGGGTGATGTTGGTTAGATTAGGATATTTAGTGTGTGTCTACTTGTTCTAATTCTCAATTCAAATTATGTATGAATATAGGAAACTTACTATTAATTTATGTTAAATTTCATGATGCAATTCAATTTAAAAATTTTATTTATTATGTCCGTTTTCTAAATGTCAATAAATTTCTTATGAATTTGATATGGCGATCGAATGAATTTTATCCAACTACCAAAATGGTATTTTTGATATAAAAAGAAATATTATCATTCATTTCTTAATATTAGAAACACATTGTATATTTCAAAGAGTTAACCATGAAACAACATTTACTTTCTTCTAATAATATATACAAAACGTTAACCCTAAAAATAATGAAGGAGAAGAGAAACTGCAAAGTTATGAATATAGAAGAAGACAATGACATAGAAGCTACAAAATTAAGGAAATAGAAAAGATAGTGAAAGAGAATAGAAAAAAAAAAAGCTATAAAATTGAGAAACAACAACAGAAAAATAAACGAAAAAGAGAGGAAGGGAAGCACGATTTTAGGACTTGTCATTAGTTTTATATATTATTAGAAAGACTATTTTGAAAATAAAATATATTTAGGTAAGGACACTTCATCACTTTACTAACAATCAAAAGACGGAAGAATGAAGTTATTAACAAAATTTAAAAATAAGGAACTAAAGGATTAGTTTTTGAAATGAAGGAACTAAATAATTTGTTTATCTAATGGAAAGGGACTGGATTATATTTTACTCTTTAAAAGCCATTATTGAACATCAAATCTATTGTTCAAAGCATTTTTTACGGACATTGAATAGGAAATAGAAGGAAAATTTAAGTTAAAAGGATGCAAGTTTAATGATTATTTTTTTAAATAATGTTTTTTTTTTTACATAATTATTTTATAGAATTCACTTGTCAAAATAAATATTAACTATTAAATGAATACAGTATATATTAAATTAATAAATTTTGTTAAATTATTTTTTTTTATAAATTTAATAGTTGATATTTTTCAATAGTTATCTTTAAGATCCATTTAAATTGCTAACTTCTGGAGAGTAGATAATTAACCTTTGCGAATTCTCTAGTTTGGACGTACATCGATTATTTTGGTTAATGGGTTTTTCTTGATAGATCTTGTACTATTAAATATATTAAAGATTTGGCACTTGTATGACGCTAACATTGTCCATGAGTTTTACCTCAACTCAAGATCATCCAATTTCTATCGGTCTGAGATAATCCGGGCCCACAACCACTCGTAATTGCAAGGAATCTATCTCTATCAAGAATAAGAATATGGCATATCTGTGACATTCTGAAACTAAGGAACAAAATACTTTTTTAAGGATTTTTATGGGCCTGTATTGGTAGCTGTGGGTCGAAATTGATGGAAAAAGAAACCGGAGCATCACTGCCACCCTCCCATCTTGACAGGTACCCTAGCAAACATCCATGTTAGAAAACTGTGGACAGAATCCGAAGCACGTAGGTGGTGTTCTTGCCAAGACTATTATTATTTATTACCCTACACATACATTAACATCACCATTCCTCGACTATATCCAGAGAGACATCCATGGAGCAGAAGCGTCAGCTACTTTGGTGAGTTGGGCCTAGCGTGAGAGACAGGAGACATCTGTGTGATCTGTGACCGATATGTAGTGGCAAGGCTTGGGTAGAAGACATAACTTTCCCAGTTCGGCGGTCTATCTTTACTCCTTGGGATGGTCATCGCTGTCGTAGTATGACAAGCAGCGCAAAGTGGACTGGGTTAGAAGGCAAGCAATTACGCCAGTGGTTCAAAAATGGGTTAATCATGCCAATCATCCCTATACTACTAAAATGTGTTTAACCAGGTCCCTCTACTAAAATAAGATTTGATTAAATCCCTCTACGCCAGCAACTAGCTTAATTCCCACCCTCCGTTAGCAACGTCGTTTAGACGGAACAGTATAATGAAATTTATTACAGAAATTTCAAATTTCTTAATAACTCTTTTAACCATACTACGTGCGTCCATTGAGTCTTGTTTATTCAAATTTATTACAGAGATTTCAAATTTCTTATTTTCAGACCATTTTGAAAATTAAGAAATTAAATAATAGAAAAAAAAAGTTTTAAAAAACAAAATTAAAAGTAGATTTATTTAAAGGAAAAATATATCCAAAACAACTCAATTTGCTTAGTTCCTAACAGAAAAAAAAGAGTGATTTTTTCTTTGATCCTAGAAATCAAATTAAACATGATTTAAAAGCCAGACATCACCACAATATCCACCATCTCCACCCATAATCACCACCGTCAAAGACTATAAGAAATCAAGCAAACCGCGCTTGAGGTTGTAGCTTAACGAAACAAGGGCTTACCCCCTAAGGACCACTTGGGTTTGACTCTCTCGCGCACGCTTGTCACTCCCGCGGTGTTTTACATGTCCACTAGGCTTGCAGGGTGTTCGGGGACTCTAGGGATTAGTCGAGATGCGCACAAGCTGACCGGACACTCTGGATTACCAAAACAAAAAAGAAATCAAGCAAACCATCATTCCTAATCTAGAAATCGAAATAATCCTCCAATTCACTCGAACAATTTTAATTTGTTATAACCATTCCTTCTCACTATCTGTACCACATTATTTGATGTATCTGTAGTGTCATTTACTCCAGCAGTACTAGTGATCTTAAAGACCATAATCAAGGAAATAACAAACACCACTAGAGCTTAGTGAATCTTTAAGGGAGACTGGGGTTCAAAAGAATTTTTCTTGAACTGTGAAGGAATAAATATTCCAGAAAGATTAAAAGGGCACAATTGATTGGGGCTTGGAACTATTGAGTTAAAAGAAGCGAAAGGAAAGGGCGATGGAGGGTTGTCGATTTGTGGCAGAATTTATAAAAATGAAAAGTGAGTGTTTATTTGATACAGATCATGTGGGGAAGATGTTGAATTGAAATTGAAGGTGGTGAGCTGGCAAATGGAGCTACTAGGTGGATCAGTTGGTTGTTAGTAATTAGTTAGTTTGTTAGTCGGTTAGTAATAAAAGCGGAGTGAAGGAAGTGTGGAAAATCAGTTAAGCAAATCTGGAATTTCTCTCTTCTTCATTCTGCTCCTTCTTCTCTGTAATTCTTGTTCTTCTTCCTTCTGGACTTCTCCCGTCTCATTTTTTCCTTTGATTTGAATTGTGAACTGCATCATTATCACTTTACCTCGAGACATTTGGTGATTGGCTTTTGAGAAGCTTCATTGGAAAGATGAGTGATTTGCTGGGTTATGGTGAAAAAAGTTTTTGTAAAGAGAATGGAAGATTGGTTGATAATGAAAAACGCTTTTGATAGTGGAAGAATTGAGTTTGAACTCTTGTTAAGAGAAAAAACAAAGGTTCGTAGGTTTTATCTCCCAAAAAAAAACAGAAAGGATTTCAGATCCATATTTACTTGGTGGGGGTGTGTAAATTGCTTGATGCTGCAAATCATGGTGTAATTGTGTAAATATTTGATCTTTTAGCTCAAAATTCAAAAGGATGCAATGAATTTAGTCTCAAAATTTCACAAAGCTAACTCAAAATCAGAAGAAATATAAAAAGCTAGTCTGATTCGGGGTACCTTCGGATCTCTGTGTTCTTTCTGCGATTTGTTTTTCCAACAACTGGGGCTCTAAATTGGCTGTGCTTTGATTTAGAAGAAACGATGGTCCAGGAGTCATTGTCTCTGTTTTACTTTTTCATTGACGTTTTCTTAAATATATTTCTCAAATCTTTCATTTTTTTTTCTTAATAGTTAATGATTATTTTGTGATTTTTTTTTTTTTTAATATGGTTTCATTAACTAAAATTAAGCATGTTTCTAATATACTTTGAATTAGAACCGTTATTGGGTGGCCATCGAAGGAAGGTGTGCATGTAAAAAGATGGCAATGGCAGACTTGTATTGGACCCAAGCATTTTTGGTACACCAACAGGTTGTATAGAAAATAAAAATTATACAAGAAAAAGGAAGTTCGTACTGCAGGACTTCTATCATTGAATGCTCAAGCCACGCATTTACAATTTACATACATGGGAATTTTTCGTAGTTCTAACTTTAGCAAAGGGAATATAAGACAAGGTTGTCATTAAAGTACTTCAAGTTACTGCGAATTTGTTGATTGCATTCTAACTACTTTACACCGTTAAACATCATTACCCACTTGCTTCATCAATTTTTTTTCAAAAAAATAAAATTGACAATAAAAGTACCAAAATAAAAAAAATCAAGTTTAACATGGATTTATTCTCCTTGTATAATGATTTAAAAGAATCTTTTCCTTCCTCCAACACCAGAATCTCCAATAGGTCTTGACCAATTAATTTTCGCAATAGCCTCTTCCACTTCACCTTATGATGTGTTCTCTTAAGGACGTGAACATAAAATTTCCAGAAAACATGGCCTCTTTATCTGCCATACAGTTCCATGACTGTCAAATCGGTATAATAAGCAGCAGATAATTTCGAATGCTAAAAGATCACACAAGAAAAGTCAAATGAACATGATTCAATGCTTAAAGCTGGTAGCATGCCACACATCTATGAGACGATAAAATAGCCAAGCTAAGAAGTCAATAACATAAAATGTAGCTTTTGTTCAAAGCAAGAGTCCAGTAAATCAATTAGAAAATTACCATTCATTAGATGTGTGCGTGAGTGCATTTGGGGTTAAAGCTGCAAAATGCTTTCAAGATTCTCGATAAATGAAGAACATGCCAAGTGTTTACTCAACTAGGTAAACATTGTGTAAATCAACAATTAAGATTCTGGATAATCAAAAAAATCTGCAGCAATCTAGATTGGTTATCCTAATTCCCTTTCTCTATCCTCTTCCTTTTCCTCTTCTTTTACTTTTACTTTACGGCCATGAGGGGTTGAATGGGAGTTGAGGAAAGATGGGGCAGTATGTTATGTTCAGAAGTGGGCGCAATTTGTTATTAACTTAGCCAACATTAGTTCTCATACATAAAAGAGCAAAGCCCAAAGTTTGCCTTCATGAACAATTTTAAAAGTCAATCGGATTAAATCATATCAGTAAAAGCGAGCATGAAGCATACCTGTTAAGGAAAGACAACTTACTTCGCGACGCACATATCTAGCCATTGCCTGCAGATATCTACACACACTTAGTTGTGCTATGCATTCCTCTAAGAGAAAAAGCTACGATTTTGGAAATTTGAAACGAAAAGGATCTGTTAAAGAACTTGATCAAGATAACATTCTTTTTCCATCATTTTACACTGACAAATCTATACCATGATGCCAGAGCAGCTGGACAAAGCACGATCCAATTGAAAGACAGAACAGTTCCTTGGATAACCCAAGAAAACTTCACCATGCTTCATTTCCATGGTGATTGACAATCTTGAAATTAAGTAAATGGAAAATGACTACTTATGGAGTTTTGGTGGCTTCCACTTCCAAATGACATCTAAGAACCTAAGCCAAGACAATTGATCTGGTACATCTGTAAAACGGCAAATCAGAATGAAAAGCAGAGAAGAGAACATGCCTGAACTGCTTGTGATGCAGTATCAGCTGGCTCCACTGTGCCATCATCAGAAAAGACATTCCTGCAAGACACAGTTCCAAATGCAGATTATGGATAAAAGCATATAGTCAAAAGAAAGGTATTGATAGTCAACATGCCACACACAGGTTAATCCACAAATCACAAATTTCTGCTGCATATCACCGAATGCAAGCACATTATTCTTCTTATATCCACATTGATATATGGTTCTCTTATGAAGATAATAAAGCCAAAAGCTTCTGCAACATTTTTGAAATGAGGTTCTCATATGTGCAGCATTACTAAAAATTCCCTTTCTAGGAAACAAAAATTAATCCCTATATGTCCTGGATGGCTGATAATAATTTTCCCAAAGCACTCCACAAATTTAGTGGGAAAGGGAGACCAGTATTTTGAACAGTTATAAGCTTGCAAAAGGATACCAACAAAGAAGCTGATTGTCCTTGGAAAATTACTTTCACTAATGACCATTCCACTTTTGAAGCAATTAACAATGGCTCTCCCAGTCAATTTGTTTTTGAGAGAGAAAGCAGGCAATCATACCTCCACAAGATAGCTGTTACTTTTCCCTTAAATTATAATCAACCACCAGAAGTTTCAACCTCAGGAGAATAAAACTTAGACTATGAAGATGATGAGCATCAGGTGCAGTGCCAACCATAAGGAATAGATCATGCAAGGTAGCCAGGGCTGGGTTAAGCACTGGTTGAGCTCAGCATAAATTACAGAAACCTGCCCAGATATCAGGTCTAATCTAACCTCAACCATGAGCAGTGTCATAACCCAACAGATTGCAAAATATCAACGAGTTGAGAATGGTACAAATAGCCAAGCAGAGAATTTTGTCATTAATGATAAAAAGATAAGGCTTCTAGCACAGAACATATCTAGGCACTACTTCGAAGATTTCTACTGAAGAAAAGCCTCAACTGAATTCTGATGACATCTTACCTCCATATCACCTTTGGTAGCTCATCTGGTTTTGCCTCAGGAAGCATGGCAGCATCATATGCAACAATATTTCCATAGAATATTTTTTCCAATTCTTTCATCCATTTAGTCAAGAGTAAGTTAACCTGCATTGCAAAAGTACATAAACAACAAGAGAAAAAGATATGTTTCCTATTGCTATCCGCATGTCAACCTGTCAGCAGAGCTTCCTATCCTATAAGCCCAAACAACACTGGCCTTTAAAACTTAAGGCTCTGCTGATCAATGAGTAACATAGAATAACTTTTGGGTTATGCTTCTGTACAAGAAGGACATCCTAACAATGGCAACCAGAATGACCTGCACTCCACCATCAGGAGTGTGCTCTCTTGTGAATAATTTCATGAACTCTTAAAAGAACAGAGAAAACATGAAAGAATGGGTACATATGTATTATGACCTGATGGATACTTCAATCCATCACATGACAAAGCTAGCAAAGTAATCTAGCTACATTCTGAAACTGACAAAATCAAATTTCTGAAAGTTCCATAAGCTAGAACAAGGAAAGACCTTAACTATGACAACAAAACTGATAAATGACGTAAACATAAAAGTTGTAACCAGATACCCCTGCTTTAGATACTCTCAGCTCTACATCATGATTGTAAATCTCGTAAAGGTATTGGCCGAATTCCGCACCTTCCTTGCCCTCTTGTTTCAGGCGGCGTAAATAAAGCCACATATGTAATACAAGCAATGAGAAAGTCATTTTAAACGTCTTCTCCAAGTTGAATACTGCATGAAGATGAGAGCAGAAAATTTTATATACAATACTGTAAAGAAATAATAGTTTATTTAATCAGAATTTCTGTAGTGACTTCTGTTAGAATGCAAAAAGACAGAAATAAGAAAATTTTGAAAAGGATTCCCCAACCTTAAAGGAAATAGACAGTTAAAAAACAGCAGCATGTGGATTGTCTATGACAATATAACACAAAATGCTTAAACCCATGATAACCCCAACCGCACAAACTTGTAGGCTGAAATGGTCCATTTAAACAATCAAAAAGAAGAGGCAAAACAGAGGGTAAGACCATTATTGTTGTTTCCACAATAAGCAGGTGCATGAAAATGAACTCACCTTCATAAATGGCAGGTTTATCTACTTGTGAAACAATTCGATGGTACACCACATTGGCCCCACGAATAGACTTGCTTTGTTTACTATAAAACAGCAACAACTTGAGCACAAAACGCCTTATTCCCTCATACTTGGGCTCTTCCATTCTAAGTGGAGAGTCCGGAGCCAAAGCCAAAGAAGTAGGCTTAGACCGAAACATTTTATCCAAATTCACCTGTTAAAGAAAAACATACACTTCAATCCCCCCATCAAGAAACTAACTTAACATCATTCACAAAAGTCAAAACACTCCGCCCCATTATAATTCTTGTACTCATCTGAACTAGAAAGAAATCAATCTTAAACAAAACCAGTCAAAACTTTTCTTGAAATTAGTGAAGATGCAAACTTTACCATGTGAATCATACACCCAAATCAAATACAATCCATAAAAACCAAAACCATGATCACTAAATCATAAAAAACTTGAGACTTTCAACAAATGATTGAAAACCCAGAAATGGGTTAGCAGTAGAATCCGCATACATACCACTGAATTGCTTGGAAAACCCTTTTGTGAAGAAAGATTTGAAGGAGCCACAGCTGCAGCAGCAGCCTTGGCATAGCTTTGGCTTGAAATAAAATGAAAAGCAGCATCTTTACTGTTGTTGCTGTTTCTAAGTTGATGACAGAAATGAGAAACAGCTGCTCTGCTACATCTTGCAAACATTTTTTCACTTCCTTTCTGTATGAATCACTTTCACTTTCTTTTGTTGTTTATTGTTTTTTCTGTGTTTTATCAAGTTTCTGTTTTTTGTTCACAGTTATTAATAAAGGGCTTCCCTAAATTGTTGCCATAATTCATAAACCCTTGAAGACGAGATAAAGAGAGATCCAACTTTACCATGTTTGTAAACGGCATCGTTTTGTATTTGGGCTGGAAATGGGTATGATTCTCATCTTAATCAGAATATTCAATCGAAGATTGGATCGTGAGATGCTTTTCCTTATAGATTCTTTTATATTAATACCTAGTAAGTATGTTGGTCATTTCCCTGGCCAATTCATGCCTTATTCCAAGGCTTCAAGTCATCCCACGTCGAAACTTTCAAGAAAGCCTCTGTGTATGAAGGCTTCTATAGGCTAACAAGAATCCAATCCTTGATCACTTGATATCCACCACATGGTTAAACACATTCATATTCATGCACGTCAGCTTAAACAGGAACAAGTTCATGCTACTCAAAATACAATAGGGATCTTTTTTACTGTTTTCACAAGAGATTTGACTGGTAAGAAAAATATATAGATGATAATGATGGCATCAGCATGGCATCTGTTTGTGGATGTATAGGATCATATAAAAAAAATCAAGTAAATAACACAAGAAAAGTATATATATATATATATATATATATATAAGATCACTTTCTGCAAATCTATAACTATATATAAAAACATGAATTTCTAAAAACCTTTTGATTAACTATTTTATCTTGAATACAATAATAATATTATAACATATCTTCAATATTAACATGTGAATTCCACATCATCTTCAATTAAGGAAAAAAAATCAACATTGAAGAAATTCTTGAAAAAAGAAATTATTAAAACCTAAAAAATAGTTAATCTCATTATTCATCGATTTTTTATTTATTAACCACGTAAAACTCTAAATAACATAAATTAAGATCTATAAATTATTCCTAATCTATTTACTACATTACTAAAATTTATTTTGCTAAAAAAGAAGCCAAAAAATACCAATAATATTAAAATCCAAAAATAATAAAAATTCATCAAAGTTCATCAACTTATTAAATTGGATCCTTATTTTTTAATAGAAAATTTTCTAGTGTATTATATTGATTTTTACTCATTTGGACAAAATGATCCGGTAAATTTGTATTATTTATTTTGACACATTTTGCTAATTAGTATTTTTTAATTAAAATAAAGGTTTATAATTCATGTCTATACTATTAAGTTCTATTCATATTACATATAATTAAAAATAACTCTTTCCAAAAAAAAAAAAAAAAGCTCTAATGCCATGTTATTGTACTAAAAGTTAGTAAGACCTCAATAAAACTTTTGTTCACCCAATGCTTGTTACATATTTATACAATATGAATAGATTTTATTTGAATAAATATTGACTCCTTTCAAAAAAATAATTTAGAAAGATTATTGTAACGTTATTAATTAATCATGGTAGAAAAATACACATCAATTTTGTAATATTAAATTTTAAATATAAGCATCAAACGTCTAATTAATGATTAATAAAGTTTTATTTCTCAAATTGTTTACAAGATTTTTCAACAATAGATATTTTCTAAATATATGTTATCAAAATTAAAGTTTAAAAAAAAATTAGATTATTTATTATCGTATTTGTATCTTAATATGTAATTATATTTATTTACATATAAGAGATCCCAACATATCATATTTATATTTTGATAGGTTGATCATTCTTAAATTTTAAAATGAAATGAAAGAAAATATTTAAAAAAAATAAATTAAAACAACTATCCGTATACATTATAATAAACAATAAAACTCTTTTTTTCTTCTTATTTCTTCTATTTTTTTTTAAGAAATAAATGTAACTTTTTTCATAGCAACATATGATAAGAAAAATATATTTATAAGTTCTAACTATGCTAGTAAATAAATTGGTGCAAATTTTTTGGTGATTATTATTTTTAATAAATCTAATTATAAATGGTCATACACATGTACATCCTACCTTTTAACTATTTTATATCTATCGTTTTTATTTCAATACAATTAACATTTATTTATATATTTTAAAAATCAAACAAACTAAAGTAATTACAAATTATCAAGTTTTATATAAAAATATTCAGATTTTAAAAAACTATATTTTAATTTAATAAATAATAAAAACAGTAGTTATGAATAATTCAAATTAATCTATTTATTAAAACTTATAACATATATTATAAAATAATTGAATAATACAAGTACCAAAAACCTTATATATACAAATATAAGTCCTACCAAATCAATAGAATATATCAAAGAATAGAGATCCGCTGCATGTCCAGCCTCAGAACTATACATACACCGTTCTTCTCATTTGTGTTTATTAAAGATGTATCCTCCAAAAGGATGAGAAACGGATTTGATGAACGGCTGCCCACTTCCTGATGATCACCCGCTAATGTAACTGATTCCAATACGATAGGGCTCCCACACCACACATCATCTGAATCATAACCAAAACATATATGATTAGCAATAACACAAGTAATAACTTTGTACATTAGTAGTCAAATATAAATCATACACTTTTGGAATTTTATGTCCATAATTAAAGGGCACTTGTATATACAAACTATTATTATTATTTTTTTTTAAAAAAAATCATAGATAGGAACGAGGAATGCAGTTAGCATTAAGAAAAATTTAAAAATACACCAAAAGATTTGACATATTTAATATTTATAATATTATTCACCTACAATTAAAATACTATTCATTTACTTGTTTATTTAAACTCGTATGTACTATATTTATAGTGATATTATGTGATTTTTAAGTTGTCTTGAGTTATTTATATACGATTTTTTTTTTTATGATATTGCAATTTGGTATCCAATTTTTTTTAAAAATTTTTTTTTAGTCTTCAAGTTTATTTATGTCGTGATTTGGCTTCTAAATGCAAAGATAGGAGAGAGAAAGCCACAATCGGCTTCAATTTCAAACTCTTTTGTGGCAATCTTGCATTCATAGTATTTATCTTGGTGAGAAATTTGTGTTTATAGTGGTTTTAAATAAAAAAATAGTTAAAAGAGGTGGATTGGAATCTAATTTTTTAAAAGAATTTTTCAAATATATATATAATATGCATTGAAATGCTTTTAAATTTTTTCTTTCTTTTCTTCTTTTCTAACTTTTATAATTTTTTATTATTGAATTAGGTGTGAAAATTATAAAAAATCAATCATTATTTTATTTTTATTTTCCACACGAGACTTAGATAAGATATATATGATATGTTTTTATAATTTAGAATGAATACCAACCAATTATTAGAGCTAGGTTGCTGTTAGAGAGAGAAAATGATTCACGGCTAGAGAGTTGCCCAAGTGATGGGTTGCGGACGTGCTTGAGCGAAGTTCAGCCAATTATGGGTTGTGGCATGGGCCGTGCAGCTGGATGTGGAGCGGCCTAAGGGTACTTTGCTTTTCATCTTGAGCAACCCCCGGCATAAGCCTTCGCAAGTTTCGGTTGTAATAGAGCAATAGTGCGTTTTAACTCATACATTCTCGGAGCAATACCATCACTAAACTCTGTCTCCAAAGTCGATCCATATCTCTTTGGCGATGTTATCATGGGCCGCGTTGATTTACAATTCTTTAGAAATAAAATGGATCAGCCATAATTTAATTTTGGTGTTGCATTATAGCCAAGAATGAAAATCTCCGAAATTAACTTCGGGCTTGAGTTTCAATCCATCTACAAACCTTGTCTTGTTGTTGGATTAGAGAGCATTGAGAAGGTTACTCCTTCGAGTGAAATAATTCTCTCCATCTTTACTCAAAGGTTTTGTAACAAAAATAAGATCTCGGATGATCCGAGGGATACAAATAGTATAATGATTTGGTATTAATTGCGATGTTTGATAGATAAGCCATCCTTATTATTGCTTGAAAGAATCAATGGCTATGTCCCAAAAAAAAAAAAAAAAAGGTTATAAACCTTACTCGATGCCACGAAAGAATTGCGAAATGAAATAAATCTTCAATTTATTTGATATTAATTACATACAAGATTTATATTTGATTACGGAGAAAATAAAATTCTTAATAATGGTAGCTAAAGTTTAGGCCAACAATCCCTACTCGTCAAGCTATTCTCCATATATATATATATATATATACACACACATGACCTAATAATAAATACGAAAATCATAATAAAAGATGCCTAAAATAAACTCTTTTAATCCACGTAACTTCTTCGACCCCTAAAATAAAAGAGGCCATATAGAAAGGAAAATTGTTCCTATTCCTTCGTGATCTAATGTGATTTCTTTCTTTAATAATGTGAGCAACCCTCGAATTTTTCAATCTTGCGACAGCGAGCAGCAACGAGTGAAATCAACAACCAGGAGAAAGCGAGTCAAAGTCCCCGGAAAACCAAAAGCCAAAGTAGCTAAAAATCTCCAGCTTCAAGTGAGAGACGAGATGGGTTCAACTTTCGGTTCCACAAGTGCACTTCCATCACATATTATTGGTCATTTATCTCAACAACAATCTCAATTATCCTTCGTGATCTCTTTATTACATAATCGACTCAATTTTAGTGTGGAAAACATTGGGTTAAACTTGATTTGGTGGAATTCAAGGACAAATGCGATCAACAAGTAGTGTTAATTAACGGACAAAAATCCCAGTTCAATTATAATACTATATAGTATGTAATCATCGGGTGGAAGATGATAAGTTTCTCTTCACGATCGATCGATGAGGTGATTTTTGAGGAATCTGCTGGCCAAGAGAGAAGGGACTAACGATATGGGTTTGGTAGGGAGAGAATAAAGGGACGATCGGCTCTCGAAGAGGGATGAAATTCGGAACACGTGTTGCATGTATAAACTGTCATGTGCTAAATTATGGCCGGTGCAAAAATAAAGCGAGGATTAGTTTACAATTTATCTATTAACAATTGGAGATAAATTAATGAAGATCCCGAACAACCGGATAAATTTTATAATATATAAAAAGTAATTAGTAATATATATATTAATTATTTTATAGATCTATATTTAAAATTTTCTTCTCCATTTTAAGTTGAGCACATTCCCCTTCCTAGCTAAATCTTCAATAAACTCATCAGCACTTAAATTTTAATAACTCAACTATAGGATAGGAATGCTCATTAATCGAAATACAAGATGTACAAAAATTCTAGATACAACAATAGTGCCAGAGATTAAAGCCCTAGAACTTATTGACGAGCAGCGATTCATGGTCAAACATTCCTTGGCTATCGATAGTAGATCCATATTTTACAGGACCAAGGACAATTCATGGTCAAACATCCCTTCACTTCGATAGGCTGTTCTTTTTGGGAGGATTCCTCAATCACTTCAGAATCTCTCCGGATTTCTATCTGTGCAAGGATTCAAACCCTAATGCAAAATATCAAAAACCCAAAGAACAAAGAAACCCAATAAGTAGAAAAAGAAAAGGAACACCCAATATAATGATATAGCACCAACTAGAATGTTGTTTCATGAGACTGGAGCATACCCAAGATATTTACACACACAAGAATAAAACCTCATGAACAGAACCTTCACTGTTGTTGTCATTCGGCACTCAGGATGGCAACCTTGTTGGATTCTAACGAGGATTCAATCAGAAGGATATGAAAAAAGAAAAGGAAAACGCACTGTTATTTTCTTATTTCTTAAAACTAGTAACAATTATAAAGTGAATTGTTGTCCAACTTGAGATAACTTACGAAGCAATAATACTTAATCAGTAATGTTAATAATTGAGGAAAAATAAAATTAAAAAGTCCAAAAATATACATATATAGGCTATGGGATCAATGATCTTAAAATAGGACGTGGTCCCATATGCATTCATGGATTTTTTTTTGTTGGATTTTAATTGATCGATGTTTTGCATAACTGATATTTTCTCCAATGCTATGTTCTTGAGTTTGCATTGTAAAGTTCAGAAAAATCTCAATTAATTACTATTTTCAGTAAAATAAATTTGAAAATAGTTACAGAAAAGTACATCGATTTTATTGATTTTTTTTTTTTTTAAGTTACCAGCTGTAATTTTCATCACTCAGTAAGAAGTAACCAAAAAAAAGCAATTTTCTGAACCAAGGGAACATAACTTAATTGGGGTCCGCGAAGATAAAACTACGGCTAAACCACATACTTTTTCTGCTTTCCGTTTCTTTATAAACAAGGTAACCTCAGTCATTCCCCAAGGACCGAAAAAAAAAAAAAAAAAAAAAAACCACAAAAACCTCATTCTATTGTGAGCACCTTTAATTGTGAGCTTATTTAGTTATGTGTCCCACTTTCGTCCTAAGCCTTTAAAACTCCCATCATCCGGGATCACATTATATAGATCTCCTCGTAAAACCTGAAAACTGCAAGAAACCATTGCTGAGCAACTCCTCAGCCATCGTATTTCCATATTTGACAAGAGACAGAGCTTGTCTATTTTGCCGAGCAACACATTGGTTACAGCAATCACCTCACCAACAAATGAAAAAAATTGCTTCCATATAAAAATAAAACTGTTGCATGACTACAAAGTACAGACAAGCATCCATGGCCTGATAACAAAATTCTTGCATACAAGGGCTTAAAACCATGGCGTTGTAGACTTCATGGACTCACAGAAACAAGGCAAGAGTAAGCTGGTTGGTTGAACTAAATCTTCTATAGAAATTATGATTTACACTTTCCCTCAAAAAAACATAATTTTACATACATTCCTTCAGCATGACTATCATCCATCCCTCCATGCCCCAACATAAAAAATGGGCGTTGAATATGCAAAATCAGAGATATTGCCGGAGGCTTTCGCCACTCATCGACTCCATTTCCTTCAGAACATCCTGGGCCAGAGATTTAACTGGTAACTCCATGTCCTCGAGCAATTCACCCAGGAAGGGGATGGTTTCAGGCAGGAAGACCAAATATTCTTCTTTCAAGTTATCCACAAGATACTTAACAATTCTCAGTCCTAAAATTCGAGATCGTATCTTGTCGCTCCGAGTTTGCAACAATACCTACAAAGTGACAGACAAATTTTATTCTCATTTTTTGCTTAAAGAATTTAAATGGACAAATCTGAATTGAATGGAAGAGGGAGGGAAGTTAAGAAGGGGGATTTTGGATAAGAGCCTCCAGTAGGTATAAGCACATGTGAGCAAGTCAGAGAACGAGGTTTAAGCAAGGTTGGGAGCAAATAAAAAGGGAAACCTTCTGACTGAAATTCAATGCAAGTACTCATAGCCAGTTATTATCTCTTTGAGCAAACATTAAAATAAAACCATAATAATTGATCAATTTTACCCATTTTATTCAGCAATCCAAAAAAGAAAAAACATAATCACAAAAAACCAAATGGAAACGAGATTAGATAACTGTTAAAATAACTACTACTGCCAACTGCATCTGTCTGTTATCAGTAATGAATAATATCTTCCTAGATCCCTCACATTTAAGAATTTAGATTATATGCATATAGAGGCATATTTCCATTGGTTCAAGGATTAAGGCCCAAACTTGCATTTAGCATTTCAACCGACTATCATCCAAATTGACGCCCACTCTGAAGGATCGACAAAAATGCAGCAAGAGAAAAAAAAAATCAGTTCTAGAAATCACCTCATGGTTCAGGGGCTTCCAAAGAAGATCACTTCCTGCAGTAACAGCCATTTGACCTATACAAACTATCAATAATTCATCAACTTCGTTAACAGAGGGCATGCTTGGATACTCTTCTAGTAATGCTGGTGGTTCGACTGCAAGCTGTGAGACAATGGGTTTCAACAGAACCTACAAATTCATGCAAGTATAAATCAGTAAAAGAAAATGACAGTCAAGGAATGGATGGAAAAAAAATTCAAGGACAGGCTGCAAAAGAAATTTTTGTTAATACATAGTGGGAATAGTCTCACATTCAAATTAATTTGCTTACTTATTTCATCAAGCAACAAGTCCTGATTTAATAAGATTGTATAATTAAAATTGAAACATAAAAAATAAATGATAGTAATCGTGAAACAGAATTTGCTTGAACCATAGCATGCTGTACAACAGGTAAATCTATCTGTATACTTACTAGTAACAAAGTACACATGATAAAAAGTTGTAAGCACAAATGGTGAGATTTAGTGATTTACTAACCTGGAATTTTGACGAATCAAGAAACTTCCGGCTCCCAGTGTCGTACAAAAAGCACTTATGTAAAGCTGAGATGACCAAAGCCCTGAGTTGCCAGCTTTTTAGTGATAGAACCGCATTCTGTTTTATATCACTTCCATCCTCCTGAATCTTAGCTTTCTTTTTCTTTCGAATGAAACAAGCACCTTTAGGCTCTACAATATCAGTAAGATGCCGTACACAACCCTCTAGCAAGTACTCAAAGTAACTAACGAACAGAGACCTGCACTTGAGATGACATTACTAAGGTGCTTGCTCCAAAACAGTGCACTTTACATTGCATCTTTTTCACAGAAAAGTACTAGTGTGATGCAACTAATCATCAATACCCAACTGGTACTGTGGTGCAACAAATCCTCGATCCCAAACTAGTTGGATACTGTGACACGTCAAAACAAGTATAGAATTTGTACTTCTTAAAATAAGTGAAAGTACTACAGAGAAAAATAGATGGCATTCTCCTTCAACACTACTACGGATCCTAGCATAAAGTTGATTTTAACATAAAGTTGGATTTAAAAAACATGAAAACATGACCAATCATATGGATTATTGAACTTGAATAACTATAAAAAACTGACTGGCAATGTAGAGATCCATGGCTCAAAGTTCAGGTACCAACAGATTAAAAAAAAAATACAAGACCAAGAGCAAGTATAATGCAATAACTGGAGTGAAATAAAGCCTGAATAAAACATGTAGTATATATTGACTCACCGATGATTCTCAGCAAGTTTGGTTACCAGACCATAGAAAGATATGGCCCTATCTATAATACTGTCCTTACTGGCAATCTCTTCTGCATATGACTCAGCCCATTCAATACTTCTAATAAAGAGAGGCTTGAACATGGTCTCTGTAAGTTTCATTGTCAGGGCAATCATTGCATTGATGATGCTTTTCTCAACAAGGTTGATATTTTGAATTGAAACAGGATGTTGACGACGAAGATCAAGGGCACGCAAGCAGAGGTCAAAAATTGTTTCATTATAACCACCAATGGATGATCTGTCCATTGTACCAACTAAGCTTGCAAGCATTTCAAAGAAAACTGCCACACTTGAATCCCCAGCCTCCACAGTATCCGGATACATCTTCAGCAATGGTGGAAGGGCAAGTCGAACCTGCAAAACAAAAATCAGTATTGATTTCACTTGAGCAACAATAGATCGTAATTCACATGAATGGCTTAGTTCATCAAATCTTACAGGGATCTTCTCGGCAAGCAGCTTCCGTACAGCATCAGCTTTCTGTCTCAGTTTCATTTTTGATCCTGATGTATACTTGGGACCATGCACCATGAGTCGTATAATATCTTCAAGATATGGACTGAGGAAACCGCCAAGCTTGTCTACAACAGCCTCTAAAGTGACAAGAATAGAGAGCATAAGAGATTCTTCAGGCATAGACAGTGCAGCAGAGAATTTGCTAGATTTTTTTATCACATTCTCCATTATTTGAGGCAGTTGAACAAATGCTCTTGGCCCGAGAACATCTACTAAAGCACCAGTTGTTCGAAGGCAGCTAGAAGAAATAGCCAAGTTGTTCGAACCAATGCCTTTTGCGATAGATGGAAGGCACATGCTGAAGACAGAATAATTAGAAGAAAATCTATGGGCCAAAACTTCCAGTGTGGAAACTGCTGACAGTTTCAAGGAAGTATCTGAGTCATCCACTGTATCATCAATTAGCTGAACTATTTCCAAACACATCTGCTGAAAAGAGTCGAGGGAACTCTCATTCATATGGAACCAATCGGTACTTGAACTTGCATTGGAATCTTTTCTTCCCTTGTGTTTCATTTTAATTGATTCATGCTCCCTCAAAGTTTCAGAAAGAAGCCCCAGAGCCTGATTGCAAGTAAAGTACAGTGAAATATGTTAATAAAGAGGCCACTATTTGGCACACAGGCAACAAGTGAAGACTTGTACAGTACATGTATATAATGCATCCCCATGCCTGCCCACTCACACCCATGAAACAAGTTTCACATGTTCAACACAATTTTCAGGAAAATACCAGCAATACTCAGTTTTTTTTTTTTTTTTTTGAAAAAAAAAAGAAAAAAAAATTTCCCCGTAACACATAGAAAAAAAAAAAGGTAGGAGGAACGAAGGGAAGTGGAGGAATAAACAGAAGATGTTTTCATTTCTATTTAAGCACTAGAAATGTCGTTTCAGGACCCTAGATTTCAGGTTATTGATATGCGTTCAATAAGGAATATAAAAGTAGAGTCCAAGGGGTGCACTCCAGCTAGAAGCTCCTAAATACTGTTTGCATGAAGATCGCATCACCATACACAACAATATACCTTCTTTTTCACATTTCCATCCGAATTGCAAAGCAAACTAAGGATGCCTCTGAAGTATGCCGAGGGCATCATAACTGTTGTAGTAGACTTCAAAACAGCACGCATACACTCTTTTAATTCCTTTCTGACTCTAACAGGCACATTTATTTGCTTTCTTCTCACATCAATAAGTTGTGAAAGATGAACAATATGCTCCATCAGTTCTTGAAGGGTATTCTGCAAACAAGATTCAAAAATCATTTTCACTGGGTCAATATGGATATTGCTGGTCCACTTTCTTGTCTTTATTCAAATATATACCAGATTATATAAATAAACAAAGCATAGAAGAAATCTAAATGACTGCAACTGTTGAGACATACACCAGAATCAGGAAATGATATGTTTTAGAATCTTGCTCTTCGGGCAAGACATGATAATATTATTATTATTTTTTTTATGGTTGGCATGTCCTGCAGTTCTAGAGTATAGGGTGGGGGAAATTGCTAAGTGATGGATGGCAACACGACACAGTTGACAAGTTTGCCAGCATGTGAATTCTTCAAATACACAGACCACTCAAAAATCCACCCCAAACATTATTAAATTTATGCATTAAGTTTATTTCAAGTAAAGGATCAGGAACCTGAATTTTATCTGAATCCTCTCTCGATTCAAGCTTGAATGAGAATTCTGGATCTTCTAACTTGTGTAAAATGAATTTCATTGCAATTAGCAATTCCATAAACATTTCTTGGCATGAATTACCAGCTCCTATTAGTTGAAGCAGAGGAACAAGGGAGGGAAGCCATATCCTGCAAGAATATTGCTCACATATCCGAATTGCAAAGACATACTCCCACTCTCTCCGTGTAGAAGATGTAAGATCATTTGTTTCATCAAGGAGGGAGAGTCCTTTCCTAGAAACTAAGGACCGGAAAAGAAGGACAAGCAATGAAGCCAAGCTATTATGTTCACCCAAAGTCCTGCAAAGAAAAATTTGAATTAAAGAAAAAGCTGAAAAGTGCTTATAGGGGGTCATAAAATTTTAACGGGAAATTGGAAATACCTCAACAAGTACACAACAATTGACATTCTCCTATGCTCAGCAACTTCGGGCAATACATTCACAAAAACCTTAAAACAAGATGCAATCCAACTCAGATGATCAGATTCACAGCAACTACATCCGATAAAAAAGAAGAGGAGATTGCAGCTGAAAGCTAGTCTTATTGATTACCTGGAGCAATTTGTCTGTGGTTTGTGTCTCAGCCAGCCAACAGGGGACAATTGCGGATATAAGATTCTCAAACACACGTTGTGAATGGCTGTCAATCTGTACGTGTGCATCAAAAAAAAAAAAAAAAAAAGGATGATTGGCTTGCAGTTACAGCTAACCAATCTCGATAATATTTGGTTGCTAATTTATTCTAATAATTTTCATCCACAATTAGGTAATTCAACTAAAAAGTTAGGTCGAAGCCACAACTTTCTCAGAGATATATGCATTAGTTTGAAAATTTTCTACATTCACATACATTTCAAAAAGCATTCTACCCAAACAGATTGCCTAGATGGTAAAAGGAAAAAACAAAAAACAAAAAGAGCACCCACACAGCCCACGCTAGAAGGAAAACAAAAGGCATTTTCCAAGTTGTACAAGGCCTGTAGATATATGAACAAACCTGTGTGACAGTTGATTCTCCAGCAATAGTAAATATATCCAATATATGCCCTATCATACTCTCTGGAAGAACCTTTGCAATAGATGATAACAGTGTGAATACATGGTTGCGGACAACTCCATGCTTAGCAGAACGGGCACATTTGATCAACATTTTGATATTGATCTTTTTTGTTATGTCATCCTGGAACAAAGATGGGTTACACCCAATTTCAAAGAAACAAACATCAAACCAAACTGGCAGGCATGAAGACATTACTTCTTCCCAACTGGAAAGGGTTTTAACATACCTTCAATGGGAAATCATTTATTAGTGAACCAATAATATCTTCAAGTACTAGCAATAGTGTTTGCTGAGTGTAACAAATTGTGCTAGACCCAGTCTGGGAAATTCCAGATGAAGCTTTGATCCAATTTTCATCTTGGGCAGGCACCCACTCATCCAAAAAGATTTTCTCAAGAAGTTCGAATAAGGGCCCTATTAGATGTTCCCTACATTCAATTGCATGACATTTCAGAGAAAATACGCAAACTTGTAGTATTGAATGGTAGCGCCATCAACCAGAGACCATAAAATAATTAAGAAAAAATAAATTACAATTATTTAAACAGACCTGCTAGCAATATTTTTCTTTAGAATCAATATGTCGAGGAGGGAGCTTAGCAAGCATGATGCAGTTTCTACTTTACAAACCACATCACCATCCGAGCTGGACATTAGAGGCACTATAGATTTCTTTTTCTTCCCAGATGCAAAACCACCAATACAACTTTCTTGTTTGAATATGAAATTGAGTGTCTGAACTACAGTAGAGCACGTTATCTGCATTATCCAGTGTTGCCAGTCAAATATCAAAATGACAGTTTGCTTTGTGCATAATCCTTTGTTCCCCAAAAAAAAAAAAAAAAAAACCTCAAAATAGCATTTAATAAGCTAAACAAAGCCAAGCAAACTTGCTAGTTAGCAGAATATGAGCAATCAAGATCAAGAAACCCTAGTGTAAATACTCCCAGCTCCCTTAAGTCAATCATCTTGGTTTAAACGAAATTTAGATTTTACAAAAGATATACACAATAATCTCATGAGTATCTTCCAGCACACATATATAAACAAAATTAGCTTGCAATTAAAGAACATTACAGCAAAACACAGGCCCAACAAAAGTGAAATGCACACACTTATCTTGTTCCAATTTAACATCTATTAATAAAAGATGAGATCCTCTAAGCTCAGAAACTATATCACCACTGTGCTATTTATCATGTCAAACAGCAGCCTACTAGGTCATGACCTTGTAAAACAGCAAGGTCTATCACCACCAACATTATACAACATACAAATCAGTCGTTATGAGCTTCGGGATCAAACTCTCTAACTGTTACAAGGCAGATCAGCATAAAAATGTACATGTACTCATAGAAGTAGCATGAACCAACATTAAAAGCAAGGACACGATGGTTTAAGCGCAATCCACTAAAAGAAAAGAGAAAATTTGAAGTATGCAAAGAAGAAGAGAACAAACATTTAAGCGCATCAAGGCCTCCCTTGTTGTATTTTGTATATCACCATTAGCATTTCGAAACAAAAACACAAGCTCACGAAATAGAAGCTCCTGCTCAACACAACAAAAAGAAAAGAGGAAGTATAAGGTTCTATTCTACTTCGTAAAAATCACCAAAAAAACCAACTGATTTGTCACATTGGCCTTTCATAGTTGCAGAAAAGAAACATAGTGCCTGCTCTACTTTAAAAAATTAGAAATATTTTATGTATGCTTCGTTGTGAAAGTATTTCCGAGTTCCATAGAACAATGTAGAAAGATGTAGAGAACTGCTACAAAATACGTTTACCAATACAAATATTAGTTTTTTGGGGAGAAATGCCTTTTCCAATTCTCTATAGTTTCCCCAGCTTCAAAAGACCAGATCCGTCCTCCATGCTCTACTTATTGCACATTTTCTGATTTGACTAATGAAAGATTTTTCAACAGATAAACATGTTTTCTCCCTGTCTCCACTACACCATGAATTCCCAAAAAGAGATGAACAATTTAAACTGTATTCTCAAGAAAAATGCACGTTGCCCCTTAAATTTTACAATCTGGGCAATGTTACCTAGAGTCAACACGGGCTTAAACTAAATAACCCAGTGACAGCATGTAAGCAAATCTTTTTCTGTTGTTCCACAACCCTAAATAAAATAGTTATCGAGCCAGATGTTGCATGACAACCAGCAGTTAGTTGATCTAGATTCTCTATGGTGCTCTGCCAAAGGAGTCATCAGAAGCGTCTCCCTAGCAGATATCCAAGAGATACAGCTGGATGGTTTTGGAGTTTTAGCTTCGTGCTCTTCAGTTGTTTCTCTTTATGTTTTTAAGCAGGAATTCTCACCCTCCTACTTTGTAGTTTCTATCCATCACTTCTAATATAATTTCCATTTCTTGAAAAAAAAAAAAAAAAAAACGAAAAGGAACCTGTTTTTCAGTTGTCAATCCACTGTAAAACGAAGCACTTAGGTTTTGCAAAACAGTAACACAAGGTTCTACAACGGCAAATTCTTCAGAAGAGAGCCCATCCAGCTGGAAGAAGGAAGAATGAAAACAAGCATCAACAAAGAGAACACAACCATTACTATTGAAATTAAAACAGTCCAAACAAGTTGCAAACAGGTTCTTACTTGCAAGGCCCTTAATAAATAATCTTCACAACCATGCCCCTCCAGTGATGGAGGCATAGCACAAACCTAATACAGGAAGAGAATGGGATTGGCATTAAGCAAAAGAGATGATTAGCCAACCAAAAAAAAGGGTTCAAGAAACATGTATATGCATTTACCTCCAGTAGAAGGCACAAGATCTTGACTTCAGTTTTGGACAATTTCTGGGATGACTTGTCCACCTCAAAATAATATTGACTGCGCCTTTTCAGAAGTCGAGACAACAATGACTCAACATCTTTAATATGCAGTAATGCATTGCCCATTCCTTTGAGCAAAGATATAATTATCAGCTGCCAAAGGTGCACCCAATTAATATTGTTTTCTACTAAGAAACCTTTATTCAAGAGAGTACAATTACAAATGATGCCCATACTAAAGAGTTTTAATAGAAAAGCTGGAAAATTGAGAAAAAAATCAAAGATCATTTCAGGAAAAAAAAAAAGACTAGCAGAGGGCAAACCTTTGCAAATGAGGAAAGCTGAAGTCCAGACCCCAAGATGAAGGCAATAATCTTTTGTTTTGTAGATTGATCAAATCTGAATATGTTCGGTAAAAAGAAGAGAGTTACAAACCCTCATTTAGTAAAAATTAGTATGATGATCATGATGAGAACTGTTAAATCATAAAGAATCTTATAAATTGAGCACAAAACAAACGAGAATGAAAAGAAAAATTGCTTGAGCTTTATAACCATGATGAAGCATTATGTTGGTTAGAAGATTAAAAGAAGTAAACTCTACGTCAGTCTTAAGGCTGTTTAATCTGCAACAAGTAGAGGCCACAGATGCAAAAGAATTTGGCACCCAATATTTAAATGTAACAGATACAACATAAAAACAGCCTGACATAAATGATTCCAAGTTATCAAGGTATTGTTCAAAATAATTTACAAGGCATATAAATGTTTCAGAACTGTATAATTTCTGACTTGGTCCACAAATCACTTGTAGAGATGGCAGAAGTTGAATGTTTTATCAGTCAATGGTTAAGACATCAAGACATCAGAGGAAAAGAGAAGACTAATATGGGAAATGATTAGATTAGATGCTTCAGAAGAGGCCAGGTCAACTCCATGCCACAAAGAGCAAGAGAAGGCTGTTTCTATCGCACCAAAGCATCCAGAGGCCACAGCTTGCCTCTTACTATTCACCAGCCACTCCAAATAAATCTATTGCAGTTATTCTATGCAATTCTATGCAAAGCATCAAAATTATACGGTGAATTCAGACACACCAGCATGGGTGAAAAGAACTAATGCACTGGATAAATACCTTTGTTCGACATTTCGTGGAACCAGAAGGCGATCCTTGGAAGAGCCAAGCAAATAGCTCAAAAACGAGGGTAGGAAGTTCTTGTCTGATAATATGAGCCTTTTTTGTTGGACAATCAGGCCCAATAATTCATCAAGAAAATGACTCCAATTTGCATTGTTCCCTGTCATTTATTCCATTCAGAATATAGTTGTACAACTGAGAAAGACGAGAGCCTACACGAAATCTAATGTCACAAGCAATACCATTTTTCTTGCTTAAATAGTCAGCACGATGCGACAGCGCACATAACCCCTCAATGCAGCTCATGGCAGCAATCCTTAGATCCTGAAATAGAGGCATTCGTCTTATGGAATCAGACAATGATTGAATGTAAAACTAACCCAGAAAAAGATTTAAATGGTAAGCAGCATGTTCTAAACAATAATTAGAATATATGAAAATGATTAAAGATTAAAAAGATTTGGGAAAAACCTGGCTACCACAGGCTAGTGGGACAAGAAGTGAAGGGAAATTGAGTAGAAGCTGAAGCAGCAATCTATCGTCAGGCTCCGAACAAAGGAATGCAAGACAATTTAGAGACTCAACTTGGACAGCAGCAGGAACGTCTGCAACATGAAATATCCAGTATAAGAACATGCAATTGTTACTAGAGATTCAGGCCATTACAACAATTAGACTGTAATAGAACCTCAAAAAATTACACAATCAGATAAATCAATCCATCAGGCCAATTATTGTCAAACAGAAAAGAGAAGCAAGACATAAAAGTGACAAAATGGTTCATGGGAGGGATGGTAACAATCTTGTTGGTGGAAGCATAACAGGGTGATGGCCCCACATGATTAATCAGTGGACCATGTATATATAACTTCATTATCATACAAATGGGGAAACAAATAGAATAAAGCTAGCTTAATCAGTGAACCATGAATATCTAACTTCATTATCATACAAATGGGGAAACAAATAGAAAAAAAGTTGCTTTATCAGTGAACCATGTACATCTAACTTCATTATCATACAAATAGGCAAACAAATAGAAGAGAAGTAGCTTAGTACTTTACCACCAGATTCAACAAGCAGGAATCACGAAATGATCATAATGTATAGACAGACTTTTGCAATGGAAAGTATTACAGCAACTAGTAACCTGACACTAAAATCATAATATCAATATTCTAAGTTGATTGCAGTTCCTTTCCAGATCAAACCGCCAACAAAACCTGACTAATCATCAATAATTATATAGTATCTGACAACAAAAACTTAAGTGTGCTTTAACACCACTGTTTTCTCCTGACAAATTCTCTTACATTCAAAGATTTTCTGTTTTATTCCCACCTATATCTACACCTCAGCAAATAATATCTAGCAGGATTTATCTAACTTCTCCTCTACCCCCTATCTTCTATCTTTCTCATTTTCCCACCTCTCTCCCTTCCATTCAAATTATAAATTTGACACTATCCATACGCTCCTGAATCCCCTATCTTCTTATTTTATTCTCTCAACCCTCTATATTTCAATTCAAGCTTTCACCTCATTTATTATTTCTATTAACAAGAAAGCAATAACAAATTGCAATGAAGAAATTAACTTTACGAATTCAGCAAGAAAGATATGCTCTATATACTTTCATGCTACGAAGAACCTTGTGTGGCTGACCTAGTTAAACCTCACTGAAGTCCCATCATTAATGTTCAGTACATAACAAAATCAAGATCGACAACAGATCTCCAAAGAGACCTCACTCCCACAAACTGCTATTGAATTTGTGAACATCATTGGAAAGGAAAAAAGTTTGACCAAATGAATAAAATGAAAGAGAGAATGACAGCTAGGAATAAAGACTTGATAATCAGCCTTCAAATTTCATACAGAAGAAGAGAAACATCAGAAGAAAATTAAAACCAAGCTGTAACTCCATGAATGAGCAATGCATGACTTCTAGAAAAAGGAGGAATAATTTATCAAGTAATGCCCAAAACAATTACCTTCATCAGTGTAGAAACCAGACAGAAAATCAATAGGAGAGATCTTGCATTTTGTAACAAGGTAACGAAGATGCTCCTTGAAAAAATGCTTGGACTGAGAGTTCGAGAAAAAGACAAATAAATCCGAAAGTCTGCTGCTAATCAACTGCTGATTGTCCTCCTGAGAAATGTAAAAATTAAAAAATTTCAATGAGTGCTTTGCAACCAGTTATGGATTCAAGAGCTTGCCACAAATAAATGGGGGTAGGCACTGCCAACCAAAAAGATATATGTGCCTACCATTGAAGTAAAAGCCTCCAGTAACCTCCAAAAGATGCAAATAAGGATACTTGTATGTAATGCCCTAAGATCGGTGTCAAGCAGCTGATCTAGGAACCTTCCACAATCCCATTGAAGCATTTCATTATTGAACTGTCAGCAAGCATATACCCAAAAAATGAGGACAAAGATATACCACCAGAATCAAAGTCAAATTAGGATATCCGGTAAGAAACAAAGTCAACAAACCTCATTCCCAGAAACAACAACTGCAGACTGAGACTCCCATTCAGTCTTCAGAAAAGAAAAGCAAGCTTCAAAAAAAGTTGAAAATTGCTCCCTTTCTGCTATACAAGAAAAAACATAACCAATTCTTGTTACAATATTTTTGAAAAGTAAAGGCATTAATTATATAAATGCAGACAATCGGAAGTTAAAACAGTCTCATTAAACAGGATGTAAAAACAATAGTTGCCTGATAACAAACAACATGATGCCAACCAAGGATTAAGGAGAGACAGTGTTCTTACAACAGAGTATATACATAAAAAATTTGTTATGTGCCTAAGGACACACAATGTTCTCATAACAGAACAGAAACTTACTGTTATTTAGCCTCAGAAATGACTGCATCAGAACCAAGAAGAAAAGGGTCTTCGAGACAGTACAGTCACTGGAGCTGTCGACAAGCCATGACAAGTACTCACCTGGGTGCCTTGACAATGTTTCTGCCAAGCTGTTAACAACCTTCATGTTGATCGAAGATATAACTTCATGTGGCAATTTCTGCATGTTTTTCTCCAAATTGCAACATGAAAGGATTAGCTGATACAGAATCAAAAATCAAACTTCAAATAATGAAGTTATGGAAATGACAAGAGGAACTGATAAGAAAGAAGGACTTCAACCTTGTTTACCACAATTTTCTCAACCGCAGAAACCTACTAGACACAATGAAGAGACCTAAAGGTCAACATCTGATTGACATAGTGAGATCCTATATGATTGAACTGATGATATTAATTTGCTTTAACAAATAACATCAAGAGTTTCTGTTTCTGAGACATTAAAACTTGGCAACTGGAGGAACGTATGTATATCATTCCTTTCCCTGACACCATTAATTAATGTATCCCCTACTATAACGAAAACACTAGCAGGTATGCCAAATCAAACACCAGTGCTGAATAAAAAATAAAAAACTAGCAATATCATCAAGCTGATTCATGGCAGAAAGTATAAATGAATTCATGTCAAAAGAAAGGGAAGAAAAAAGAACTTGAAATAAAAAAACTTACTGTCTCTTCAATGGAAACACCAGCGAGATCATTATAAAATGGCCAATTCAGTTCCTTCGCTAATTCCAAGACCTCCAAATTTAGCCTCTGTGTCTGCTTGTATAACACAGAAATGTCAACAAACCACAAGACATGGGAGGATCCATATTGTTTGAATGAAAAAAATATGCTAACTTAGACACCACATATTGGACATAATCATAAGAGCGAAGAAAAACCTTTTGAAACATTAGGAGAAGAGGAAACATCATGGCAGCAAGTTTCTTTGAATAATCAATTTGATCATGAAAGGTTGAGATGGCAGTCTTCAAAAATGAAATTGCAACGTCACTAGCTAAAACAGTTTTATCTGATGCACCTGCAAATATCATAAATGAACTAAGGTGTGTAGAAATTGTGCCAGAGCAGCAACCTGTACGAGTTAAAATCAATTGTTTGCAACCAATAAGTTTCAAACTAGTAGTCAAGTTTGAGTTCGTGAAAGCAGAATACTAAAATTATAATTGTTGCTGAATCAAGAGGCCAAATTGCTAAAACAGGTATACAACAAATGCATTCATGAACTAGTCACACTTACCTGACCTTAGGGTGCTAACACATTTTTTAAGCACGCCATCTAATGCTTGGAGAAGATCAGAAGGACTGATGATTTCAGACAATCCTTGAAGAGATAAAGCTGCTTGAACCACTGTTAGGTCATCATCACGTAATTGGCACAATACAGCATCTTGAATGGTTACAAGCCTCTGGATCACATGCCAATGAAAAGAAAAATCAAATGCTTTGTTTTCAATCAACCTGAAGGTTGAGACATGATGATAGACAGCACGGTTCTACAAGGATATGACATGCTATCACATTCACTAAATCCAACCAGTACAGCATATAAAAGAAGTATTCCACTTGACCAGCATGTCCAAAAATGCCACACAAAAGTTCGAATTGATTTATTCAATCACCATTTCTCCCCATATTGACAAAAACGGGAAGTTGGTTATTGGAAACTGCTAGCAAGTAATAGAATCAACCTTCTGTGGCCAAGAGGTGCCTCTCTCTTTCCAGAAGTAGATGTAAAGAATTTTAGGGAATGAGAGGTTAGGTTTTAGAGAAAGGAAAGACTAGCCTGAATGCATAACACCAAATTGCACTAAAGATATAATTTAAAGAAGAAACAAAACGTTAAACATCACAGCTTAGCTTAAAAAGATAATCAAAACAGGCTGGCAGAAAATACTATCATATCAACTTAAAAAAGAAAGCATTTCTGGTCATAAAAGCATAAACTATTCACATTGAGCAAAGTATAGAACTCCCAACATAGAGTAGAATCAAGCACAAAAGTAACCAATTAAAGAAAAGAAGCAGATCCAACGAGGCATTGGCCAGGTAGTTAAGAATTCAAGGATTAAAACTCTAGGGGTTGAAATGCCAGGTTCAAGTATCTCCATTCCCAAAAACAAAAAAAAAGGTAGCTACTTATGTCAGGGATACCATAAAGCATGCATGTCTCCACCACCTTTAATAGTGGAAACAACAAGGAAAAAATCAAATGAAATGCACCAAATATTACCTTTGAATCAACAGTCATGTTTTTCAGATCAACATGTCTGTTTAAACCAGACAATGTAGTACGCCGGACCTCAGCCTGTAGGAAATTACAAAAACACAAAGTTTAGCAACAGGCAAACTGGAAACAACTGCCAAACATAACCTATTCCACAAATGCGATCCTAGTAGGTTGTACCTTTGGATGGTGCAAAGCAAGCCATATTTTTGAATCGGAAACAGAAGCTGAGATATCCAAGTTCCCATCCAACATTTTACAAATCTCAAAAACTGCATCATCATTCTTGGATTTCACTTTCGTGTCCTATCAGAAAAGACAGGACCAACAAAACCATTAAGAGAGACGGACACAGACAAGAGTAAGACAGAGAGAGGGAGAGAAGGAAGTTAGTCAACAGACCTCCAAGAACTTCTGAACAGCTTGATGAAGTTCAGATGGATAGATTTTATTAATAACCATCAAAATGTCCTTCGCCCAGCTCCCTGAGAAAAAGAGAGCAAAATAATCAAGATAAGCTGCATTGTTAATAAAATAATCATCATAACCCTACAAGGGGTGGGTTCAAACAAGCAGCTCCAAACACAATGCATGATAAAAAACAAATGAAGAGCCAGATGACCAATGATGAATAGAGTAAACTCCAAATAGGGAAAAAAAAATTATCAAAAAGAATTACTTTTTTTTTAAAAAAATCTTTACTAATATCTATGCATAAAAGGGTACCTAAAAAATTTCACCCATGTGCAACTTACATACCAGATTGAGATGATACTGAGTTGCTATTTTTCTGTGACATTTTCATGCAAGACAAGAGGACCTTTGAAACAACACGGTCAACAAAATTCTTTACAGGAACTGTCTCTAATATGGATACCAAAACACGATGACATGTGTCATCAGAAGAACTGCAAAAGAACAGCAACAGGTTCAAAATCAATGACTAAAGAAAGAACAGATCTGCAAAACATTTAAAAACAGCAGTGCAATTCACACCTGTTGTCAACCAGAGCTTCCAAAACCACCGCAAGAAATCTATCTATATTGAACTCCTTGGAAAGTCCCAAAAGAACCCCAGCTATTTCCCTTCAAATTAGTACATAGCAAAGAAAAGAAAAGAAAAGACAAGTTAATGAAAAAATTGATAACCAGAATATCTAAAGTTAACCAAAATACTGATACAAGAACATAGACTATATGCAGTTCTGCAATGCTCAAAAATACAAGGCAACAAAAACGCACCTAGTTTCCTTCAAAATCTCCAATGCCTTCTTCGGGAACACATCAACCGATTGCAGCTGACAAATTTTTTTTCACAAAATTATATGAGAAGTAAATAACAATGAAAACAAATTGTGAAACAATACACGAGATTTGGAAGAATATTGCATTTACAACTCAGACAAAGGATTTGACATCGGAGAGCTTATTTACATAAAATAGCCTCCACCTAGCCAAGTAAGCAATTAAAAATTATTCACGCAAACGTCATAATTTAACCAATGGCAACTGGTTAACCACAGTCATTAGATTGTACGTCCAGCACGGTTTTGGAAACAAATATGTACAAGCAAAGTAACTTGAACTGTTGGTAACATAAACCAATAAATGAAAACAGAAGGAGAAATGGCAAAGAGAATTAAATCAAATCTAAAGCACTATAGCAGCAAAAGGAAAACACAGAAATATAACAAGAACACCATACAAATTGATAAAACCCTAGTGGATGAGGAAATCGGCCGTTGCTTTGACATAAATACGTTAACAATATAGAAAATAATTTATTAGATCAAGAAATAGTACCTGAACAAGGTTTATTAGAGCCATAACTGATGAACGAAACCATTGCGGATCAGTTGGCTCCTTTGCATCTTCCTGAACTACCTCAGCAATTGATCGCATCAAACTTTTGACAAGTTTTGGAGACAAGGAAACTTTATATGCTAGAAGACCAACAATCATCAAAGCAGCGGCCTAAAAAGAGGTAGAAACATTTTACACTTTAACATCAAGAGCTAAAATACAGAGATAACAGATTGTCTTCCCTGACTAAGAGCAGCACTTTCAAAGCTCACCTTTTGATCTGAAACTCCTTTGCTTCCAGGCTGAAGTCCGGAAATGACAAAGGGAAGGATTCTCTGTACAACATCTGTATTGACAGTTGTTAAAGAACCCAAAACCTCTATAACTACTGCAGTGCAAAAGCTGACAATAGGCCTTGATGCATAGAATTTCTTTGTGGGAGATGCCTGCATCAAACCATTCTACAATTACAAAACACAAAATAAGATAGGAAGCAAAAAACCTAAGAGATGCAAAACAATAAAAAAGCTCACATAGTTGCACAACGCCTCCAAAACTCCCATATCACGAATACACTGTTGCACCATGACATTTCTAGGAGGTGGTGCACCTGATGCTTTTACACCATCCAGAAACTTCCATTTACCATTTCTACACCATAAAAAAAAAAAAAAAAATCAAAATTCGAAAAAGCAGCACCAAACTATTAGTATAACTTCAACAACTTACAAGGAATCCATTTCCCCCACCTTGTATCAATCAACTGAACTATTCGAACAAATGCATGTGTATCATGGTAAGGCAATGAACATAAAATCAAATCCTCGACATTGTACATGTGTATCCTGAAAATTCCAACCATTTCCATATTACGAAACACCAAAAGAGAAGTTCAACAATAACTTAAACTAAAAACACCAAGCAACTTACTTGTATCTGCGTATCAAGTACTCAAGAGTCCTAAGTGATGCAATCAACTGAAGATGTCCAGATAGTAACCTCAAATATGAACCAATGGTCGAGTTAATGTGCTTATTTTCCTCCCCATTCATCAATTCTCTATCCAACTCTTTACTTTTGTGACTAAACAGATCATTCTTATAGTTCTTAAACCTTTCATCAGCACTTACAAGTACCTCCAAACCTATGAAATTTAAAAAACAAAAAAAAAAGCCCATTTAATCAAACAAAGCAAAATGTAAACTAAGAGAACTCTCTTCTTCTCTCAAATGCACCATCCAAAAGCCAGAAGAAAATACAAGCACTCAGTACCAAATTTATTTTGCAAATAATAATTAAACTTAAAAAAAAAAAAAAAAAAAAAAAAAACTCAACCTTTATCAATATGCAGCCAAAACCCAACCCCCCCCCCTCCCCCTCTCGTATTCAGCACCAAAAGCCAAAAATAACATACAAATTTAGACTTTATACGAAATTTTCTCAAGAAACAAACAAAAAACTATAACCAACAACCACAACTTCATTTTGTAATTGAGAAGAAAGCCAACTCAATAACTACACCCTGATAAAAAAATGCAGCGAAAAAAAATTATAAAAAATACACTTTATATCAAATTTTCTCAGTCACTAACTAAAACAACCACAGCTTCTTTAATAAAATCAATCTATTCAACAACACTTACAAGTATCTCCAAACCTGTGAGGTTTAAATAACAAAACAACCCATTTAATCAAACAAAGGAAAATGTAGACTAAAAGAAGAGGGTTTTCTTCTCTCAAATTCACTATCCAAAAGCCAAAAAAAAAAAAAAAACTCCATATCAAATTTTCACGCAAAGCAACCATAAAACTATTTTGTAACGAAAAAAAAAAACAATTGAATACTAAACCCTAAGCAAAATGCAGCCAAAGACACTCTTTTTCTCTCATATTCCGCAAACAAAGCCCAACAAGACACTCTTTATACAAATTTTCTTGAGAAACAAACAGAAAAATCACTAACCAATCAACCACTGCTTGTTTTAATAAAAATAAAAAATAAAACCCTCAATTTAAAAACAACACCCTAATCAAAATGTAGCCGAAGAACAAAAATTGAGCAACAAAAAGCAGAAATTTCCACTTGGTGAAGTAAGCAACAAGGAAGTAACAAACCTGAAAGTGCAATATCAAGTATAGTATCGATATCAAGATCAGCAGCTGTTTTAGGGTCGAATAAAATGGATGGTCTAGTGATGGGCCGTTTCTTGGGCTCCAAATCGGTTTGAATTACTGACCGGAGAGCTTGCAGTTGAGAAGCTATACTCGTCGCCATGGCTGCTTCCTTGTGCTTTACAAGGAGAAAGTCTTGTTAAGGAGGTCTTTTGCTAAAACCCTAGAAGGTTAGGGTACAAGGGTTTTTGTGTTCGAAGATGTTTGGCTGGCTGTTCTGTTGAAATAAAATTAAAAATTTGTACCTTGGCCTTTAACTTCGGATGCTATACGACGTCGTTTGTTACGAAGGCCAGCAACTCAGAGCATGGTCCTGAAGCCTTGGTAATAAAAAAGCCCAGCCCGACTGCTTTCTAGAATGCCCCTCCATAGCGATGATAGTTCAGCCCAACCCAAGGACTCTCCTCCCACATCAATTGGGCAAAAAAGGATTATTTATCTATCAATACCCTTGCTATTTTTTTGGACGTAACTTAGTTTTTTAGCTAGTTGTGACGCCCTCGGCTTCCTTGCCTATTACCTAACAGGCGTGACCGGCACGACACACTATTGAGACTAAGTCCCGTCTTTCCTCCATCATACACAACAAAATACATAGATAACTAAACTATGAGTAACGTACGATACAATTTACGGATATTATTATAGATAGTTCTATAATTTACAAAATACTCAAAATGCCTAAACATTTATAAATTAGGCCCATATCCCTTTTTAATGACACAAAAGATATTCCTATTTTTATAAGTGATACATGAGCCTCTTTTAGCGAGAACAGGTAACATCCTCAATCAACTTAACTTTGCTCTTGCTCGAAAACACACAATTACAATAACGGAATGAGCCAAAGCTCGGTAAGTAGGGTGATACACGTGATATGCAATGTTATTCGCTTCCCACATTTTCATCCATTTTAATCCGGATACCTCAGGTATCCGCAAGTTCGTGCGTTCTATCTCTCGGTGATCGTGTTATCACCTATCGCTCTATTACTCTCTCTCGGTGATCTCAATATCACCCACTGATCATAATGAAATTATCCCTCATTGTAGCACACGGTTAGCGGAATTATTCCTCACTTAAAGGTGTTAGTAAACGGAACTCGCACTATGGATTCCTTGCTATTACCCATTCCACTCAATTCGGTTACCAAACCGTGTCATTTCATGACTCAATAATTTTTCTCAATTTATTCCACCCCTCAATGCATATGATACACGTGATGACATGTTTAATCACATTCAACCAAACTCGGTACCAACCCTTCTTTCTCAAGCCATACTCACGGTTCAACCAACACTCGAGATTCACCCGTCGCTCACATACTAATCATGGTACTCATAGCAGAAACACAACCTCCGCTCATTAATAGCGTTCATTAGTTTCATTAATATTTAAAAGAAGGTCCAAATCTTTTCTTTATTTCCTCTCTAAAAGAATAAATTTTCTTTAGAATTTTCAAATCCCTTTTATTTCTATCTAAGTCCACTTATTTTAATCCAAGCCCATTTCTTTTAGTCTAAGCTCGTCTACTTTAAAACCAAGCCTTTTGATTTTAGTCTAAGTCCATTTAATTTATTCCAGGCCCATTAATTTTATCCAAGTTTATTAACTTAATCCTAAGTCCATTGACTTTATCCAATTCTATTTTATTTTATCTACACCCATTAATTTTGTCCAAGTCTAATTATTGGGTTTTAGGGTTTACTACCGGGCAACCTCTAATCGAGTAAGTAATTTTTCAACTTCTGAACATAATTAAATCTTATCCATTTTATTTTAGATACTAGATATATTGATTTATAACATATCTAAAAATTAGGTCGAAATACCAAGTACACATTTATTATAAAATTTTGAAACTTAGGGAGCAATCGCCCAGTAGTAGTTTGTCTAGAGCTATATGTACTAAATCAAGTATAACTCTTTGTAAATAAATCCAATGACCAAGAAATTTTAAGAAAAGTTAGTTGAAACATAGATGAACAACTTTTAGTCTTTAAGTTTCATCCAGAAATCAACCTAAAGTCCTTGAACATGCACCCCAAATTTTGGATATAATTTACTCCTCGATCAACACTAATTTATTAGTTCTTTCCAAACCAACTTTAAACATGTTTTAGTTCATTTACATTTAGTCCAAGTCCAATCCAACCCATCATCATATACATGGATATTTTTGAAAACATCAAAAACATCATAAATTATCACAACAAGGCATCCATACATGGATTCCTCTCAAACATCAAGCATATAACCATCACAAACCACCAAAACAACATATTACATGGTTTAAGATAACACCCAAAAATTACACTTAAAATAGAACTTTAAGACATGAAAATAACTCAAATCAACTCATAATTTAAGTACATGAAATGAAACTTAAAGCATAATATGATACTCAAATGAAAACCTATTTACTTTGGATTAAGCTTTCCTAAGGATCTCTTTGGCTTTTTCTTTCTTCTTCTCCCCTTCTCTTCCTTCTCGTTTTTCTCTCTTTCTCATCTCTCTTTCACTCTTTCTTTCTTTGCTTTGAAGAAGGCTATGGGATGCCCCAAAAATGCATCCTTATCCTATTTTATTTACTTAAATATCTCATCTAATCTTATCTCATTTAATGCTCATTACAAGTGTCGAGAGCTTATGGTGAAATGTAACGTAAATGTGGCTGAAATTAATGAAATGATGGGTTTAAATTTCAAGGAGGAAGGAGTGATGGTCAATGGAAATTTGTAGAAAGTGGGGCCCAAAATGTGATTAAAGGAGGGTAATTAAATTAACTACATTTTCGGAATTCCTCTCAAAATTTCGGCAATTAGCACTTCCTTTTCTCTAATTTATACTTATTACATATAAAAGAAATTTTTTAACTAATTTACCCAAAGTTTTTCCCCCTTAAATATTGACGTACACCAATTTATCTCAACATTCACGTACGTAAACACCAAATACATATAAGCACGTATATAAACACCAAATACTTAGTATATATATACGAATCTAAATATCTCGATATGTACACTTATACGGTTATGAATTTTACGAGGGTTACAATAGTAATCAATAAAGCGAGAAAAGAAACCTACTCTAAACAAAGATCTCAAAAACTTTAATAGAATCAATCATTTGTAGAAAAAAATAAAATAAAATAAAGCGGATAAAAATCGAATTACCGAACACCAAAACTGAAATATTTCAAAATCAAACCAAAAAATCAAATAACATTGTAGTTTAGTTTTAGTTATTTTCAAAAGAAAATTTGATTAATCGAAAATCATTCAAAATCTTTCGAAACTGAATTGAATAACTGAACAAACACCCCTAACTATTCAAATACTCATAGTCGTTGTGGATTGTAGCTCGGCTACATTGTGTTGCTTTCTTGCTTCATCTCCATTGTTCGATCCTCTTCTGCTTTGCCTTGATGTCCGGCTCTTTTGATCTCCACTTGTTTCTTCTTAGCTACACCATTTAATGCCTTATATTAATGGTGTTCCATTATTGATATTTGTTCAAAACTTGTAATTTTTTTCACCTAGTTATGCCACAACTAGTGTTTGTCGCACTTTTGTACTATGTGAGGGCCTAAAAGTCGATTTTAGACTAGATTATTAACTCTCATTTACATTTGCCCACACCGACTTATTTTGCTGCTCGCTTTTTCCTCTCTCAACTTTCTTCGGATAGGATTCATTCGATTCCGGCGATGTTCCGTTTCCCTCTTCCTCCTTAATGGTTGTCAACTTCCTTACTTTTTGGGCATTCTTGCCTCTAGGGCCCCGCATGATGGTGGTCCGTCCAATGGCCCGAGTTTTAACCCTAATGGTTGCTCGTTTTAGTTTTTAATTGCTTTTATGTACTTACAATCACTCTATAATCATATGAGTCTTGTAATTGATTACCATTGTCTTTTTTTTAGGCTTATAGTTCATTTTTTATCGGATTACCTTTTCATATTCATTCTCATTCTATTTATTTGGCTTCTCTCATATGCCTACTTAGCTTTCTTTATTGTACCTCTTTTGCCTTTCCAAACCATAGGTTTGTTTGTAACTAGATGCATCTTTTTTTATCCCTCTTTTGTATTTTTTTAAAGCACAACTTTGTTTGCTAATCGGAGATAGCTTTTGTTCCCTTCTTCTTTCGATTTGTCTACTTTGTCTATGTTTATGTTGGGTGTTTGCTCTTTTTCTATTTCATCAAATAAAAAACCATTTGATTTACATTACCTTTTCCATAATTGACATTAAGCATAAGGAAGTTTTTCTCACCTATTGTATGTTTCTCCCTATCAATATAGGTGATCCCTTTTCCCACCATCTTTATAAATATTGTGAATCTTTTGTTGGGTATATTTCTTCAATACTAGAGTTGACACTGTCTTATTCCTCATCTACAACTTCAAGCAAGCAAGCAAGGTTTTGAAGTTGTAAAAGGGAATCTTTTAGTTCATCGTTTTCATGCGAGTAGTCTTTTTTTATAATTCTCCAAAATAATTACTTGAAAATTAAGTTTTGCTCATATGTCAAATAACTAAAGATTATGAAAGTGTGTATAAATGCATTTTTCTACTTTGAGAACACATCCAAATTTTGAAAATGACATATCACCTACAATCCCAAAGCCTTTTTTTCTCCATATATGTGAAGGCTCTAACAAGTAATTACGTTTCTCCAAAGTCTTTCTAAATGTTTCACAAGGCCATCTTCTAGATTTCAAATCCCGATAATTCATGTTTGGATGTCAAAATGTGCTTAGACGTTTAACTCCGCAAAGTTATATAGCCCTATCGTGAAGTCGTTTTTCGATCACATGTAAGAGATATCTTCATAGATATTAGGATTCAAGGATGAAATATACAAAAAATCTACAATGGTTTTAAGTCCCTTGTCTCTTAAGTGAAAAGTATTTGCTTGGGATTTAATTCACTAGGTACATTCATAAAAGAATTTTTTGCCAATTTCTATTTTGTAAAAATAAAAAGCCTTTAACATCTCCTAAACTCGGTTGCCAGTTGATGAATAATTTAGGATACAATCAGATTGAAACTAGGTTTGATCTTCCCAATCGGTTTTGATTGTTGCTTTGCAACATAGT